AAATGTCATTTTTTATTTTTCTTCATTTTTTTAACTTAGGAAAAATAATGACAATCTTTATATTTTATAAAACACTAAATTTACACTGGAAAAATAAATTTATTTGATTCAAATAATCGGTTACTTGACAATCATATAAATATTTACTAGAAGCAAATAAGTTTTATTTAAATTAAATAAATTGTATTTGAAATAATTTCTCTATTTGAAACAAATAATATCTTAAATAATAATTATTTCACAGAAAATTAGAAGGCATTAAAATAAGCTGCAACGCTTATTATTTTAATCTAATTTTGCTTATTTTAATACCAAAATGGATTAAAATAAGCAAAATTGGATTAAAATAATAAGCGTTGCAGCTTATTTTAATGCCTTTTAATTTTCTGTGTTAGTACAAACAAATATTTATTTAATTCATGTAAATATTTATTTGGTTCATTTAAATATTTATTTGGTTCAAGTAAATGTATTTTTGATACAAATAAATATTTAATAGTAGTCAAGTAACCAATTTATTTGAATCAAAATAAATTTTTTTTTCAGTTCAGAAAATGTTTTATTTCTCAAAAAATTTAGTTTAGGATTCATATATTTCTTGGAATATTTTTTCTTAATTTATTTATTTATTTATTTTTTTGGTCATATTTTACGTTCGTGACGATATCAATGCTCAAGATCATATCAATTCATTTAGATCGTATTTTGCAAGAAAAGGATAAATGTCTACGGTATGAGATTAAATTTCCTTCTTCATGCAAGAAGACATCAAGCGCGCATATAAGATTATAGTCTTTTTTAAAAATTCTCTCGAGTTTTTTTTTTTTACATATATACATATTTTGCATTCTAAATTATCTTTATATGACTTTCATTAATGTTACAAATGAGATAAATACATATCCTTAAATGTCGGATGATATTTTATCCTTTTGAATGAAATATATGTAATCCATATGCGTGTGTATATATATATATGTATGTGAAATGCGGTCTCAAATCATCGAATACATTATAATTTTGAACTAAGCATATTCCCAACCATTGAAATCTACAATATGCATATAAGTCCTATTAATAATCATAAGCCCCATTATTTATCATTCTACTCATCGCGTTGTTGCAATAGAAGACCCTGTGTCGAATGATTAATCTTGACTCGAATTCGGTGAATTTATATACATATATATATATATACAAAATTGAAGCGAACAAAATATTTATTTTTTTAAAAAATAATATTTTGAAAATTAGCTACACTGAAAAATAAAATTTCATTTAAATAATCGATTACTTGACTATTATGAAATAATTATTTACTAGAAGCAAAAAAAAAAAAAAAAAACATTTACTTGAATCAAATAAATATTTATTTGCTTTCTAAATTTTGATATAGACATAAAAATAATTTAGTCGCAAAAATAATATGCAATTGTTTGTTTTTTCAAAGACAATTTAAAAATTTTTTTCATCATTGTCTCTCCTGTTTATTTATAATGATCAAAGGCGGCAGAATCATTGACAATGATAGTCGGTTTGAAAATTAGAGAATTGGATCGATTAAAGTGTCAATTGATGTGTCAACAACATATATTGCATAAATGAAAAAAGGGAGTTGAAATTTACATCATTTATTTATTATATATTGGTTTGTTATGTAAATATAATTCCCTTTTTATTAAAATTATGCAATCAATATTGTCATTCATTAATGAAAAATATTTTATTTTTAAACAGAAATAAAAATTTATTAATATAGAGAAAAATTTTTAAAAAAATTATTTAAAAGAGAGGAAATATTTTAAGACACAAATTTTTTTTTTAAGTGACAGTGTCTTAAAAATCAGGACAAAAGTGCGTCTTAAAATAAGACATATCTTATATAAGGTTTTTTTTCTGTAGTTATATATTGATAAAGGAAAATATGAAAAAGGGGGAAAAAAATAAATAGGGGATAAATTTGTTAATGCAGGAAATAAATAATAAACAATAATTTTAGCAATATCGCGAAAGCTTAACATAAATTTATTTATGCGCTGTTTGACGTTTCCGCCCCTTTTATATACAGTGAATAAAGGACATTGACACCGACAAGCAACACTTCTGTCTTTGCCGGTTGTTGCCCCGTCGTTGTCGAGTCTAGTCTCGTCGCATCCCATCAGGATCCGGCAAATCGTATATATATATATATATATTGCATGTTCCAAACAAATCATTCAACAAACGATGATGACGCTATCGTGCTAGAAGAACGTGTTAATCCGTCGGAAACTATGCACACTGGAGTCTTGAATAATTAATTAAAACGTCATTTTACTCATGGGGTCCACTCATCTCTCGTTACCGTTACCTATATATATATATATATACATAAGATGATCCCTGCGCTCTTCTATTTTACACCATTTCATCCTTCTCGATGTGGTTACTATATATACTCACTTATCTCAATTATACTTATATATATACACACACCAGTTTCATCATCAATTTTATGCCTTCAATTTTCAATTTCACACTCGCGAGTTTATTTTCCATTAATGCGATTTATTTTTTTATGGAGAAAAAAAATTTATATATACTTTGATTTTTTTTTAATATGTCAATTTGGTACCTGTATAACTAATTTTTTTTTGTCAGTAGTAGAAGTAATTTATTGTCAGACGAAATATTTTAAAATTGAGTAATTTAAGTATTTTAGTTTTTAATTTTTGTAATTTCTGTATTAGTAAATTTTTTGTCAGTGGTAGAAGTAATTTATAGTCAGACAAATCGTTTTAAATTCAAGTAATTTTAATATAATTTTAGTAATTTTATTTTTTTCTTGTAATTTTAGTAACAGTAGTAAACATCGATTTTAGTCAGACGGAAAGTTTTTAAATTTTTGTCATTTCTGTATTAGTAAACTTTTTGTCAGTAGTAAAAGTCATTTATAGTCAGACAAATTGTTTTAAATTCAAGTAATTTTAATATAGTTTATTGTAATTTTAGTGACAGTAGTAAATATCGATTTTTGTCAGACGGAAAGTTTTTAATTTGTGTAATTTTTGTATTAGCAGTTTTTTTAAAAGTAGTAAACGTCGCAGTTATAGTCAGACAAAACGTTTAAAATTCAAGTAATTTCAGTATTTTTTTCTTGTAATTTTTAGTAACAGTAGTAAATGTCGATTTCAGTCAGACACAAAGTTTTTAATTTTTGTAATTTCTGTATTAGTAAATTTTTTGTTAGTAGTAAAAGTCATTTATAGTCAGACAAATCGTTTTAAATTCAAGTAATTTTAATATAATTTTAGTAATTTTATTTTTTTCTTGTAATTTTAGTAACAGTAGTAAACATCGATTTTAGTCAGACGGAAAGTTTTTAAATTTTTGTCATTTCTGTATTAGTAAACTTTTTGTCAGTAGTAAAAGTCATTTATAGTCAGACAAATTGTTTTAAATTCAAGTAATTTTAATATAGTTTATTGTAATTTTAGTGACAGTAGTAAATATCGATTTTTGTCAGACGGAAAGTTTTTAATTTTTGTAAATTTTGTATTAGCAGTTTTTTTAAAAGTAGTAAACGTCAGTTATAGTCAGACAAAACGTTTTAAATTCAAGTAATTTCAGTATTTTTTTCTTGTAATTTTTAGTAATAGTAGTAAAAGTCGATTTCAGTCAGACACAAAGTTTTTAATTTTTGTAATTTTTGTATTAGTAAATTTTTTGTTAGTAGTAAAAGTCATTTATAGTCAGACAAATCGTTTTAAATTCAAGTAATTTTAATATAATTTTAGTAATTTTATTTTTTTCTTGTAATTTTAGTAACAGTAGTAAACATCGATTTTAGTCAGACGGAAAGTTTTTAAATTTTTGTCATTTCTGTATTAGTAAACTTTTTGTCAGTAGTAAAAGTCATTTATAGTCAGACAAATTGTTTTAAATTCAAGTAATTTTAATATAGTTTATTGTAATTTCAGTGACAGTAGTAACTATCGATTTTAGTCAGACGCAAAATTTCTAATTCTTGTAATTTTTATATCATAAATTTTGTTATCAGTGGTAGAAGTCATTTATAGTCAGGCAAATTGTTTTAAATTAATGTAATTTTAATATAATTTATAGTAATTTCAGTGACAGTAGTAAACATCGATTTTTGTCAGACGCAAAGTTTTTAATTTTTGTAATTTTTGTATTAGCAGTTTTTTTTATCAGTAGTAAACGATCATTTTTATTGTCAGACAAAACGTTTTACATTCAAGTGATTTTAGTATTTTTTCATGTAATTTCAGTAACAGTAGTAAAAGTCGATTTTAGTCATACACAAAGTTTTTTATTTTTGTAATTTCTGTATTAGTAAATTATTTGTCAATAGTAAAAGTTATTTATAGTCGGACAAATCGTTTCAAATAATTTTAATATATTTTTTATTGTAATTTTGGTGACAGTAGTAAAAATCGATTTTAGTCAGACGGAAAGTTTTTTATTTTTGTAATTTTTTTACTAGCAGTTTTTTTAAAGTAGTAAACGTCAGTTATAGTCAGACAAAAGATTTTAAATTCAAGTAATTTTAGTATTTTTAGTAACAGTAGTAAAAGTCAATTTAAGTCAGGCAAAACATTTTAAATTCGAGTAATTTGTTCATAAGTAGTAAAAGTCGATTTTAGTCAGACACAATTGATTCCGAATTTTTCTTATTATTTATGTCCTCTTTATTAACTGCAATAAATTTTAACTATCGAAACTAATAACTTAGACACAAACACTAAATTTACTCGTAGTAAAGTAGGGTTGCCTATTGTCAGGCAATTCATCTCTTTTCAACATTTAAATGTGTGTTTTTATTAAATTAATTTTATAATATTTTTATATTTATAACATAATTAATTTTTTTAAATCATTATTAAATATTTTAATAAATTATAATTTAATAAATAAATTATTAACTAATTATTTTTGAAATTTAAATGTTTAATTAAATAAATTAAAATTGGATTATTATGAAAGAAAACGAAAATAAATGAAATAGAATTTTAATTTATTTAAAAATTCAACGTGAATAAATAAAAAAAATATATTTACATTTCTTAAAAATAAATATATAGGCAAGGGCCTGAGCGTATAAAGAATACATTATTTCACTAAAATTCCTTATTTCGCAACAGTAAATACTGTTTCTTTTTTGATTTAAATTTATATATATATATTATCGTGCGGTATTTATCGATTTTATTACGTAATATGTAAATTATTTACCATAATTAATTTACTTTTACTTAAAATCATGTCACTACTGTTGCTAGATAAGAATTATTATCGCTCTATAATATTATTCCTATAAAGATCATCATCATCATCATCGTAAATTCCCCAAATACCAATAAAATATATTTATATCATCTCTAAATTCTCAATTATCGACAAGAATTGAATTTCTAATTAATTTAAAAATGATAAAACACATTATAATAAAATGTCAATCCTGTCTCGTTGTCATTTAATTAATTCAAATTTTTACTTATTGACTCGAAAAATGAAAAAAATTTCACAATATTTTACAATAATAATAATAATCAAAAATAAACAAATATACAATAATTTAAATATTTATCATTTTTATATTATCTGTACATAAATTAACTTATTAATTAATTCAATGAAAAAATCTTCGTTATACAAATTTTCTAACAACTCACACAAAAATAAATCTAAATGTATTTTGAGCAATAGTGAAATCATGGCAAAACGATCATTTTTTTTTCTTTTTCGAGCGTTTCTTGATTTCATTGGAAAAATAATATTGTCATATTTATAGTCTCTCGTGACAATATTATATTTTTAATTGATAAAAAAGCATCCTCATATGAGGAAGCAAAAAAAAAAAAAATAAATTTCTCTAATTTTTCTCAATTTACTAAAGGCTTTTTGCTTCTTCAGTTTCTGTTGCTTGCATAGTACTGTTATCGTGATTTTTATAGGCTGAGAAAAATGCCAATGCTTTCATGAGTTGATAACTTTTGCTGATGGGAATATTGCTGTCGTAAAGTGTTTTTGATGTTTTGCAATCCACGTAGAACCACCAGTTGCATTTTAAAATTGTTTGATCAAAAAGCGTTGATTCGGGACATAAGAAACTTTTCATTATAAGACCATCGTCAGTTAAGGCGCAGACATGAAAAACCTAATGCAAAAGTAGAGAAATTGAGTATTAAACTTTTATTTTTGTAATAAAAATAAAATAAAATTTTATACGGTAAGTGATTTTAGAATTTTTAATTCTTTTTTTTTTATTACCATGCAACCGAGATCTTCATCGGCATACAATCCGGGAAAATGTTTCTGATCCCCACAATAAAAACTCGTATCGGGTAAATCAACTCGACTTGCAAAATTATCATCAAAATTCTTATCATATCCAACTGGATAATATTCTCGAGGAGCGTTCATTACTTTTGTTGTGCCAGAATAATTGTTATTATTACTTGTTCTGCAACAAAAATTGTTTTTATTGTCATCTGTAAATTATATTTGAACACAGAAAATTAAAAGGCATTAAAATAAGCTTATTATTTTAATCCAATTTTGCTTATTTTAATATCAAAATGGATTAAAATAAGCAAAATTGGATTAAAATAATAGTTGCAGCTTATTTTAATGCCTTTTAATTTTCTGTGAAAGATAAAAAAAATATGAGAGAAGCAGGCCCTAAAAACACTTACAGTGAAGATGGTGTAGTAGTTGTTGTCGTTGTTGTAGTAGTAGTAGTAGGTCCTTCCTGCCTCTGCAACAATTGTTGTTGCTTCAACAAAATAACTGCCTCCAATGCTTCTAATGTAATATTGCTAGCTTCAGCCAAGGCCTTTAACGATGTTTGCTTACTACTTTGAATGGGTTCCAATGATGGAAGAGTATTTCTAATTGATGATTGAAGAGAATTTTTCACTGGTGATGAATTTTTAATTGTTGACGGTAAGGATTGTCTCTTTCCATTCTGTTGATCAGGCATCGATTGTTCAACAAATGGTTCGACAACAACTTGTGGAAATGAAAGAAGCGTCAATTTATTCGATGATGGTACATCATCAACCGGTATTGGTAGCTGTAAATTTTATTATTCTCCATATTTATTGCTTTCTTATTTTACTTTTATTATTATAAATTAGAAAAATTGAATCAACAGCAATTCTGCCAAAGGCATAAAAATTAGTGATTCAGAAGCTGATAGAATTTATATAATATTTTTACAAATTCGAATTAGAAAAATATGCTATTGAATCAACAGAAATTCTGCCAAAGGCATAAAAAATTAGTGATTCAGAAGCTGATAGAATTTATATAATATTTTTACAAATTCTTTAGCTTTTGAATGAATAATTTTTATGCCTTTGGCAAAAATGCTGTTGATTCAATAGTTTATATTTCTCAGTGTAAATTTATTCAATTATATTTACTTGTTTATCATCGTCTTTCGAAACTTCATTAACGGAATCCTCCAATAACGTTGGACTGTGACTGATTCTGCTTGTCAATTTAGCGGATGATTGAGGCATTGCTATAAATGGTGGCAATGCACTGTTGGGAATTACAATACCAGCAACTGGTTTTGGTAAGGGATCATTGACAACACTACCAGCTGGTGGTATTGCTGCGACAATTGTTGGTAATCTTGCAACATTACTTGTGGAACCTTGCACCACCTGAAACAATTGTTTTTTTAAACCTTCACAAAAAATTAAAAGGCATTAAAATTTTAATACCTTATAATTTTCTGTGTTTTTTCCAAGTTTGATAAATCGAAATAAAAAATTGCTACAAACCTGCATTCTTTTGGTTTGCATTGCTGCTATCTGCTGTTGTATCTGATTCTGCTGTTGTTGCAATTGCTGCTGCTGCTGCATTGGATTCTGCTGCTGTAGCAACTGTTGCTGCTGCTGCATTAGACTCTCCTGCTGCATCTGTTGTTTAGCATGTTGCTGTTGCATCTGTTGTTGTTGCATCTGCTGTTGTGCAACTTTTTGTATTTGTTGTTGCTGTGCATTTTTTTGCAACTGCTGTTGTCTCATTGCCTCCTGCTGTTGTTGTCTCTGTTGTTTCAACATATGCATTGCGAGTGCCTCCTGTTGAATTCTCTGTTGTTGTCTGGCTTTATCTTCATCTTGTAATTTTTGCTGATGCTTAAATAATTCTTCATTCATACCACCAAGTGAAGGTGCAGGAATTGTTTTTAATGCCGTTGAATTTTGTTGTACTACTAATCTTTGGCGTTCGGGTTGTGGTGACATTGGTCGTGTACCACCTGGTGGAAGAGGTTTAAACGGTGGCACCATTCGCGTTCCATCACGATTAATAGCCTGTAAAATATTCATTTGTATTTCTTTTTTTTTTTGTAATTAAAATAGTAAAATAATAGTAAAATAGTTTTGTAATTAAAAAGAAAAATGTTTTGTCTCGTCTTATAAATGTTATAAAAATCCATGAACTGTTTGACATCTAAATTTTAAAATTAAGTCTTTCGGAATCTAGCAATATAATATATTGCGTTACATTCACTTATTGCTTTGACAATCGTTTCACAACATCTCGGTCCATGGTTCATCAGTATAGGTGTGAATGTCAAACGTACTTGACAAATAATAATCGTTCATTTAATTTTTATTTCGACAGAAAATTATTGATAAAACTATAATTAGCAATTCTTTTTTTGACATTAAAATTTAGAAATTTTTTTTATTCATTAATTGTCCCATCCTTGAACGATGCTCATTAATTTTTTTTTATATAAAAAAAGCGATAATTTTTTCGAGAAGATTGTGCAAAAATTTGAACCTTGAATCATTGCAAAACTATTTGGCATCACAGAAAAATAAAAGGCATTAAAATAAGCTGCAACGCTTATTATTTTAATCCAATTTTGCTTATTTTAAATTATTTTGGTATTAAAATAAGCAAAATTGGATTAAAATAATAGTTGCAGCTTATTTTAATGCCTTTTAATTTTCCGTGATATGGTTTTTTAATTTGCTTTTTTAATGCTAATGTAAAAAAAATCATTAAAATAAATTGTGTCCTAAATTAAAAACATAAATTAAAAAAAAAACATAAAACATAAATTAACACATACAATTTTTTTCGTATTTAAATAATTTAATAAAATATTTTGAATATTTTATTTAGAAAATAAATTGAATTTTTTCTATTTAGAATTAAAATTTTATTTTTCTAATTTATTTAATTGTTTGTTACAGGGGACACATGGACCAAAGACAATTAATTCAGCGGTGAGTAAAAAAAAAAATAATTTTTACAAGTTTTTTTGTAACAAAAAAAATGATATAAAAAAAAATTTAATATAATACTTTAAAAAATGTATTTTAACGGAAATGCATGTTATTTAATAAGAAAGTAGAAACAAAATACATTTTATAAAAGTTAATTTGGAAGGCGTCTCCTTTGTCAGAGTAGTAGAGTGTAACGATTGTCATGAAACAGTTTAAGGAACGGAAAATCAGATTTATATTGTATATAATCATATATCGAGTGGTTTAGTTTTTTTTTTTATTAACTTATTTTCGTCCTGTACGCAATAGTATTACAAAATGAAAGTATCTTGTCCGCTTGCGATATTCGATCATATTATCAACAAACGCAATTGCAATTTTAAACTATCTATCTTTTTCTAAAATTGCAAATTTATATTTTTTAATTTTAATAATTTATAAATCAGAATTTTAAAAATTAAAAAACTCGAAAATGTAATCAGTAATACATTCAAAAAAAAAATTGAAGGTAAAATATAAAATTCCTAAAATTTGGGAAAAAATTTAAAAATTAATTAGCAAATTTAAAAAAATTAAAAATATACTTTTTTAAGATTAATATAATATATATATAGTCTTTAAGAGTGTTATTTAAAAGAAAAAGTGAGATGAGTTTGTCGAAAGTTGAATTGCAATTTCCGAATAGGACACTCGATAACATAAATGGATCGAACTATATAAAAGTTTACATTCACGCGCTAGTTACGACAAGGCCAGTATCTCCTGAATCTCTTAATTAACAATATTTTCCCCAAGATTATAAGCAAAAAAAAAAAAAAAGAAAATTGAAAAAATAATTTTTTCTCATAATTAATTATTTTTTTTTTTTTATTTACCAGATTTGATGGATTTATGGCAATGAAATTTCCTCTTCCATCTTGAACACTTCGCCTCTTACTCACTACTTCTGTATTACTTAACGAATCTCGAAATCCAAGTTCATCTCCAACTGAAAATCCTGAAAATCAATTAAATTTCATATGAAAATAAATTTTTTTTTCTTTAAATTAAATTGAAAAATATTAATAGAAAAAGATGAAGTTAAGTAGAGAAATTCATACTTTTTTTTTATTTTTTAAGTGTTGAAAGAATAAACAAGAAATGTTATTTGTGTCATATATTATATAAACAAAGAGCAGATAAACAAATTGCAAAGAAATATATATAATGTGTGCTGCAAACTTCTTTATAATATTGAGTGTCAATTTCTTTTTCTACATGAGATGCAAATAATAATAGAAAGAAAAAAAAAAAAAAAAAAAAAAAAAAAAGATGCATATTTATGCAAGTGCAATCTGTATATTTCCAGCAAAAGTAGGTTAAGCATAGGATATACATGAATTAATCATTTGTCGTATTAGATTGATACCCAAAGAAAGAAAACAGGCAGTAACTTATAAACAATCAATTTTTTCTTTTTCTAATATGTACATTTATCAATTTTTTTTTTTTTAGTAATATAATACAAAGATTAGCCAAATAATTATTTAATGCAAATATTTTATAAATATTTTATAAATATAAATAAATATACAAATAAATAAAATAAAAATAATATATATTATATATTTTATTATTTCTATTTTATTTAATTTTATTATATTGCATATATATGTATAAATAACAATACTTATTAATATATATTATGAATATTTTATAATATAATATATTTTGTATTATGATTAATTAGAATAGAAATTAAAATAAATCAAAGCATAATTATTTAATATATAGATCAAGGTCACCTGATGTTAAATTATAATATACACGATTTTAGCATATTGAATATAATCATTGCTAGTTAATAAAATATAATATTAAATTAGCGATGGATCAGTAAACCAAGTTTCACTATAATAAGAAAGTTATGTAGATTCCAGATTATAATCAATAGTTGATAACGTTCATATATTTTTACTTTTCATTTTTTATTTTGTTTTTTTTATTTACTTATTTTTGTATTTTATATTTTTTGTATTTTATATTTTATATTTTGTATTTTGTATTTTGTATTTTTTGTATTTTTTGTATTTTATATTTTATATTTTATATTTTATATTTTATATTTTATATTTTATATTTTATATTTTATATTTTATATTTTATATTTTATATTTTATATTTTATATTTTATATTTTATATTTTATATTTTATATTTTATATTTTATATTTTATATTTTATATTTTATATTTTATATTTTATATTTTATATTTTATATTTTATATTTTTTGTATTTTATATTTTATATTTTTTATTTTTTTATTTACTTATTTTTGTATTTTGTATTTTTTGTATTTTATATTTTATATTTTGTACTTATTTTTTATTTTTTTATTTACTTATTTTTGTATTTTGTATTTTTTGTATTTTATATTTTATATTTTGTATTTTTTATTTTTTTTATTTACTTATTTTTATATTTTGTATTTTTTGTATTTTATATTTTGTATTTTGTATTTTTTATTTTTTATTTTTTATTTTGTATTTTGTATTTTGTATTTTGTATTTTGTATTTTGTATTTTTTATTTTTTATTTTGTATTTTGTATTTTGTATTTTGTATTTTGTATTTTGTATTTTGTATTTTGTATTTTGTATTTTGTATTTTTTATTTTTTATTTTTTATTTTTTATTTTTTATTTTTTATTTTTTATTTTCCGATTTTTATATGCACGGTAGATACTTGGCCCCTTTCATGTCTAAACGACCCTAACTTTCTATGCCAATCATTATGATGAATGCAATGCCAATTATTATCACTGATAGACGATATATGTCATTTATTAACTTCTTAATGGAGACACTTTTTTTTCTTTTTTTTTTTTTAACTAAACTGACACTTTATGCAACTTTGCGTGACAAGGACCTAGGAAAATTATTATTAATTTAAAAAAAAAGTGCATGCAAACACGGGAAATGGTAAAATTTTTTTTTTTTACTAAATAGTACCTTTTGACACAAAAATGAAAGTTAAGGTGGTCAGTAATTAGAAGGTCCAAATAACTATATCAATGAAATAGCTGTAATTTGTCCTTTAGATAATAAAATTTTTTTATTTAAACATTGGACAAATTCTTGCTTTGAAAGTTGTATATTTGAAATATCGACAAAAAAAAAAAGGTTTAAAAGAGATAAAAATATCAATTAGGTAATTTCAATGAAATCAGATATAGAAATTTATGAAGTGTTGAATAATAAAGTTTTATTGAATAGAAATGAAAATATATATATTATAAAAATAATTTTATATAATTATTTTAAATACTAAATAAATACTAAATAAATACTAAAAAAATACTAAAAAAATACTAAATAAATACTAAATAAATACTAAGTAAATACTAAAAAAATACTAAATTAATACTAAATAAATATTACAAAAAAAGTTTTATTAAATTAATACAAAAAGTATTTTTTAAATTATTATTTTTCGTAAATAGAATTTGAATTTTTTTTTTGTGTATAGAAAAAAATAAATAATCGTAATTGATTTGTAGTTAAATTTCTATAATATACAACATTCAATTACGTGTAACAAATTCACGCTTCTTCAAATGTTATGTAAAGATGTTGGCAAAGTTTCTTCTTTCATTACATTTTTCACACATGCAAGTGAATTGATTAAATTACATTTATCTATATATATATGAATTTAATGATCAAGATTCAGTTATTTTGAAATACTGATTCTCTATTTAGTTGAATAAATAAATATTATTATTATTATTTATATTTACAATAGATTAATTATTATTTAAAAATATTTTATTGTTATTTAACAATGATTATTGTTTTGAAAAGAAAATAATATTATTTAAAAGAAAATAGCATTGTTATTTTAGAGAAAAAGTATTGTTATTTAAAAGAAAAGGTATTCAAAAAAAAATTCTTAAAAAAAAATTTCGCTTCTTTGGGCATTAATCGTTTATTATATATATATATATACTTTGTATATTACAAAACTGAGAGTGAATGATTTGAATTCTGTTGCATTAATCAAAGATTTTGCCTCTCTATATAAAGATATTAACACCTGTATTGAAGGATGACTTTCATAATCGAATTTCGTTTGCGCATTATTTTATCGCTCTCATGTGGTCCATATTCAGTTCAAAAATAAAATTAAATATAATAATTCACGGTAAATTACGCAGGAAATGCAAATAAATAAATTATTCGGATTTTTTTTTTATTTTAAAATCTAAATTTTTTAATTAACATTATTTTTCAATTAATATTTAAGAGGTATTATAAATTTATATAGAAAAAAAAAACATTGCACCAAAATTTATATTTATTTTTCAATTTTTTTAATAAAAAAAATTCGGAATGTGATTTAAATGATTTTTAGGGTTTTTTTTCGGACACTCACCGAGTCCGACGTAACCTTTAACACCTCCCAGATTTCGAACCCGGAAGAGACCGGATTTTTTGAAGGCACAGTTAAGACTGAAACCAAAGTCGGAAGCCCATACACATGTGCTTAAAGCCTCCCGCCACGTGCAGCCTAGAAACAAATTTGAAAAATACCATCTCTTTATAGATTTTTGCCCTTTTTCACAAAGGTTTAATTTTTTTTTTTTTTTTTTTTTTTTTTAATCTCTGTGCTATTGATTCCGATTTTTTTTTCTCTTTTTTTAAAAGTTGAAAATTTTTTTTTTTAATAAACAAACGAAATTTTGTTATTAAAAACACAATATTCATGCTTCTTTTTATTGTTTCATTCAAAAATATTTTTTTTCTTATTCCCATATTTAATTCTCCAAATTGAAACTTGGATTAATTAACAAACAATGATGATTAATTAATAATAATTGATTGAGTGATGATTTTTTTTTTAAAATAACATTTCGAACAATTAATTTTAGAAAATATCAATGAAATGATTTTTTAAATTTTCTATTATTTTATTTGTTTTTCCGCCTACAAGATTTAAAGGAGGTTGAGTAAATAATAATATGAATCCGGAATAATGTAAACGCTTTTGGAATACTGATGATGATTTCTTTTTTGCCCTCAGCAACCTTTATTTCTTTTTTGTACAGTAAAATTAAATAGGTTCTTTGAAAATATAGTTTCTTTGGATATTATCATAAAAATTTTTGTATTTTTTTAGTCTTCCTATTCCAGTTTTATTTTATAATTATTTACTTTACTATTTTATTCTATTTATTTAGAATTATTTTTTTTTAATTTTTTATTTCTTGAACTTTTGAAAATATATTTGTATGTTAAATAAAAATATTCTAGAAACAATTTTACCATAGTAAATATTAATTTTCATTATTTATCTACTCGTATATGCAATTTTAGCAAATTTTCGGAGTCAATAGTGAACCATTTCATTTATTTACTTTGGTTGTTGATAAAAAAAAAAGAATTTATTTGTTAATTTTTCCAAGCACAGGGCATCGAAAGAGAAATCTTTACGACACAAAACTAACGCTGTTAACCTGAATTGAACACATTCGTATATCCGCGTGTATTTGAATTTCACTTGCCAATCATTTTTTTCTCAAATATTGTCACTATTCCAAAAATTACATTCGAAAATTAATTTTTCCAAATTATTTATATTGATTAATTAATTGAAAAAAAATCATTTTATTGAGATTAATTACAGTATATGCAATATTTTCTCAGTCAGGAAAAAAATTAAATTTCATTTAGATAAATATAAATTGGAAAACTTTATTTATTTTATTTGATCTCAGCGAACATTTGAACTTTATAATTTAATTTTTATGATTAAATTCACATTTTTAAAATGAATTTATAATTACGCAACAATTGCCTTTCTTCGTCTTTGAATATAATCTTTTAATCGTTTTCTCAATCGAATTTCTTTATAGACACTGGCACTTGAATTAAAATGTCATTTCTAATTCAGAAACAGAAATCAAATGAGGAATTCGTGAGCAATTCTATATAAAATTTGAAATAAATAAAAAAATTCTAATAAATTATTAGAGTAGAAATTTTTGAAAATTAATCGGAGAATTTTTTTTTTTTCATTTGTGATGATTAATCAAAAAGAATCTTTTGCCAGTTTGACGGGATAGAAGTGTATATGCCATTGGGCCATACCCTAGTGACCCACTTGAAAAAACCTGACTAAACGTTCGAAGACGACCCATGAATGACCACACTCTATAACCACTCGAATACAACTTTTCAATTCCTTTAAATTTTTGGACAAGTGTATCATATGATTCACGTTTTTTTTACTTTCAAATATATATATATATACCCAGATTTTTTTGCTCTGATTTTATCACATTCTTTTAAAACATAAATTTTAATTATTTGGAAAAAAAATACTTCGATTTTTTTTACTCTGCAATTTCTTCTTTCAAAATAGAAAATTTTAAATCAAATATTTTTTTTTAAAAAATTGTAGTAAAAAAAATGTAATGACAATTTATAATAGAAAATATAATTTAGAAAGAAAATTATAAAAGAAATTCTTTATTATTATTTTTTTTAAACAATAGAAATTAAAAAAAAATCTTGAAATGTTTTTAGAGAAAATTATTTCACCTCCTTTTTCATAAGATTGAAGTAATAATTTTAAAAACACATAAACGTTTTTGCATTTCTCTTAAATAGCTTCATATACATAAAATTAATCCTTCGCTTCCTCAATAGTAACGCTTAATTATAAAAAGACATAATGAAATACGAATCACTATAATCTTTTCTTATATTTAAAATTATGCATTAAACGAAACTTACGCAAATTCTTATGATGATTTCACACTTTTATTATACTATATATATATTATTATTATTATTATTTCACACTTGTTTTCATTTAAATGAACCATTTTGAAAGTTTACATATTATATTTCTTTTTGTAATTTTTAAAATGTGTTCCATTTCACGCTTTTGCTATTTGTCATTGAAGAAGAACAAAATTTGCATAATCATTAATAAACGTATATTACTAATTGCAAGCATATAAATGTAAATTCAGGTCTTCAACTCGAACATTAGACTCTTGCATATATGATGATACTTTTCCTATATATACTGATCTCATGAATTCTATGAATCACAAAAAAAAAAAAAAAAAAATTTATTAAGAGCAAGGAAAATTTATTACTTAAATAAAGTTACTATCACCTCCATGAAAAATTATTCCTAAAAATATATTTTCTTTATTTGTAGAAATAAACAAAGTTTAACCAATTTATTATAATAAAAAAAAAATTGTTTTTTAAACTCTTTTTTTGAAGCTTGTTTTTAAAAAAAAATATTTTTTCCTAAAAAAAATTATTTAAATAAATTTATGAAAAATATTTTTTTAAATTAGAAAATTTTTAATTGTTTTTTTTCTAAACTTTTTTTTTTTCCTATGACTATGAAAAATTAATTTTTGAACAAGAAAATCAGTCGTTCAGTAAATTCAATGTCAGTATTTAAACGTGTCCAAAGCATCGTAGAAAGTGTCTTGATGTATAAACGGAACATTAGCACAGTCCGGCTGGCCCGATTCCCTAAATACTCTACTCACAAAATATAATTTTTGTTTATTGGACATTTTTTTTTTTTTTTTTTTTTTATCAATATTAAATTTACATTTAACATCATTGCTAATTTACTTATTTACATATACCGAATTTAATAATTTAATTCTCAATTCTAGAAGTAAAAATTAATTTTTTTGGCAAATAATTTTAATGATTTTTTTAAATAAATAAATTTTTAAATCAAAAAAAAATTTGAGAAAAAAATTAATTCGAGAGAAACAATCTTGTTAAGTAGTTACAATAAAATCAGATGAATTTCACTATTGTTGATTATCCATTAAAGAGGTTTCGATTTCTACGATTATATCCTCCGTCTTTTTCCAGAAGAGTAAATCGATTCAATAACATATAATAATTATCAACTTTCGTTATCGACGTGTCCTATTTTTTTTTTTTTTTTTTTTTTAACGTCAAACTATATTTTTCAATAAAATATCGGTTTACTGTTTTGCTATTTTCTCACTTTCTATCGAGATCATTGTTCCTTGACCATGTGTTCAGTCATTGCTTTCGATGACATCTTGTCTTTTATTCCCCTCACCCTTCTTTTTTAATACTTTCTTCTTTTTTAGACCAAAACTCACTTCATTGATTCATAAATATAATAACAGTGCATTAAAAAATAGAATTTCTTGAATAATCTAGAAAAAATGACGTTCACGTTCTAGTCAAAGAACCGTTAAAATTGCGCGAATGTGATACAAAAAATAGGAGCCAACATGCGAGACGATTTTTCATAATTCTCATACGGGCATTTTTTTTTACTATTTCCTCTCTTTTAAATATTTTTTTTTAAATTTATTTATTTAAAAATTGAAATTTAATAATTAATTTATTAAATTAATTCCTCCTTTTTAAATATTAAATTAATTTCTAAAAGAAATATATAAATAAAAAATTAACTGTCAAATTAATTAGCCAATAAATTATTATTTAAACTATTAACAATTTTATACATACAAGCAAGTGTATCTTTAAATATTTACATTATGATTAATAATAATAATAATAATAGTTGTTAGTAAAGAAAAGAAGAATGAATTTCAAATTATAAAAATAAAAATTGTTATAGAATTTCGAGTCAGAAATCAATAGCACAGAAATAATACAATTTATAAAAGAGAAATACCCAAAAACCTGAAAATATTTCAAAAGTCTATTTTTATACATTATCGATAAAATATACAATTTTTATTGGATGCTGAAAAAAAAATGGAACACTGATTCCTTTCACTGGACATAAATAAAAGAATTACCATTTTTTTTTTTTTTCGTTGAATTTTGTTTCATCAAATTATGAATATTCATGCAAATATTTATTTTAAAAATTATTTTCTTTAAAAAAATTAATTTAATAAAAATAATTAAAAATTTATATATTTGCAATAAAAGTATTTGTTATCATTTGTGTGATTTAGGAATTTGACAATTTCCAAATATAACTGGATCAATTTTACGTTACAATTTGTTTAATTTTCACTCAATAAATAAAATTATTGAGATAAATATATATATATTTTTTTCTTGTTGTAAAAAAACAAAATTAAAATTCTCTATGTAGTAATGATATTGAAATTGATTATTATTTTTTTCTAATTAAACTTTTTCATGAAAGTAACAATTAACGATAATCAATCAATGATTTTGCTGTAATAAGTCTCCTTGATCCACTATTAGGTTTTTGTCATCCTCCTTTCATATGTCACACATCTGATTATCATATTCGATGGATCTATGTAAATAAATCGTTTAAGGATAATCTATATATATATATATGATACAACTTATTAGTAAAGAAGGAATACTGAAAAAAAATATATCAGTTCAATTATACTAATTATTACTACTTTAAAAAAAAAGCGTTATTTTCTAGAAATTGAAAATGTTATTTAATGAAGAGAGAATAATTTAATAAATCACTTATACATATTTACAAAACAATTGGTACCATAAAAAAATATATAATTTAAAAATACTGATTTTAATTTTAAAGAAAATTAGAGTTTTTTTTCATGAAATAAAATAAAAATTAAATATTTTATAGAATGAAAAAATGTTTGTTTATTTTAAACTTGGTACTTTTAGAATTACTCAATAGTTGTCTATGAAGAAATGTGCAAACGTGATTCAGTTGCTATAGCAACTGATTCTGTGTTCGTATCGACAGGCTTTTATTACAAAATCTAAAAAAGAATACCGGTTTTTTTTTTTTTTTGCGATTTATCCAAATGTAAGCTAATTTTATATAAAAATAAGAAAAAATTTTCGTAAATAAAAAATACGAGTGAAATTATATTTTTATAAAAAAAATATATGTCCAAAAATGTATTTGACAATATTGAAAAATATTTAGAATTTCCTCTGTATAGAGTCGAAAAAAATGAGAGCAAATTAAATTTTTTCTAAAAAATATAAAATACTTACCAACAACGACGAAGAGAAATAACGTCGTGGCAATCTTCATCTTTGTTGATCCAGTTTAAAGAATTGCAAAAAAAATGAAGAAAATACGGTCAGACAACTCTTGTCTGATACATACGAAATTCAAGAATTGATTTTCGAGTTTTACAATTTTTTCAAAAATTTCCCTTTTTTTTTCTTAAAAAAAGAACACCATTGTCATACACTTATTGATAAAAGAGGGGAAAAAAGAATGATTTTGTGTTTCTCCAAATTTTCAGTGATTGTATAAAAATTATTTTATATGGAAAAGAGCTCGTGATATTATACGCGACACGTTACTCGTACTCACAGTTACTAATATCCTGTGATATATACTAGTCGGTTGAAGAAAAGCATGTCTGCGGCCGCACTTTCATATCAGAGGAGAACACACAGTTGCTGGACACAAAACGAGGTGTAAGAACGGCTTTGAAGCCCCACTAAGTTCCCCCATGACAAGGCCCTGCTTCTGCGGGTCAATGATGCGAACACACTCTCCGATTCTCATATGTCCAACGTTTCTTATGATCATAAAATGTATATATGTATATATATAAGTCGGAAAGAAGAAAGAAAAAACGACTATATCAGGGTAAGAGAGGTGCCACTGACCCACTCGCTTCACATGATAACGGGATCGTTCACTTGGCGTAGAACGAACATTGTTCTAATCCACCATTTAGATCTAGAGGTCGAGAGGATTCACTGAAAAAAAAAACAAGTCAAGAATATTAGCAAACAGAGCAGCAAATTAATTCAATTAATTAGCGAACATTAATTACCCAATCGGAAATAACATTTCTGAAAAAAAAATTAACTCCATATTTTTCTGATTATTATTATTAAATTCATTAATCATTAAATTTTTAATTAAATTTATTATTCGTGAGATTTATTTGTCAAAATGTTAATAATTACATTTATTTATTAATATTAGATAGTTAATTTTGATTTAAATTTTTTTTAAATTATATAATTTGTGAATATTAATTTTCATGGAAAAATATCCAAGGAGAGTTCACATACAAATTTATAATTTATTAAACACAATTATTAAGTTTGAAAATAACAGCAGATATATATGTTTTTTCACAAAAAAAAAGATGACAAAATAAATACAAGAGATCTTGAATATGTCACAAAACTTAGATTTATATACATTACGTATACGAAGAAGAAATTTTTGTTTTAACATTCGAATAAAAATTATTTTTACTTGTGTGTATTAAAAAAACAACACAAGATATTTTATTCGTAATAAATAAAACTGGCAAGATTCACTATTTTTTTTTTTTTTTTTTTTTGTCGTCAAGACATTATTTCTCTTTAAAAAAAAAACATGCTAAACGATTTTTAATATATGAAACATGGAAACGAAAGAAAAACATAAGAACAATTAAATTAAAATATTAAATCTATTTTGCCTGCGATCAATAATAAAAAAAAAAACACTGTTTAGAAAAAGTTAAGAAAATCAGTGTTCTTAATTCGCATTGATGCGTTATAAGACTTACATTACTCTTCTTTTTATTTTGTTAAAATACTTAGATCTTAAGGGAAGTAGTTGGAAGATTTTTTCTCATTTTTTTCACTTCTTCTTCCTCTTTGCTTCCTGAAATAATCGTTTCATTTAAAATAATTTGTATTAATTTTTCATTTACAAAAATTTTATTCTAAAAATTAAAATTAATTCAAATATTGTTTAGAAATTTTTAATTTATATTTAAATATTTACCTTTCCTTTTTTCGCTGTCATAGGACATGTTGGAGATTTAATTTGTACATTATCTGAATTAGATAAAACTGTCATTTCGCAAAGATTTTCCATTTTTTCAGATTCAAGTTGAGAATTTTGTGAAACACTACAATTCTCTTTAATATTTTCCTCCTGATAATTTGTATCACTTATCAATTTATTTTCAAGACACTCATCATTTGTTTCTAATTTTTTTTCATTTACTTCGGTATTCTTTAATGTTTCACTTAATTTATCTATTTCATTTGTAATTTCAATTTTTTCTATTTTCTCGCTGATAATATTCTCAGTCTTATTATTGTCTACAGGCAATTTTACATCATTTGATATTTGATTTGTACTGTCAGAATTTGATACACAAATTTTTTCTAAATCATTATTTTTCATTAAATTATCATTTGAATTATTTTTATCTGATTGTTCTATTTCTTTAGTTTCTTGATCAATTACTTTTAGTTCAGTATCTTTAGTTTCTTGATTCGAATCATTTTTCAATTCATCTTTAATTATTTCAGGTTGATTAATTTCTGAAACAAGTTCTTTATCTTTTGTATTTTTACTCTCTTGTAAATTCTCTTGTTTAGAAGTAATTTTTTCATCTGATATGATTTCTTCTTTTTGGATTTTATCATTATTTTCATTTTTCACTGTTGATGATTCATTCTTTTTTTGTTTTGCATCCTGTTTTTTCTTCTCTTTTCTTTTTGTAGATTCTGTTTTTACTGGTGGTTCATCAGTTTTTTGATTTGTTCGCTTTGCCTCTTGGGCGGCAATATCTTGCATTAATGATTCTTGCGCTTGTGATAAATTATCACCCAATTTTTCTGAGACTTTTGTGAAATTTTCAATTTGTTCAATTGATTTAACATTGTCAGTTTGAATGGAATTTGATTCGACAGTTTTCTCCTTTAATTGCATAATGAGTGTTGTTCGCTCCTGTTGAAAAGCTTTACACAATTCTAAAAGAAGTAATCGTTTTTTATTGAGACCCTCAATTTCAGCGTCTCGAGTTTGTTTATCGGCGGCCATTTCAAGTAGAGCTTGATGACTCTTCTCCCAACGCTGTTTCCATAATCCTGTTTCTTTTTCGAGTTTGTAAATTTTCTTTGACATCTGAAAGAAAAAAATAATTTAAATGAAATATTATGCGAAAATTTAAATTCAACTTCAATAATTTTATTTCTTACTTTCTCCATTTCCTCATTGAATCCGCCAAATACTTGATTGCTTTTTGTTAAAGCATTTTGAAATTCGTCGTATTTGTCAGTGTACATGCTTATTTGACTTCTGAGTCCCACTTCCTGGGCCTGCATTTCTTTCAGTCTCAATTGATATTCGGCTAATTTCTGAAATGAAGAAAAAAAAGATGAATCAAATATTTATATGAAAAAAAATTTATTTAAAAAAAAAATTGAAAACTCACTGCCAAAAGTTGTTTTTTCTCATTCAAGAGTGCTTCTTTCTCCGATGTCATTTCCAACGTGACTTTAGCTAATTTCGCTTCGGCCAATTGAATTTCCAATTGCATTTGTTGATGAATTTTTTCAAATTGCTGTTCTCTCAATTCAACTTGTTCACAGAGGGATTTAAAATTTTTACTCATTTCCATATTGTCTTCGTAAAGTTTGGTATTTTTTTCATTATTTTGACTCATAAGAGCAGTAAGTTCGCCCAGGGTACTTTGAAATTTGGCCGATACTTCCTTACGTTTTTCCTCTTCTTCGCGAAGTTTAAGTAAACTCTCTTCTTTTACGGCTTTATTTTGTCGTTGTAATTCACGACATAAACTTTCAAGTCGACTTCTTGTTAAAACAGCTTTGCTACGCTCTGTTTGTAATTGATCTTTCTCGCGTTGTATCATTTGAACTTTTTTCTCCGATTGCTTTAATGACAATTGTAATTTACGATTTTCATCAATGACTTCAGAATATTTTTTACACATTGCCGATAATTTTTCGTCAGCATTTTCAATGCTGACCAAACTTTTTAACACTTGCTCAACACCTCGTTCCTCCTTTTTCTTCGGTTTTTCATCTTTTACATGCTTTCTTTCTCTGTGATGCACAGGTTTTGGCTGTAATGTTTTTATTATTATTAATATGAAAATATAATTATGATAATGAATTATTGAATAAATGACAAATAAAACATTAACTGTATTATTTGTTTTAATTATCAAATTTGTTTATTAATTAAAATTGACATTTTGTTTTATATACAATTTTTTACAAAATTTCTAACCTCATTTCTAAACAATTTTTACTATTTTTACAAAAAAGACGAATTAGAAAAAAGAAGATATATTTAAAAGATATTGTTTAAAAATGTTAATATTTAAAACTTTAATGAATATTGTAATAAACAAAAAATTGTTTTTTTTTTGAGGTTATGTTGAGAGTGTGTTTTGTCAGAAAAAAATTTACTCACCTCTGCTGTTATATTTTCCGTTTTCTTTTGAGCTTCAGTAGCTTCAATTTTAACACTTTCATTTATATCGTTATCCATTATCAAAACATCTGTAGAACAATAGATATAATTAATACAACCTGAGAACGACCTCAATATTTTTGTGTTTGGTTTTTGTTCGAAAATGATTCGCATGCGATTCGGCAGTAAATAAGAATGAAAACTCGCGGTTTTATTTGAAATTCAATTCATAAATAGTTTAGAAAAATTATTATTATTTTCTATTTAATTGACAATTTGTTAATAAATAATAATTAATTTTATTTTCAGAATATACCATTGAACTTTGCAAACAAAAATGTAAATAAATAATGTTTATATGGAAGAAACTTTCATTTGTACACTGAAGTATAACCAGTTGCCTATCAACAGGCGAAGTAAATTAGCTCCGATATAAAGGTATTTTATCATTTTTTTAAAAATAGTTTTAGTTAATTTTAATAATGAAAAAAGTAATTGTATTTTTTTTATAACAATATGAATAATAAACAATAAAATTATTATTATAATTAATACTTTTTGCATATTATAATTAAAAACTATTATAAAGACAAAAAAAAATTATGAAACAGTAAAATAGGGAAAGTTAATTAAAATTAAAGTAATAAATATTTAAACAATGTAAAATATAAAAAAAAAATATTTAAACAAATTTATATTTGTTAAGAAGATAAAGTGTTATGAAAATATGTTAATGAGGAAAAAAATTCAAATTAGTAAATTACAGTGTAAAACATGTGGAAAATTCATTGAAAAATTTTCTGTAATACAATAAATGCGACAAATTAAAAAAAAAAATTTTAAACAAAAATTGAAAAATATTTCACTATAGAGTATCTATTTTTGAAACATGCAACTATGTTTTTTTTTTTTTTTTTGCTATTTTTACAAAGTAAAACTTTAAAAATTGTCTATTGACACTCACTAATGTTCGATGCGGACAAAAAAAAGTTGAGCACTAAATAATATTGATCACAGTGATAAAAATTATTTTTCCTTTTTGATTTTGAAAATTTATATTTAAAAAAAAAAACCTTTTTTTCAGAATGCGGAAAAGAAAAACTCGCGTGGTTGATCTGAAGATGTGTGCCGAGAAAGAAATCTGAAAAAGTCACGTCAGAGGTACAACAAAATGGTACGGTATGAGAAAAGAGGGAGAGTTCAACATAGTAGTTATTTTGGGAATATATCTAAAGTTAGAATACCTATAGGAGCTTCTAGACCAGTTTCAAGTATATGTACTTACTATAATCACATCTCTCAAAAAGTATATATCAAAAGAAATCACATATTATTAAATAACAATTAAAATTTGTCTGGAAAAATTGAAACGAATTTTTTTTTTTGAAAAATTTTCCTTTTATCAAATTTTTTTATGATTTTTTTTTTTTTCAAAGGAAAAGAGAGTATTTGTAAAATATTAATTTATTGAGACAAATTGAAACAAAAAAAAAAGTAAATTGAAATTTTTTGCCAATCCACATTGGTCAAGTATCAAGTATTCATATTGTGAACTTTTGAAGAATTTAATTAGCATAAAAATAAGAAAGAATGATTCTTATGGTAGCAATTTAGTCAGTATTTATTGTAATCAATTTCCTGATCATTTTCTATATTGTCCATTGTATGTTTATAGAAGTCCATTCTAAGATGAAGGAAATGCTTCTTATAAATAGCATTTGTTTTTAATTATTGTCACATGGAAAAATACTCGCATTTGTAATCCGTATAAATATTTTCCACTATTTTATAATTATATTTTTTATATTCTTAAATATTCTAAAAATAATAATAATATAAAAAAAAAAAAATTTCAATTTTTTGTAAAGAAAAATTCAATCAAGTAAAAAAAAAATGTTTCTTCCCCTTTGATATGGAATCCCATAATTATCATTAATATAACTGAAAAATTTGTGGTATATAAAATTAAAGACATCAAATCTTAATAAAGGATCAGGAAAGAACTATTTAGAGGAAAAAATTTTTTTTTTCTTTTTTGACGTGAGATTATGAAGGGTATTTGACCTCAAGCTGAAATCGATAGGACATTTACATGATTCGTATTTTTTCTCTTCAAATTTTTTTTATTTATCAAAAGAGCAGGTATTTCTATCTTTTTATAATTTAAAAAAAATATATAGGACATTATTCTTGATAAGGGTTTTTAGATGTACTTGTGTGTATATAATTAAAATAAGATTATTATTAATGGAGCGCTGAAAACATTAAAATTTTTTTTTCATATAGCAAAACGAGAACAAGATTCATATCTTATTTAACACGAAGTTGAAGATTCAATAAAACGGTCAACAGTTTCGTAAGAATTATGGATATTTGCATTGGCACGCAAATTTATACAATTTTCAAAAAAAGAGTGTTGAATGCAAAACTACATAGTTTGTTCTTATTTCAATTTCAAAAATTAATATTCCAATAATTTTTCTAGTTAATCAATTTTTCGAAAATTTATTAATTATTACAAATATAAATTAAAATAGAATTTTTTTGCTTTTTTTGTTTATTTTTATTTATATACGTTTCAAATTTGTGAACAACAACGTGTTTACTGTAGAGAAATAAAATTTGGTTCTAACCCTCATTGTAAAAAAAGACACGCAAAAATGTTTCATTAATAATTATTTCTAATCTACATAATGATGGTACTTTATGTACCTGTTGGAAGGACGAATGCAAACGCAAAAAAAAACAAAAATAACGTTTAGAAAAATAGTTATTAATTATTAATTAATTATTAATTAATTATTAAATAATAATTATTCACTACTAATTATAATAATTATTATTGAATAATTAACTAATTACTAGTAAATTGATAAACCAATAAAATAAGAATCATTGTATCTATTATTTTAACTAATTAATTAATTTATAAATTAAATTAAAATTTGAATTATTATTTTCAGATCCATTCAACTTGTTTTCATTCTCTATGAAAATATTATTATATCGACAATGGATGAGAGAGAAAAAGAAAGAAGAAAAAGAAGATATATATTCAAAATAAAAAAAAAAAAAAAAAAATCATTGAATTATCATGAAGAAGATTTGAGAAGATGCGCAAATTGTTTGCGCGCTGACCCACAATTTTATCAGCAATGTGTCTCTATAAACAAAACTGCTAGGACCTCGTGTTTTTGATTCAGTGAGGCGGCAACTGTGAAATGGAAAAAATATTCTCGTCAATTTTTTCCAATTTTTTTTTCAATATTCCGCAGTCATTTGACGATTTAAAAAAAACAAATTAATTAAAATCATCAATTTTTCATCAATCAAAAAATTGAAGGAAAAAAAAAAATAAATGTATTTTCATTCAACAATCTTGGGAGAAGAAAATTTCTTATAACAAGTGAAGATTGTATTGTGAACATTTAGCTGTTTACCAAAAAGAATACATACCTCTTTCAAATTTTTGATAAATTTATCAAAAAGTGAATTATCAAAAAAGAAAAAAAAATTTTAAACTAGTGATTTAAAATTTGTGCGAACTGTGTTTTTGATTATATTTGAAAACTACTTTCTGGCTTATACAGGTATAAAAAACAGAAAAAGGTTTTATTGCAATGTTGCCAGATTGGAGAATGATAAAAAAAAATTTGGACTATTCAAAAGAATTGTGACTATATTTCTACAAAAGAGTTAATTATATATATATATATATATATATATATATATATATATCCATCAAGAAAATAAACCGGTTCATTGAGAAAAAAAATGTCAATCTTTGAAGATGACTTTCACATATCTCCAAAATTCATTTTATGATTTTTCGTTTAAAAAAAAGAAGCTTAATTAAAAAGGACAATAGAAAAAAATTCTAATTCTCAACTGAATAATAAACTCACTTCCTTATTTAATGAAATAATTTTGAAATAAACACGCATGTTTCATTGACACTAAAAATTATTTAGTCCCATTAGAGATAATGAAAAAGTGAGGAACAAATTTTTTAATCACTCTTCAATAAAATGTCACGCGAAGATAATGAATTTAGAAAAACGAGGAGAATTTTCTTCGAATTATCAATGTATCATCGATGAATTTTCATGATAACGTTTCAAGAAAATGTTTAAAATATATATAATAGAAGAAGTTGAGTATTATAAACTGAAAGTTGTATATGAGAGAAAAAAAATTTTTTTCTTTTAAAAGGATATCGATTAATATTAATTGGTTATATGAAATAGGGGTACAAAGTGTATAGTATATAAAAATAACATCATGGAAGTTACAACATCATTTGATCATTTAAGTATGACAAATATTACTAATGATAAAATGGTGCCCTATGTGAGTTTTGCAAAACAAATGCTACTTACAATGGTTTACATTGCTGGTGTTGTGGGCAATGTTTCGGCATTAACAATACTTTTTCATAAAGACAAGGTCAGTAATTAATTATAATAATAATTAATAATTACCAAAAATATAATTAAAAATAATAATAAAATCGATTTTTATTGCAAAATTTTTATTCCATTTCCAAATTCAGTTTGAAAAATTTCTTAATTGATGACATTCTATAAATCAAAAAAAAAAATATTTATTATTATTTCAAGAAAAAAATACAATCTTCTTCCGCTTTTATAAATATTTTTATAAAAAGTTGAACAGCTAATCAATTATATAAATATAGTAGTGAATTAGAAATCTTTTTTTAAGAGAAAATTTATTTTTTCCCTTTTTTTTTATTAATATTTTGTCTAGTCTTGAGAAAATAAATAAATTTCGAAAAAAAAATTCTTTAACATGTCTGAAAAAATATTATTTATAATAAAATACCATTAAATTAAAGAAATCAATCTTTATTTGAAAAAAGAAGACAGTGATAATATATTATTTACTGCGTCTAAAATGTCTTTTAGTGGTTCATTGAACAATAAAGAGATGGAATCTAAATTAGGGTGAATACGATGTGAAATATAATCAATAATTTATGAAAGTAAATAATATATTATAAATGCAAACACGTCCACTGTTATTTACTGGAATAATAATTAATAAAATATAGGATAAAATAGAAATTAAAAATTGGATTATAATTTTAAAAAATCATGTTTTTTTTTTGTCTTACAGAGAAGGAATCCAAAGCATTTATTGATGCTTCGTTGTCTCGCTACTAACGATTTGGTAGCATTATTGGGAATGTTGGTGCAAATGTATGTGACAATTTATGTTAATGACGTGCAATCATCTCAAATTGTTTGTTCATTTCGTGTGATATGGAGACTTTTTGGACTCTTTAGTGGATGTGTTGCCATTGTTATGGCAGCAGAAAGATGGCTTGCTTTAACCAGACCCTTCGTTTATCAAAAGGTAATAAAAAAATTAATTATTATTAATAAATTAATTATTAAATTTAATTAAATTTTTAAAATAATTTAAAAATTGCAAAATTTTACCAAAATTAAATTTTTCACTTAAAGAAAAATAGTTTACTTTAAAAAAGAAATGTGAATAAAAAAAGAAAACAAATTTTTTTGATAAGAAATCAGTCTGAGAGACACAAAAAAGATGATTGCAAAGAAAACTATTTATATAAAAGAAAAAGAAAATATTTAAAGGGTTGAAGACAGTAGCAAAAGGTTTACGACCATATAGTCGTCTAGAGTACGTAATCAAATATTACTAAAAAAAGAATGAGCAAAAAATGCGACTCTATCTCCTAGATAAAGAATTACGAAGAAATAATAAATTAAATCATCAGTGAAAATTTCTTCAAATCAGTTTAAAAAAAAAAAATTATTTATTTCTTAATGTCAAATTTAATTATTATTTTTTATTAATAATTTAATGTTATTAATTATTGAAATATTTTTTTATTTATTATTTATTAATTTTTTAATTTAATTAAATGCTCGTATAAATTTTATTCGAAAACCCAATGTGCTCGCGTATGAAATGAATGAAACCTAGAAATGAAATAACGCTGAAAATATAGTATTAATTTAATTTTGTCTCATTGTGATGTCTAAGGACACTAATTACCTCAGCATGATCATCAGACAATATATTAATGATAGATGGATATAAAGAGTTAATTTAGAAAATTGGATCCATATTGGGTGAACCTTTTAGTTATATTTATAAAAAACATACATAGATTGAAATCTCGATTTTATGCGATCATAAAACTTTTATCATCATTATTCATATCATTGAACATATAAAAATATTTTTTTTTTTATTCTTTTCTTTATTTTTTCAAATTAAATAGAAATATTTATTGATCCTTTAATAATTATTGTATAATTTATTATAAAAGTATTTAAAGTTTTGATATCAATATGCAAGAGGAGGAAAAAAGAATACTTTTTTCTCGTATATTTTTAAAATTAGTCACAAAAACCATGACCTGACATTGAAAATATTTTAAAATTTCTTTTTGAAAAAGAAAAATTGAAAAATCAAGTTCAAGATTAACTATTTTTTTTTTTTTGCTTGCAAATATTATTGAAAATTTCAAAAAAAATCATTTTCTTTTATTTAACGTGTAAAAGAAAAAAATTGCTTCAATTTATAAAATCTTCACAAATAAAAATAGGATATTTGCGCGTGTTTTTTTTTAAACTGGAACAGGAAACTATTATTTTATTTTTTTATTGCAACTAGACGCATAATTTATTTTTGAAGGAAAATAAAGAGTAGGGTTAAAAAAAAATTTTATTTGAAAATTCATTTTTTACATCAAACACTCCTTGAAATTAATAAGATTATTAATAATATTAACGCTAAAAAATATATGAATATTAAAAAAAAAAATTTCTTTGTTAAATTCTTATTTATTTTTAATAATATTAAAATAACTGAATTTACATATCGTGCGTTAAAAAATTTTTTTTGCATAAAAATGCCAAATAAACGGAGTGTGTTATTTTTCAATCAAAAAACTTTTTTTTTTTGCCAATCTACCTGATACATTGTTTCAGAATTTAGATCGCCGACTTTTTATCAAGTAAAAAGTTCATAGGTCAATAGCAGACAATTCTGTACACTAATAATCTTGACCTCAAATGCGTCAGTTATCTCACATTTAGTTGTGTCTCCTATATTTAATTTTTTTTTAGAATTTTTTTTTTCTTAATATAAAAATATAATGTCAAAAAAATTGTTTTATGGGAATAAGAATTTATTAAAAAAATAAAATAATTTTTAGTTTTTTTTTTTTTTTGAAATTATAAAAATACGATTGCAATTTTCAGTATCAAATATTTATCTAAAGCTTTTTTTCTTCTTTTATTTTCACATATCGAGAGGAAAAAGTTGTGTTATATTTGATTCATTGACTTAAACCTTCGAACTAAAGATGAGAAATGGACTTTTTGACACGAAACTTATAATTGAATATAGGATTTTTTTTTATTTCATTCAATTTTCGATTCTAAAAATATTTTTCGAATATGTCATTACAAATAATATTTATGTTACATTTTATTATGTATAATCGCATTATTTTATTTTTATATTTTTATAAATAAACATTGTTATATATTCATTAAAAACAAACATTTTTTTGATAATATTTGTTTCACAACAAGAATAATTAAAAAATCGGGTCAATAACATTGTAATCTTTATATAATCGTTAATCAGAAGTCTTGTATATATATAATTTTATCATTGCAGATTTCAAAATTCAATTTTATTGAACTATTTAAGAAATAATGCTTCTAATTATTTTTATTTATTTTTCTTATTTTTGTTGTAAAAAACAAAATTTATTATTTATCACTCTATTTATTCAAACAAGGAAAAAGTATTATGAAACTATTTTCGATTTGTTGAATTCCTGATAATCTGAAAAAAAAGATCCCCCAAACATACTAAAAAGTCTTCTTTCGTAATTTGATAAAATATCGATTTAAGGTCAAAATGAATTTAAAATTATTAAATTTCTGGGAAATTTAGATTAACTTGTCTTTTATTTTAATAAAAAATTAAAAACAAAAAAATTTAGAATAAACAATTATTACTAAAAATAAAAAATTATAAAGTAGAACATATCTCTAAAATTAGAAATTAGTTTCAAGGATATCCTAAAAATATATATATTTATACTAAAAGGCATCATCTGTCAATGTAGAATCATATTCATGGGAAATAATGAAATTAACGGATTATAAATGTCAAATTAGTTTAGTGCATTTTCATCATTATTATAAAATAAGGCAATAATTTTTTTTATTCTTTTTCCCATTAAAAAGAAAAGAAAAAAATTTTCATCAAATGATTCAACTAAAATAAACTTTTCCTTTGGTGCGTTATTCAAAAAATATTTTTTGAGGAAATTTTTAAATATAAAATATTTGTTTATTTACAAAAGTCCAATGATCTTTCATTACTATTTATTTATTTTATCATTTACTATTTTTATTATTTTATAATTATTATTAATATTTGTATATTAAAACTATTATCTTTAATATTTAATTGTAAAATTTTGAAATTTTCAAAAATTTATTTTTTAATTATAAAATTTTTTTTTGAAAATATGAATTTTCATTTTTTAACGATACTTAAAATTATTCTGATAGAGAGGCATTTTTATGTATCTTGTTTTACATTTCCATAATATATTCTCTTTTACCCTCAATATTTAAAAGAATTATATCCCTTTTTTTCAATCATAAAAGATATTTATTACTGAATAAAATTCTTTGAAATTTAGAAATTTTCAAATCATTAATCTTTTTTTTTCTCCCTTTATATTGTTACACGAATTTTCTCAATATATTGTGTATCTATATATAGATTTTCTTCTTTTTCCTTTTTCAAAACAAAAGACAATGATTTCTTCTGAATTCGTCCCTTTTATTTTAGGAAATTATTGCTTATGGTTAGTAGTGTTCAGGCAATAAAAAATCGTCTATTCCGCAAAATCTATGAGTCTTAATATATATTATTGCCGAATTGGGGGAATCTTATAACCAACATGGCTTAAATTATAAGACAAACAGGAATTAGAAAATACTATAAATACAGTTTTCCTATATATCCAAATTAAATCTTTATATTTGTATGTTAGATTATTTTATTTATATATCATATTGAAGCCATTTGGAAATTATTTTTTTTATTATTATTTATTATAATTATTGTTTGAAAAAAAAAATGGTAAATATTTTTAAATTAATGATAAAATTTATTTTTTAGCACGTGACATTTCCAGTAATTGTGAGATTCATGTTGATCCTTTGGTTGGGAGCAGCGGCATTAACAACATTGCCACTTTTTGGATTTGGTCTTTATTTTAAAAATGGAAAATGTGGCCGATATAGAGAAGCCGAAGAAGCCGGTGACATTGCGTACGCCTATATTTGGTTTATATGTGGTTTGTAAATTAATTTTAAATTATATATATATATGTAAGAAAAAAAATTGAATTTTTAGAAAATTTTTATTTTTAGCGAAATTACTTTTTTTTATTTTCATCTAGACAAAAAACAATTGTCAAAAGAATAAATTACTATTTTTTTCGAATAAATAAAACTTAATATCAATTTTTGCTAAAAGAAAAAAAAAGATAAATAATTTTGTTTCTTTATATACAAAAGTTTTGTCATCTAATCTTTCTCTTTTTTTCAGGCACCCTTCTTTGTTTATCCATTGTGGCGTGTAATTTGGCAGTTTCTCGAGCACTCAATCGAATGGGACGTCGAACCGGAAATATAAGACGTATTTCCAGAGCTTCATCGAGAATAAAGCCACTTTTAACGGTCGCTGGTTCAACACAAGAAGTAGTTGCCACCGCTGAAGAAAGAGCATTTTCCCGTCTTATGGCTGTTTTATCAATCTCATTCGTCGTTTTTTGGATGCCTCAAATGGTGAGATTTTTAATATTTCTTTTTTTTTCGATAATATAATAATAAATAATTAGTAAAAAAAAGAAAATAGAGAAAAAAATTAAATAACAAAAAGCTTTTCTCTTTTCATTTGTAATACAAATATTTGTATAGAATTTAATTTTTTTGTTTTCCAATAATTTATGTAAAGCGATGGGATTTGTTTTGAGAATGGAAAATGGCTATTTTTAAAAATATCAACGATGTATATATAAGGATTTTCAAGAATACATTTCGTTATATAGGCTATAGTAATTTTTATCACGTAGAAAGAAGTAACTTTATATATATTCAAGAAGGGAGGCTGGGGATTTCACCACAAAGATCTTTTCAAAGCGATAATTTTTCTTCACCCGTGCGTATATACTTATATATAAAATTATAACTGGTCCATTAGAAGACAAAACGTCATCATTTTTCGTTTCTATTCAGTGAGCATCAAAAGCTCATGAAAAATAGTTCGAAATTTTTATTAACTTCCTTAATAACTTGTATAAAAAAAACTTTTTTTTTTCAAGGATATACTTATTTTCCACATGTCAAGTTGGAAAGGTGATGTTACTGATAAAAGATTCCCTTGAGATGAGGCACAATTTTACAATTTTATCCCATATTTCATGTTGATACTTGTTAGAAGTATCGTTAAAAAATTTTAATGCTAATTTTGTTCAAAAGTTGATTTTAAAAAATTTTATTTAATTATTTTAATATTAATTATTTATAAATTATTGCATTATTAATTATTTTTTTTTTCAATTATTATTCGAGAATTTTTCTTCTGAATCACTGACAATAATTAATTTAATAATTTTTATTATTAAAACATATCAAATATCTAATCAATCTAAATTTATAGTTGTGAATTTCGCTTTCACGAAATAAAACGAATACCCTCAGGTCAAATGTATTATCTAGAAGAAAAGACAATATTGTTGTGGCTTGTTCCATTTTCGCGTTTTTTGCTTTCTTCATCTCTTTCTTTCCTTATTTGTACGTCTGGGAATAATCCTCGAAATTTTACAAAAATTTCATACTCGCCCAAAGTCACGTAGTCAAAATAAATTTGTAATTTTAATTGTAAAATTTATTTTTCATATCGAATTTGAAAAAAAAAAATTAAAAAGGATTGAAAAACTGTTAATTGATGTTAAATGTTTTTTCATTAATATTAAATAATTAAAATTATTTTTCAACGAAAAAAGTATTTGCCAATAAATCATAAAATTTTATATATATACTTTTAAATTGGTATTGATATATAGCAATACAAGTTGCGGCAAAATATTGTCCGTTTAATAAATTTAGATGAATTCAAGAATAACAGTGAGCGGAATATAAAAAATGTGAATGTCATTCTTTTATCACACGAGAGTAATATTTTGTTTGGAACAATGCCCTAGAGGGAAATGTCGTTGATTTACTCACGATATGTGCATGTTAGTTTTATGAAGAATGAATGCGCATACTGTCAATGACAATGACAATGAACCGATAAACATAAAAGGATTATAATTAACCCGCGCTGTTGATTTAATAAACCAAAAGACTCGTCAAGGTTTAAGACCTCTTGAAATTATTTTTCATGTTTTTTTTCATTATAATTGAAATTAATTATTAATTTTTCACGCAAATATATTTAGAATGTAGATTTTTATATATGTAATAATATATTATATTGTGATTTCGTAATTATTAATTTTTATTTATGTATATATTTTATTATTACAGATATCAATTCCATTGACGCAATATGAGCATACAATGCCTAGTAATGATGGAAAAGTTATACGCAAAATTTTCAAAATCTTTTATGGAATTGCTGATATACTTTTATGCATTCATTTTACTCTGGATCCATATATTTACGTAATTCTGAGAAGGCGACATCCACATTTTGGTTTTTTTAAACCATTGTGTCGTATGTGTTGGACACCGAGAAGTAGATCGAATTCTTTAACAGGTTATATTTTTATTATTATTTTTAATATTGAAATGCATGACTATCGTTCAATTTCTAATTTTCCATTTACCTGAACTCAAAGATATTTTTTTATTGATTATCAAATTGTTTTGTTCTTTTTTTTTTAAACCTGATTTTTTAATTAGGAAATTATTGATTTATGTGTGTTTTTTAATTTATTTCACTAGAAATTCATCTAAATTGAAAGTTGATTTATTTTACGTTCTTTTCTATATTTTTAATTATTTAATTAAAATTTTAATTAATCATATATTTTACTATGACAGAAGAAATAAATTAGTCTCACAAAGCTTAATTTCCATTTTAGAAATATTAATTAATACAATTAGTATTTTTAATATTGAATGTTCGTAGACTATTTTTCGATATGTTAGAAAAATAGTAATAATAAAGAAAAATATGTTCAATAAAATTGAATATATTAAATTAATTACAAAATTTAAATTTTTATCGTTTTCTAATAATATAGGGAGAAATAATGGGATCATGTTATGTAAAAATTATGTAATAGTATATAATGAGCTAATAAATGAAAATAATCCTGCTTCTTAGATTTAATTTAAAAATTTGTTTGAAAGATTTTGATTTTTAATTTCAATAAACATTAGAAGTCATTTTGAGTTTATTAAAATTTTAATAATTGATTTAGGAACAACTGAACATCATTGTAGTAGTGCTGATTTGCCAACACCTATTACCGAAGCTCCATCAACACCAGTCAGTGAGGTTCATGAACCTCAGTTAGTTTCTGTTGCTGTATGAATCCTAATTTTTAAAAAATTTAATTTATTTGAATTCAAACAAGAGGGGAAATTAATTTTTTTATTTGTTTCATTAGGTATAATTGTACAAAATTTTTATCAGATTTACGTCTATTATTTACAAAAAAAAAAATTTATTTTTTATAAACATTCTGGTATTTTGAGAAATTAAGTATTGATGAAATATTAGGATTTTAGTTACTTGAAGCACGAAATTTGAGAAGTTCAGAAGTATACTGAACTTCTAGAATACAAATTTTAATATACTCTTATTAGATTCCTTTGTAATCTATCCAAAAAGAAAAATCCTCATGGATTTGTTATTATACGATTTATTAATCATATAGTATTTTTATATTTTAGTTTAATTTTGATAACGTTTGTACTTTTAAAAATTATTTTGTAAAAGAAAAACTATATTTTGATAATCTAAATGGAATTTTTTAAGAGTATGTCACACATATATCTTTAAAATTTTGAAAAGAAATTTGTAGTGTATATAATTAAGTATAATTAAGTTACTTATATAAAATAACTAAAATATCTTTAAAGATTTTCTTTTCATCGACTAATTTATTTGATAAATTATACGATATTTTCTCTTGATATTAAAGTGTATTATTATTGAATATCAAGAGAAAAATTAAATTTTACAATTTAGAATAACGCAAATGTGATCTAAAAATTGAGATTGTAAAGTGTAAAGACTTTTAATACATTCCATTAAATAGTTTATTATTTACAGTCTATGTAAAATAAACAAAAAAAAATTATTCTATTTAAAATAGAACCAAAAGCTCCGATCATTTGTTTTTGCAAATGAAAGTGACGTTCTAATTTTGAAAAAAGTCATTATCAAATTTAAAATTAAATTTTCAGAAAAATTAAAAAACTCTCCAATAAATTTTTGAAAAGTTTTTTTTAATTTTTAGTCTGAAATTTATATTTTTCTTACAAAATTTTTTTTTAAATTTTAAACCCTTTACAGTCAACAATTTAATTATAATTAAATTATTATTATTTTCTCAAGTATTGAGAAAATGTAATTTTTTTTCTATTATTTCATGACAAAATTTATACAAATCATTGTAAGTGATAATGATCTTTGTGATTAAATGTCCATTTATCTAGTCAGTAAATGTATCAATTTATTAAATAAGGTAAAAATATAAAATCAAAGACTACAATGTATATGTATTTTAATAATAATTAAAATATTATTTAAGCTTTTGCTTTTGTACTTTAGAATAACTTTTGTTAGACAATTAATAAAAGAAAGATGTTTTAAATAGATAAATTTTTTTAATTTAAAAAATATTGGAAAATTTATTTTAATAAAATTAATATCAAATAAATATTTAAAAAAAAATGTAAATTCTGTTTTGTAAATATTATGTGAATATATATTTTTTATTAACTATTTGTCATTACTATAAGAAAATTAAAAATTAATGTATATTTCATATTAATTCAAAAATGTCTGACGAGCATAAATTTGTCGTGAATAAATGTAAAAAAAAGGCATAAAAGTGTCATTTTCTCTACATCGTCATCTTAAATTTGTTTACATAATTACCATTAATCATTATAAATTATAAATGTTAAATATTATTTTACATTTCTATTTATAATTAATTTCATAAATTATTTTAAACTTTGAAAATATAGGACAAAAATGTCGATTTATTTCCTTAGGATGCAAAAATAACTGAGGAATAGTTGATAAAATAAAATTCAATAATAAATATACATATATAGTACAAATATATTTAGCAGATATGCACTTCGTTCATAGACACAAACGGAAATATAATTTATCGTCATTTTACTTTACACAGATTGAATAAAAATGTATATACGTTTATTTATAATTTTCTCTTGTTGAAATTTTATATACTTTTATTATCATTAAATTAAAAAGATTTAATTTTAATATTTCACTATTTTTGTTTCTTGTATAGATTAAAAAATTTCTACTGCACGAAGAATAAAATTTTTGTATTTTATTTTTGAATTTTTGGAAAAATGTGAAATTTCACGAAAAAAGCTCTACTTAGGCAATTTTTTCTACCTGTTATATTTTTTTTCTTTCTTTTGGCACATATTTTTTATTAGAATTTTAGGCGCGCGTTTTTTTTCAGGTACTGCATTTTAAATTTAAATTAATAATCACTACAATTTTTTTTTAGTCTTGAAATGATAATATTTTTAAAATTTAGATCAATATACAAATTTAGAATTAGATTTAAATACAAAGAATGAAATAATAATAATGATAAATTTTTTAAAATGATTTATACATATATATATATTGTCTGATTTAAAGGCAGTAATTTTTCTAATTTATCCACAATTGAAAATTTTATTGAAAAGATGATTCTAGAAATTTTTTTGAAATATTTATATAATAAGAAATTTTTAATCGTCTTGATTACAATAAAGTTGAGACATTGATTGTTATGCATTTAATATATACACAATAGACAATGATTTACTATTTAGAGCTTTTGAAGCTTTCTTGCGCTTCATTTTTTTTTTTTTTTTTAGAAAACTTTGTTTTTCATTTTTTTTTAAATTACAAAAGATCTTTTTGAAAAATGATCTCTTTTTTTTGTACAAAAATTTATGGCAAAATAATTGCAGGACAAAAACAATTTTGTTCGCACATTATTTATGGAAACAAAGTTTCCTTTGACAAACATGTACATATTTGATATATATCTATTTAGAAAAAATTAGTTTTTGAAGAACAAATAGATTTTAATCATAATTAAGGAACAATTGTGTAAAACGATATAAGTATCGAGAAATTCTTTCATTATAACTTTCAGGCAGTGCGATAAAATTTTCTTTTCAGAAAAAAAAATAACTGATCCCTAGGACATTCTTGGTATATAGAAAAGTTAGGAGGCTGAAAGTTAATTTTCCAAATCGTAATTAATAAAATTCAATTTAATTAAAAAAATTAATTACAATATTGAATTAAAGTTAAAAACAAAGAGATAAAATCACTTTAAATTACATATCAAAACAATCTTATTAAATTTAAAAGAATTTTATCTACAATATTAAAATAAATTCAAGATATAAATGAAAATAAATAAATTAACAAGAGAAATAAATAAATTTCTCATATATCACAAAAAATGATAAAAAAAAAAAAATTGTCATATTTTTCAAAACTAAAAATATATTTCGATACTTGAAATACTGATAAGTATATTTATAGATAAAGTGAACTTATTAGAAAGTTGTTCATTATGAGTTTATCGAACTTTTAGGGATATAATTTCACTTCAAGATCGTATAAACTTTTTTTTTTTCGGAAACACGTCTTTGGAAAATTAGCTTCGGATGTTAGGATAAATTTACAAGCCTCTCTCCCTCTTTTTCTCTCTCTCTTTTTTTTTCTCCATCCCTCTTATTATTTGCTTTCTTTTTCGCCGATAAAGAAATTCGCTAGGGATTTAACTTCCATCGAGGACCCCAAACCATTAACCAAACTTTTTTTCCTCTCTTTTTTCTTTTCCTTGCCCAACCAACCGGCCGTCCATTTTAACTTTGTCGAAAGCAAATCGCTTCCTCCAAATGGCAAACTAGTTTCCATTGGTTCAAGAAGCAAATTTAATAATCCCAAGGATTTATCAAGAATCACTGGGACATCTTCCTTTTGTCAAACGACGTGACTCGATTCACATGGCGTGTCATGACGAAATTCATCAGAAATTATTTTCCGGACATGAAGCCGGTTTTTGTTATATCAAACTTTCCATAATAAAAGATGATTTGTCGAATCCTCACGACCAGCTTGAAGTTCAGCTGATGCTTGTGGTCCACGAAAATCCTCATATCCATCACCACCCGATATCACAAGAATTTTTCCATGATTTATATTATTTTGTGGAACATTGCCCGTATCATATGTGTAACGATTCATTTTTGGACGTGCATCATTTTTCGATTGTGTTGACATTTCAACACATGTTAAAAATCTTACGTGACCTGTGTGTCCATGTGGAACACCTAAAACGATATAAATTATTTATATTATTTTTTTTTAATAACATTTTACCAAAACACAATTTTTTTAATTTTAATAAAAAAATTACAAAACAATTTTTAAATTACTCCAAATAATTAAAAAATTTATCAAATGAATAATAATTTAATTTAATTTTCTCATTCATATTTAATAATAATTTAAATAATAAATTTATTATTATTTGAAAAATTAATTTTGATACAAAATATTGTCAATTTATTAAATTTTAATTTAATATTTTATTAATTAATTTATATTAATACATTAATACATATAAAATGTATGTAAAATTATATATTATATTTTTATATAATATATCATTTTTCATCAATATTATTTTATTTATTAATAATAATTTATTTTTTGTCCTTTGCTCTAGATAGTTATTATTAATTTATATTATTTATTGATATAATGAAAATATTATATATTTAATTTTATTTATTTCAATAATTAATAAAATATTAAAACAAATTTAAAAATTGATAAAACCAGGAATAAAATATTTGAATATTTGAATTCAGCTATTTCTAACTAGTCCGCATGCGCAGATCAGTCACATGATCTTTTGAATTTCAACTCCGATAGAAAACATGAATTTACTGAATATTTATTAATTTAAAAATTATAAAAATTGTAAAATTCTAATAATTAAACATCAAAATTAATTAGTTTCACCCTATTTTGTCGAAAAAGTTTATTAAATTGCAATAATGAATCATTTAAAAAGTGACGCTATGCTCATTTGCATTTTTGAAACATTGGCAACACTGTCTCACAAAAAAGCTCATTGTGCGCGTACAGTTGCAACCGTTTCTTGTGCTCCGCTATTCTCATACTTTTTACATCCAAAAATGTATATTTATCGTAATGTTTTATTAAATTTTAAACCGAAATCTTGAAAATTAAATAAAATATAGTGTTTTTGTGTAGATATGATTGTGGATCATCAAGAATTCTGGATTCTCTTCCCTTTTTCGTCAAGTGGCCATCACGCGTTTTCATCTACCACGATGCCGGTAAGTTACTTATATTAATCTAATATATTGTTCGATTTATTCTTTAATTTGATTTCATGATATTTTCGAAATATTATTTCTGATTTTATGAATTTTATTTCCGGTCAAGATATATTTTATTTCAACATAACCTATCATTTATTGTCGTTTTCGTTCACCTCAAATCGTGAAATTTGTCAGTTTCTTTTTGGTATTTAATTGATTAAAAATTTATTGATTTACAATTGATTTATTATCAAAACTTATTCTAGATTGTGAATTTATTGAAAATATTAACAAAACAGTTATAGTTTCCAATTAAAAGTAGTGAAATGTTAATTGAATTCGGAAGTGTGACAAATAAAAGTTAGGTTATATGTACATTGTTGAAATTCGTTTCTGTATTTATTGATTTAATGAAAGTGTTTAAAATATCAATTATAAGGTAAAAAATTATTACTAATTGAAAATTAGTCGAAATTATTGACCTAGGGAATATTAGAATAATTTACCTGTTACAATTGGAAGTTGTGTCATTCTTTGTGTGGATGGTTTAATATGAGGAATAGGCATTGTTAAAAGGACTCCTGCACTTGTTCCAATCCATAATAATTCGTTGCAAGCTAATAGAGCTGTGACCCTTAGACAAGCAGCTTTATGTTGTCTAATTATGTCATCGCAACCTGCAACAAGATTAATATTTTCGTTAAAATAAATTTCATAGAATTTTAATTTTTTTTTTTTGCTATTTTAATTAATTTCCTTTATATTGTGTTAGATTTAACACTTACTAGCAAGCATTTTTGTTACCGCCGGAGCAATATTGATATCCGATAAACATTCATAGCTGGTTGCATGAAAAAGTTTAAGTACTGCACTATTGTGTAGAGAAATCCAAACTCCCAAACCACCGGAACTTGCCATACAGGATACCGTTCGACTAGCATCGTTATTAACTGTAAAAGTATGTTCGATATCCAAAGAATAGGTGTTTAAGATTTTAATTGTATTGTGACAACCACACCACAATTTTCCCGAAACTGGTAGCATTTTGGTAACAGGTGAAGCGTCTGTACTGACTGAAACAGTCATTGGATCTGTCGTATTCCAAATTCCCACTGAAAAATAATTTTTTTTTTTTAGTATTATTCGAGGACAATTGTTTTTTTTTGGAAAGTTTAATTCTATTATCTCACATTGATCTCGCGAATACACCGTGACATCACCATTTGCCAGGGAAACAAAGACTTTGTTGTCCAGATAACTAAAAAAAATTACATTGAAATAAATTAATTTAATTTTTCTCATTATGGATAATTTAATTAGAAATCAAAAAAATATTTCAATTTATGAATTTTTTAATAAAAATATTCAAATGAATTTAATTTGATTAATTAATCTCTGATGATTTAATAAATATTCCTTTGAAGTTAGTTTAGAATTTCAATCGACTTTTATTTTAAGTTAATTATCAGGTTTTTTTGTCGTGGAAAAATTAATTATATAAAAAGAAGCGAAATAAAAAAAAAACCCCACGTGTATATGCAGCGTTGGCTGTAAAAGGGTTTAATTTTACACCGCTTTATAAAGAGGTCGTTGATTAAAATAGAATACCTGTAACATCAATAAATTATCTCAAGCCCTCGAAAATGTGTAATTTAAAATTTTTCAAAAATTAGCATTTTTTTTTTTAATTTAAGAAATTGGGCCTTAAATTATTAAATAATTATTATAAATATGACTTTGGAATTTTTTTTTACAATTTCTTAATTTAAATATCGTTAATCAATAATCCTCCCTGTTTCCTTCATCTTCTTTTTTATATGGAAATTTAATTTTTCTTCATCATGTAAATATTTTTTTGTTTTTCCCGTATATTTATTTTATATAAAAAAAAAATTATTTTAATAAACAATTTTCTTAAAATAAATTTTTTTGAGAAAATCTTACATAATGCAATTAACATTACTGCCGTGTTGAATTTTGACTTTATTTTTCTTGATTCTTATATTGTCGCTACAATTGTAGACGTGAATGCAACCATCCTCAGTTCCTAGCCACATTGTCGGTTGATTAAAGTCTTCTTCGATGGTTACTCCATCGATACTTGATACGTCACCACCTAAAGAGGTACTCGCTGCGTCCGCGCATGGAATGTCGTCAGAATCCGAATCTTCAGAGCTCGAACTACTGAAAATGGATTAATACACATTGTCAGTAGCTCCTCTTTAAGAAATCGTTCATTCACCTCTTTTCCCGCAGCATCCCTCTCTTATAATCTCTCTTGGGTAAAGAAAAGAGAAGACAAGTTGCGAGGAAACAACTTTTTCTCACTTCCTTTATATATAATTCTATTTTATATATCTTACATAAAAATAAAAAAAAAAACCAATTTTTCAAAAATGGAGAAAAAAATTTATTAAATCAGAAAATTTTCCAAACAATAAGATTGAAAAAAAGAATGCAATTAACAAACCTGTCGAGTTGAATGTTTCCACTGCTTGTTTCCGTATCCTGAATTGAGATACTAATTCCACTTTTATTATTGACAAAGGTATTGTTGTTGGGTAGGGAACTCGTTCTAACGAGGATAAAAAGTAAAAAATCAAAATTTTGTACAAAAAAAAGAAAAAATAAAAAACGAGATAAAAAGTAGGGAAAAAAAGATTACCCAGTAGTTGCGGCAGGAATGCCGGCAACGCAAAGAATTCTAGCGTTGCAAACCCCATTGCAAGATGTGACTTGTGGTGGTTCTGGACTGAGGCTCAAGACACAAACTTGACCTACGTAACCGTCACTATTGCAGACCCACACATCCCTTATTCCCTGCTCATTTGCCAATGTGGGTGCAGCACATGTAAATTGAAGGCCAGCTCGTGTCTTTCGAATTGGCAAAGGTCCTACGAATTCAGGACAAGGTCTCCTATCGGCTGACAATGCTGAAAAAAAAAATTAATTATTTCTTCCCCCTTAGATATGGAATTTTTTTTTATTTTAATCCGCCGAAAATTCACATTTTGATAAAGTATTAAATTTGAAAAATATTTGCAATTCAAACTTTTTGTTTGGTTTGACAAAAAGTATATATATATTTTTTTTTAAATTTTATATTGTTTCAATTATAAAAAAAAATCACCTAATTTTTGCTTGGCTTCATTGAAACTCTCTTCCCAACTTGCACGTTTGTCCGGCTTTGTAAACATAATCGAAATGTTCTCGACTCCTGCTCTGAAACAGAAAATTTTTTTATATATTAATTTTATTGATATTTATAATTTCAGGGTGTCTAACGGTCAGGGAAAGTCAGGGAAACGTTAGGGAATTTTGTTGGTCAGGGAATTTCAGAAAATTTCATTCAAAGTCAGGGAAATTTCTACAAAAATTAAAATTTTTTGTGAATTTAAAAATTTTTCAATCTAAAAAAATTTGAATGGTTTTTATTACCATTTGTTACTACCATTAGAAATTAATTTATTGTTTTAAATATGTCAGTAACCATATTTTTGTTCAAAGAAAGCAGAAATAAGGTTATTAAAAAGTCAGGGAAAAATAAAAAAATGTCAGGGAAAAGTCAAGGAATTTTTTTCCTTATTAGACACAATTTGAGAATGATTAATTAATTATATGTGAGAAAAAAATATTTTGTTTGATTAATAATTAATAGAAATTAATTTTACTGAGTATTGAGAGTAAGTTCCAGGCATGCTAATTGCGAATGTGCGGTATTCCTCTCTGCTAATTGCCTTTGTGAATGACTGAGTAATTCTTTTATCAAGTCCTCTAATTGTTGTTTTGATCCATGTAAAGACATTGATAGTTCTTGAAGATGACTTAACGTTGCACAATCCTCTCGCAAATGATCCACTTCTCGTGCCATTCTTCGTAAATTTTCATCCTTGGCTGTAAATAATATACATCTCTCTAAATCTTCTTTTTTTTAAATTTTAATTTCACTAATTCGGAAATATTTTTTCTCAACAGAAAAGGGAAAGTGTTTTTTTTCCCCTAAATATTCTCGTATTTACCTTTCATCACCTCGAGATCATCCAAAGAAATCCTCATTAGCATTTTGTATTTGTTTGCTTCCAAAAGACCAACCAGACTATTTGGACACGAACTTCTACTCAATTCAAAATAATATTATGAAATAATAAAAAAAAATTAATTAAATTTATATCAGAAATATCAACTCACGTTGATGGTTTTCTTATCGTTCCGCTTCTTCGTTTGATACTCGTTATAACCAATAGGTCGGAAAATAAAAATAGGGCTCGTTCTTTTCGAGTTCCTTGATTGGATGCTATTGTCACCAGATCGTGACGAATAAATGCCCTGAAAGTCAATATTTGAATTTTCATTAAAAATTAGTATTACTAAATTAGTATTACTAAATTAGTAATTAGTAAAATACAAAAATAAAAATAGTATCTTTGTCGAAAAATACAAACCTATCATTAGCAACTATTCCCGCGAGTCCTTCAACAAGTGATTGAACTTCTTTCAAAGTTGTTTGCTGTTGTTCCCATTCAAGACTCTCTCTTTCGGTACAATTAATTTTTACCACCAATTCATGAACTTCTTTTTGAGCAGCTGACAAAAGTTCATAATCAGGATGCGATGAATCAGTATGTTTCAATAGTCTTTGAATTAAAAGTTCATAACGTGGAATTTTTTGAACAGGTTTTATCAGCAATTGATCTAATCCAAGTTTACCTTTATGTTCCCTTTCCATTGTCTATTTTGAAAAAAAAAAGAAAAATAAGCATCAAATCATTGAATCATTCTGATTTATTTTCAATGAAATTTTATATATATTATAAATAAATAAATAAATAAATATATATAGTTAAAATAAACCAATTTTCACGGAAGTGAAAATAAGTTGAGGTCATCAGTTGCTAAATTTGGCATTTGTCAAATATGGCCTCGACAAAATAAAATGAGTTCCAACTTTCCACACTCTATACTGTGTTTATATGTAAAGCTAATTCTAGCAGCTCTTCGGGCATTTTGCGTGGTTATAATACGGGGCCGAAAAACTTGACATGCCAACTTTAGATAGGTGATAAATTATTCGAAATTTATTGAACACAATTGTTGACTTTTTCTTAAACCGCAGTTTTCAATTTTACAAACTTTGTAATAAATTTTAATACACTAAAACACATTTTTTTTTGTAAAGATGATATTACCTCTAAAAATCGTGCAAAAGCTGGTTTTGATTGACAGGTATTTTTAATTGCAGTCTTTGCCGATTTCCAATTATCGAGAAAAAGTGTATAGGTCTCCAGGACAACAGGTTTCATAAACTAGAAAAAAAAAATTTCATTGGATTTTTTTTTTTATTAATGTATAAAATTTTTTGATATACTTTACCACGTTAAGAAATACATCTCCTATTGTCTGTCCTGGTTCCCATATTTCTAATCGTTTTCTTAATTCTTCGAGAAATACTTCATGATGACTAAGTATTGCTGGAATCTATAATTAAATTTGATAATTTATTAATTTCCTTCTTTTTTCCAATTTAAGAAAAAAATATATTTAATATCTAATTTCACAAAATTTTTATATTTAATTCATAAATTATAAATTTTCATTTATAAATTATAATTATAAATTAAATTATCTAATATAAATATTATGCGAAAGAGCAAATATAAATTAGATAAAAAAAAAATACCTGATAAAATATTTCATCAACTGTCGCTGAATCAACAAGACCAGCATTTTCCGGACTCTTGAGTGGTTGCAAATATTTCTGCAATATAAAAAAAAAAACAAAAAAATTTCTAATAATCCCCATATAATTTAAATTAATATAGATTTCATTAGTAAGCAATATTGAAAACTCGGAATTTCTTTTCCCTTGTTTCCAATTAGAAACTAAAGATTTTCCAATGATCTCCAATTTCTTTTTCTCTTGTTACCAATTAAAAATATGTAGCATTTTTCTCTAGATATTCTCATCTCTTTTTTCTCAATCTTCCATTTAATTTAACATTTTGTCGAGAGTTTTATTTTAAATAGTTTTAAATCATTGCATTTGTGTTTTGCCCTCAATTGTGTATTATTTAATTTGTCTTTTCATTATTGATTGAAGAGGTTAAAGAATTATATAGAAATTGTTTTCTTTTGTAGTATTAAAAAAATAAAAAAAAAAAATGCAACAAGGACATGATGAAGACAATGATCCTGAATATAAAATGATCCTTTGTCCTCGCACTTATAAAGTCCATAAATGTTTGTGTGTCAGCTGCCCCTGAGATGTTACCCTTGAATGGAAATGCAAGGTTCGCATGGCCATTCCCTTGAGACAATAAAACGTCACATTATACCAGTTATTCATATGTTTATGTTTATATCTCCCTCGAATTTTCACACTATATATATATAATAACAGAATTTCATTCGCCCCGGCTTGGCGCCTTGTCCACTAACGTCACAGTTACATGGCGCCTATATTCCGGATTTATCATTCAGGTATTTCGATGGATTGATTTATCGACCCTCCTCCTATTTTTCTTTTTTTTTAATATATAAATCTCGCTCGAACTTTCTAAGTGAACATGTGTTTCTATTCTCGACAAATTAACACGATTACCTAATCGTCCACTCGAAATTTATTTTAAAAAACTATAAAAAAATTAAAACGATGTGAAAAAAATTCCCAAATTAGATTAGGAAATTATGGGTTTAATATTGTGTTTTGAAATTCAAAAAAAAAATATTTAGGTTTTCAAAAATTGGAAAATAGAAGTGAATATTAATTTGCAATTTATCGATTGGTTTATCGTATGTCCTGCACTTAACGTCCAGGGTTAATGAGAAACTTCAGGAAGTGAGTAGTTATGCGAGTGGATGGAATGAATCTATATGATCATAGTTACGACGATATACTCGTTCAACCGGAATAGAAAGTTTTGTTGTTGTAAATAAAGGGAGCTTGTTGACGAAAATCTCAGTTACGCGCAATAAATGAAGTACATTATTATGTCATAACAATTTTTTAAAAAAAAAAAAGAAACATTGGCAGCTTTCTTTCTATTTTGTGAATAGTCTGACGAAGCTGAAGTACGCAACGTTTATATAAATGATTTTTACAGAAATAATTTTTTAAAATTAAAATTTTTATAATTTTTTGCCTAAACAATATTTCTTGTAGTTTTCATTAATTAACAAATTATAAAAAAATATTTTTTAGGCAAAAAATTATAGAATTTTTCATTTTAAAAAATTATTTCTTTAAAAATCGTTTATATAAACGTTGCGTACTTCAGCTTCGTATAGTCTGAAAAATTAATTAATTGTGGACGAATGGATATTTCCTAATACAATCTTCAGTTCTTTCCAATGAATCGAATTTTATTAGGCCGAATTTTCGTTTAGCCAAATTTTATATAAGGTAGAATTAATATTAAATCGAATTTTTCACTATATTAAATTTCATTACAAAGAAATTAATTTACCGATCGATTAAAGATTTAACTACATGTACAGTACAGCGTTGACAATATTTTAATTTATTTTTTTTTTGCAGATTCTATCCTCGATGGCTTGTACACGTACTTCAAAGATAAGGGCAAAAGTAAAAAAAGGAAGGACACAGGATTCTCCATTTGCAGACTTTTTAGAACTCGGTCTATTTTTACGGTTATTTTTCACATTTTCCAAATGGAAATTTAACTTGAAAGTAGGGATCTCCGAGGGCTTTTTAGTTTGAAAGAATCTTCTTGAAGCTGAGAATTCGTTATTAAGGTAAATTTTTTAATTTAATGGAAAAATTTTATTACAAAAAAATTTATTTGTATTTTTTTTAACGTGACTTAATTATTTTTTTTTAAGTTTCTCCAATTTATTAAATTAGTATTTAACAGAAATAAAAATTAAATTATCAAATAAAGTCTATTTTAATTTGCCATGGATAAGCAAAGTAGAAAAGACGAATGAAGTGAGATTGATTTTGAGTTTAAAGACAAACAAGACTTTTGGAGTGATTTCTACTTAAAAGTTAGCTTGTAATTAAAACTTGAAATGCAACTTCAATATTGTGCAAACAAGATTAAAATTTTAGATAGAAATAAACTAGCTTCTTTGCTATTAGAATTAAACGTTATACAAATTCCTCTATAATTAACTTTTTTCTATTGGTGGCTTATTCAAATTTTTATTTTTATTAAAAGAAATTTTTTATTTTTTTTTTACTCTTTCAATAAAATTTTATTTTATCAAACAAATAAATTCAGTGACTTGATTTATTTGTTTTATAATTTTTCAACAATGAAAAAAAAATTATAATATGCAATAAACTTACATTGACTAGTATTTGTAGAGCCTCGACGTAAGATCGTTCTGTATCGTATAGTTCAACGACAACATGCGTTCGTGTATCCTGTAACAAAAAATAATTTATTTTTTACTATGACAATGTATTTTACAAAAGAACGATTTACATAGACTTTTTTTTTATGATAAAATTTATAAAATGATTTACGTTTAATTTATCGTTTTCAACATAAACGTTCTTAAATTATTTTTTAAATGCTTTTAATAATTATAATAAAATATAAAAATTATCGATGAGAATTTATAATGGCTAAATTACAAAATATCATATATATATATATAGATTTTAATAGTTGAAAGATAACAAAAGGTCTGTATCATTTGAAACTGACATCCTCTATAAGTTTAGAATATATAACTGATTTGTTATCGGATACAATTGTCTCAAGGACAATCCTATTGAGGAAAGCTGGTACTGGCTTTAACAACTTTGTTGCTTCATGGCCTCGATGCTTATAATGAACAATATTCTGCTGCTTCAGATTCACGTTGCAGGTCCCAAACAATAAATGTTTTACACGCGCAATGTAATTTTACATATATGCAATTCATGTATATTTAATAACGTAAAAGACCCCAAAGCACGTGTATATACAAAACAAAAGTTCATGGTTATTGAAAAGCTTGGCGAAAATAAAGACAAATCGATAAAACTGAATAATTTCAATTTATCTCTTCATTTTTATAGAAAATCGATTCTTTTTTTTCTAAGGGAATAAAAAACTTTATCTACTTAATTACGTTAAATAAATTAGTTAATTTTATTAACTAAAAATTCTATTTTGAATCATATTTTTTAGTTTATAAAATTTTTTAAACATTTATTATTAATAACGATCATTTTGATTATTTGAAAATTTTATTTTACATTTATAAGAATCGAATAATTTTTATGTGAAGGTAAATTTACCCACCACTAATTTCAGGAAACATTCACCATCATCACTTCCTTCTGAAGATTGACTGCAGAGTCTTTCTTCTACACTCATACTTAATTTTTATCACAAAAATTTTTAGAAAAAGTTTATTTTTTTAGTCTTTTTATATTGACGTTTATTATTATCTTTTTATACACAATTGAATATTAACATCTATTAATGATTTTCATTTTATATGTTATTTTATTTATTATTAGTACAACACACTCGTACATACATCATTGAGGTATTATTTTCTTTTTTTTTTACATTTAAAAAAATTTTACTTGAAACAACTAAAATATTCACTAGAATAGCTAAACCTTTAGTTACTTTTGATAAATGTTTAGTTAAGCTAGTAATTTTTTCATATTCTAAATTAATTTTTTTAAAAATTTTTATTGTTAAATACAAATTTTAGATTTAAATTCTAATAAATGTTTTTTAAAAACAATTTTTTTTTTAATTAAGAAAATAATTAATTTAAAAAGAATAAGAATATCAGTAACTAAAAAAATATCTTGACTGCTTCGTGGTATAATAATAATTTTTTAAAAAATAAAGGATTTTAAAGTGCACACAGACATGTTTACATTTGTCTACTTTAACCGTTACGCAAACGCAAATATTTGGAACGAGTAGTGCTTCAAAAATATTTAAAATTCATTTGCAAGTGATTAACATTATATTTACACTTTCTAAATTCATATATATATAGAGTTCAATGTTTTTAAAATCATACAATTTTTAGTGTGTCACTTTTTTAAAGCGAATAATTTTCTTCTATCTCTTATGATAATATTTGAATTATATAAAAAATAATGATAGTATTCTATTGTTATTTAAAATTATAAATAATTTGTCAGTTTAAAACAAACAAAATTTTTAAAACTATTTTTTTATCACTTTATTTATTTATAAAAAAATTAATTTTTATTCGTATATTAATTAATAAACGATGCAAAACGAATTATTAATTCGAGTAGCACTTTTTTTCACACCATCGCGTTCAACCACTAATCACGTGTTCCTCTCTCGTTATTCGCGCGGAAATAATTTTCGCACGTGCGTTAAATTTTCTATCAATTTTAATTTTCTTCTTCTTTTTTCTATAATAATTTTTTTCGAAAATTGCAAAATGAAACTAATTTTAATAGTTGTAGATTTAAATAAAAATAGTGAAAGAAAAAAAATGGGAAAATTTTGTTTTAATTGTAATGTGAATTTTTTAAAAAAAAATTTACTATTAAAAATTAGTTTTTATTAAATGGCTAAATGAAGTTTATATACCGTATAAGAAAGCACGATCGGGATAAAGCGTGCAGCAACAGGCATTACATCCCCGATACTATTCCTCCCAACGCAACGACTAGATACACAAGGGGTTGATCGATGCCTTTAAGTGGAAGAGAGAAGGAAAAGGCGCAGCGTCGGAACGCCGGCGCGTAATTTAACACTTTGTTGCTTTTAGCAGAAAAAAAAAAATGTATTACTATATAAGCTGTCACAAGCAAAAGTTAGCGCACTGTACACAAACAAAAAAGAGTATGATCGTATATTAATAATTAAAAAAGTGTTCAGTGTATAATGAAATTATCAAAGAGAACATCACAAGTTTTTAGATAAAAGTGATTATCAATATTTTTTTTCAATTTCATATTAAAAAGAAAAACAAATTTTTTTTATAGAGAATTAATTTCTAATATTGGAAAATATATTATAATATTTATACAATTAAGTAATTAATATAATTTTATATTTAATTATAATAATACTGATTACTAATTGTCAATTAAAAATTAACTTCGATTACTTGACTATTATGTTTACTTGAACCAAATAATTTTTATTTGTATTAAATAAATTATATTTAAATCAATAATTTCTGTATTTGAAACAAATATCTCAACTAATAATTGATATAAATAAATATTTATTTGTCAAGTAATCGAATATTTGAATCAAATAAATTAATGCAGTGATACTTTTAAATTCAAGAATCTATTTTAAAAATAATTTTAAGTGACATCTCCCAAAAAAGAGTTTTGTGAGAATAAATATAAAAAATGACGTCAATAAAAAGAAATGTTTTTTTTTCAATTCATTCTTTTGTACGACGAGACCAATATTCAGGAAACAAAAACGATTAAATAATTTTTGTCGTCATAAGAGGTAAAAATATAGTTGCGATGTCGCAGTCTATTTTTTGTGTATTATATAGAGTGATAGTAAAATGTGTTTGGGCATCACTTAATGATCATTCATTCATCCGGTGGATACTTATATATATATATATTCTAAATGTTTTCACACACTATTACTATCTCGCAAGAAATCCGGATCGAACTTTTGTCAGGTTGTTCTAATTTTGAAGGAATGAATATATAAATGTAGTAGTAGGAGTTTTTATGACGTTAGCCACCTGGTGGGCGATGCCGGAACTCTCTCACCTGCGTCAATGCGAATCACGCATGCTTTGTCTATTTCAGCACCGCGTGTGTATAACTGTCATTCAAAAAAGTCTTTATTCAACTTTTATACAATGATATTATTATACCTTTTCCATTATTAGAATCACATTATACATTCTGACAACCCTTTTCAATATATATTCATTAATGTATAACTTTTTATATATATATATATTATTGACAAGTTCGCGGAATTATATCGGTCTTCACGTGTATATGTTATTTACAAGATCAAATTTTTTTTTTTATTTATAAAAAGAATAATTTTTCTTTATTTTTATAGCAAAAAAATTTTTTTACTATTTGACGTTTTTTTCCATAATTTTTTTTTTAATGGTAAATAATTTTTATTTAAACTATTGTTCAGTATTTTTAATTTTCTCTATTCTATAAAAATGTTACTTGAATTTATATTAAAAAATCAAATTATATTAATTTTTTTTTTCATTGTAGTTTTTACAGAACCTTTGAAATTTTGAAAATAAAAGTGAATTGACAAACTTTTTTTTTTTGTATATGTTTTATTTCTCTTTATTGCTAAACACACAACTTGTCAAATATATATGTGCACGTGCACATTAGAGAGACACGTTTTTGCTTTATATATATATGTTTTAAATTACGCAAGTTGGCAACAATTTTCCGCAGGTGGAAAAACAGAAAATTCTTGTTCTTGTAAAAGATGTGTGAATAATAAAATAAATTCGGTGACTATACAGTACTTTAAAAATTTTAATTCGTAATTTTTAGTAGCAGGAAAAATTATTTCTACTTTGTTTGATTTTTTAAACAAAAATTAAAAAGGGCAATAATAATAATAATTATTATTATTATTATATTTTTGAGTAGGGCCATAATTTTCGCGATTTTTAAACTGATTTTAATTTTTATTATTTTTTAAAATTATTTTTTAATTCAATATGCAGTGATTTAATTTGATTTTTAATTTTCTGTTTTAGAAACAAATCCCTTGTGAGAAAACTGGTCATGAATTTGAAACTTCACGACGAACAGCGATAATAAAACAAGTGGAGAGTCAAGGTATGAGATTGGATTATTAATATTATATACATTAGTATTGTGACAAACGCATTATTTTTATTTATTTATTTTTTTTTTTAATTTAAATATTAAATTTAAATAAACACTGTGAGAAAATGATAACTAAAATTTATTGTATTTTACAATTTAGGAAAAAAGAGAAATGAAAAATTTATAATAAATTTTGAACTAGCGGTAAATATGATACAATTAAATTTAACCAAATTCAAGTTTGAAATTATTTTGAAAAACTTGAAAAATTTCATCTACTTTTTATTTTATTAAAAAAAAAATTTGACTTCTTTTAAAAATCGTAAAATGCATCAAAATTTTATACATCATTTCTTTCAGTTGAATTTCAATATTTGTTTTCAAACTATTGCTGTCACATAAAAAAATATATAATTTTACCGAGAATGAACGAGGAAATTTTAAAAATAGACATATCGAATTATAAAAAATTTCATTTATTGGAATTTGAATAATCAAAATGCGACTTGGTATTATCAGATCTGAAAAAAGTGGGATAAATTTTTCTATTAATAAAAAAGAAATTTTTTTTTTTAACCTCTAATTTAAAATAAATGCACCAATTTTTCAGTTTGGAAAATATGAAAAAATTGGGAAATAAAACCCTGTAGAATTTTTTTTTTTTTTTTTTTTCTATAAAAGATTTGAAAATTTGCCTACTATATTTCAAGCTTGCTTCCAAGTATTGCTGAAAGCTATTTTTAAGAAAGAGTTATCCGTCGATTTTATTTGGCTCGGGTCACAACAATTTTGTGCATTTTAATCCTCACGCGCGGCACATCTCCAGAAAAAAATGTCCTGTCTAAACATGTCAATGACAATTGATAATATTTACCGTCAAATATGCCGCGGAATCGGTTTTTCTATCGGTTCTAAAAATCATTAGTCAGAATTTACATTTTATCGAATTTTATTTGTCATAATTAGTTTTGAGCCGAATTTTTATTTGTTCTACTTAGTATTTTGCATAATTTTCATCAAACCGATTTTCTATATTAAATAATTTTTATATAACCGAAAATTTACTTCACAGAATTTTTATTTGTCAAAATTTTTATTTGCTCGAATTTTTATTTGTCAAAATTTTTATTTGCTCGAACTTTCATTTAACATAATAGGCATTTTAATGAATTTTTATTGGGTAGAATTTCATTGCATAGACTTTTCTTTGAGATGAATTTCCATTTGTTGAAATTATTATTTGATAGAATTTCCTTAGAACCGAATTTCATACTACAAAATTTTTACTTAACCTAAAAATCATTTAACAGAATTTCTAATTGATAGAATTTTTATTTGTCGAAAATTGCAAACATCTGAAAAAACAATCGACAGAAAGATTTCGGCGCGATTTTCAAAAATAAACCAATAAAAAATTATCCATAAAATTGTGATTGGTTGATTTTAAAAATCGCGCGAAAATCTTTCTGTCGATTGTTTTTTCGGCCATTTGCAAATTCGGACAAATGAAAATTCTATCAATTAGAAATTATTATGACAAATGAAATTCGATAAAATGTAGATTCTGACTAATGATTTTTAGAACATAATCATGCGCCCCATTTTTGATTTTGAAAAAAGGGTTCCCTTTTGTAAAATAATCATTTAAAAGCCAAATAGTGCTTTGTATTTCTCTAAAAATAGAAAATTCCTTGTGACTCATTTTCGCTCCAGTGATTTCACGATTCTCTCTTTCTCTAACGAAAGTTATAGTCTCGTGCAAACTATAATAAACTTTGCACTAGAAACAATAGGTTTTCGACCTACCAGGAGGTCTTTATATGTTGAACGATAACTCATCAGTGAAACATGTTCGCTTACACGGTTCATTTAAAACGTCGTAAACTTTTTATTATGCGAGTTAGAATTCATCACTTGTTTAACACGTCTCAATATACAAATAATTGTAGAGAAACTTACTTTTTTGTTTTGTATATATAATTTCTGAAAATTAGACGAATCATCAATTAATGAATTTTTTTTTTTTGTTGAAAAATTAGATAAAATTTAACTTACGTTCCGTTGAGCTGGAGCACGTGCAACTCTCTCTGAGGAACCTCGTAGAAGTTCGGCCAATAGTTCAGGACTTGGTCCAGGTAATCCTTCCAATTTACTAGGACTCGATGTTGTTCTATGATGACAAGGCGTTGGTGGTTCAGAATTGCTATTTGTACTTGAATTAAAAGAGAGATTAGCTGAAATTTTTCTTCTTTGATGTAGACCCTCATCAAGATTCATATCCGTTGTTCGTGGTTTAGCCATTTCTGCTTCCAGCATCTGACCGTATGGACCTCTCAATGGTCTCTTACTGTATCTGAATCAAAAGACAATTTTAGATTTGAAAATCAAAAAACTATTTTTCAAAATAAAATTTTTTGCGTTTTTTTTTTTTTTTTGTACTCACCTTCTCGGCACTTGTCCCTCACAATCGGAGAGATCACTAGGCGTTGCTGGTGGATCATCTTTTTCCTCGCTACTCTGAGCTACGAGTTTACTTCGATCAATGTCCGATGGTTCAGGCCATTGAGTTATGTAAACTCCTTTTCTTCTTTTACTCGTGTCTCCCCGATATCTTCTCACTTTGCCCGAAGGCGAAGAAGTCTCTGAAGTTGCTTCACTTGGAGCTTCACTTCCTTCACTTGCTTGACTTAACCTCGGCTCTTCAATAGGTGGTGTCACTATCACTTCATGTGGTTCCAGTCTCATTTCTGCGAAAAATAAAATTAAGAATCTAATTTTCTAAAAAAAAACAAAAAGTGAAATGAAAATTATCTTTACAATTAGTAAAACATTAAATTTGGAAATTTTATTTCCTTGGAATTTTTATTGATTTTATTTTTAAAAAATGATTTTTTTTTGTCCTTGAATTCTTCATAATCTATTCAGAGAAAATCATTAAAATATTTTTGGTATCAATAACGTGTCATCCGCAAGGAATATTATGAAATTCCACATCTCAGAATCGATTTATCTTTATGAGGGTGGAACTATTTTCGGTGCATCATTAGTACAAAGGTTCCAAGTTATTTTGTGTGAGAGAGACACTATATTTTGGCTAGGGGACACACAATGCTAGACAAACTTCCCCGATGGAAGTGAAAAACAATCAATCAATGATCAATTAAGTTCTCTCGCTATATAAAGTAGAAGAAAAAAAGTAGTTACAATTTATTTTTAAGTTAATTGAATTATCAATTTTGAAGGAAAAAAAAAAAAGAATTGTCAACCTCTTTGTCCAGAATCTGATATTCGATTTTCAAAATGTCGATCATTAGTTGATGTTGAATCGTTGATAATTTCAATGGATTGAACTAAATTGACGCGAGGTTCGGGAATTTCGTGAACTTGTGGTTCTGGACTCGTTAGGGCACTGGAAGTTGCAAGACTGTCAGATCCATCGCTTCTTGGTCGTAGTTCGTTGAGACCAATTTGTGGTACACCAAGACCTTCAGCTGATCCAACTGCACTATCAAGACTGGGTGTTGAAGCTCTTGGACTTTGGTGATTTGGACTGTTACTGTTTCTTGGTGTTGTAACATCTGGACTAACTTGTCCACGACGTCTTGGCAAAGTGCTTGCTTTAATTTCCTTCTCGTCTATTGGATTTGAATTATTGTTCGCTTGCAGCTTTTGTCGATTAGCTAAAACTGAAAATTATTTTTTATTTTTCACACATTAGAATTTATTCAAACTAAATTTTTCTAGCATAAGAATATTTAACCAAATTTTTTATGACTAATATTCTCTAGTTCAAAATATTTAGTTCATTAAATTTTCATTTAGTAGAATTTCTATTTAGCTGAATTTTTGATAAACGAATTGTCATTTAGCAAAATTTTTATTAAGACGAAATTTCATTTAGCAGAATTCTTATTTAGTTGAATTTCTATTCAGTTGAATTTTTGATAAACGAATTGTCATTTAGCCGAATTTTTATGGAACAAATATTCATTTAGCAGAATACAGCAGAATTCTTATTTAACCGATTTTTTGTTGAACGAATTTTTATTTAACAGAATTTTCGTATAGTAGAATTTTTATTTAACAAAATTCTCATACAGCCGAATTTTTATTTAGTTGAATTATTGTGGAACAAATTTTCATTTAGCAGAATATAGCAGAATTCTTATTTAACATATTTTTTGTTGAACGAATTTTTATTTAACAGAATTCTCAAAAAGTAGAATTTTTATTTAACAAAATTCCCATACATCAGAATTTATATTTAGCTGAATTATTGTGGAACAAATTTTCATTTAGCTGAATTTTTATTTATCAGATTTCTCATATAGTAGAATTTCTATTTAGCTGGATTTTTGTTGAACAAATTTTTATTTACCAGAATTCTCATATAGTAGAATTTTTATTTAACAAAATTCTTATACAGCAGAATTTTTATTTAGCTGAATTATTGTGAAACAAATTATCATTTAGCAGAATTGTTATTAAACCGATTGTCTGTTAAACGAATTTTTATTTATCAGAATTCTCATATAGTAGAATTTTTGTTTAGCTGGATTTTTGTTGAATGAATTTTCATTTAGCAGAATATAGCAGAATTCTTATTTAACCGAATTTTCATTAAATCGATTTTTTGTTGAACGAATTTTTATTTAACAGAATTTTCATATAGTAGAATTTTTATTTAACAAAATTCCCATACATCAGAATTTATATTTAGCTGAATTATTGTGGAACAAATTTTCATTTAGCTGAATTTTTATTTATCAGATTTCTCATATAGTAGAATTTCTATTTAGCTGGATTTTTGTTGAACAAATTTTTATTTACCAGAATTCTCATATAGTAGAATTTTTATTTAACAAAATTCTTATACAGCAGAATTTTTATTTAGCTGAATTATTGTGAAACAAATTATCATTTAGCAGAATTGTTATTAAACCGATTGTCTGTTAAACGAATTTTTATTTATCAGAATTCTCATATAGTAGAATTTTTGTTTAGCTGGATTTTTGTTGAATGAATTTTCATTTAGCAGAATATAGCAGAATTCTTATTTAACCGAATTTTCATTAAATCGATTTTTTGTTGAACGAATTTTTATTTAACAGAATTTTCATATAGTAGAATTTTTATTTACCAAAATTCTCATACAGCAGAATTTTTATTTAGCTGAATTATTGTGGAACAAATTTTCATTTAGCAGAATTTTTATTAAATCGATTGTTTGTTAAATGAATTTTTATTTATCTAAATTCCCATACAGCAGAATTTCTGTTTAGCTGGATTTTTGTTGAACGAATTTTCATTTAGCAGAATATATATAACAAAATTAGATTTGAAATAAAAATTCAATTAAATGAAATTTAATGAAAAATTCGGTTAAATATAAATTCTGTTAAATAAAAATAATTCTAGTTAATATAAATAAGACTGACGATAAATTGTGTTAAATAAAATTTTCAGGTAAATTAAGAAATTTGCAATAAATAAATCAAAAAAGGAAAAATGTTAAATAAAACATTAATGTAATTATTTTTTATTGTATTAATACTTTCTTTTTGCACAAATCTTTTTTGACTACATTTTCTCATGGGAATTTGTAATAAATAATATTTTTACACGATAAGTGCGCTTGGAAAATTGGATCTTCACTTTGAGAAACTTGAGATGTTATATTAGATTTCCGGTCGAAATTTTCATCAGAAACATAAACGCGTATGTGTGCTTTCTCTGTAAAAATAGACGGGGGGGAGGGGAGGGTTTCAATCAGTAAAATCCGCTCTCTGAATATAATTCTATTTTCGGAATATATAGCCACAAAAATTCATTTTAAAAAGTATATATATATATATATTTCAAATGAAGAATGTTTGCAAACTAGAGACAAAAATTATTATTTTTTTTTTCTTGAGACAAGAAAAAACAAAAATTATCCACATTCTTGCTAAATCTTTTTGACGACAAATTTAAAATAGTATATCCATAAAATATTTCCTAAGGTTCATCAATTTAAAATCTTGAATCCCAATTTTTTATTTTTAGATCTGTAAATTCTTTCCGATTCTGAAATATAAAATTCTTTTTTCACGTTTATTATATTGCTACGTGGCAATAGTATAATTCTCTATTAGATTATTTAGATAAAATGAGTTTAAAAAAAAGGGAACTAGCTAAAAGAATTGATTTTTTTTTTGCTTCAAAGAAGCATTTGAAAAAAGAAAGTTGTATTTTCAATTAGACGCATTGTTTTTACTCGAGTCAATGTCATAAGTTCAGATGCTTATCTTTGGTATCACACTAAAGTTGTTGATCTTATCTGGCGTCAAAAGCTTTTTATTATTTACAATCGTAGCATCTCATATCACGATATGTAGTTGATAACAGCAGCCACAAATTTGCTTCAAAAAAATTTTTTTTTTAAAGAACCTGTTTCAAAACAAATTAGAGCATTTGAAAATTTCGTCACACAAAAATACGATTTAAAATTAATTTCACAAAATTGAAATTACTAGATTAAAAATTGATGTTATAATTTTTTTACAAAATTGAAATTAAATTTCAACTATAAAATTGAGGTTAATAATTTTGATTATTGTGTGATAAATTTTGTATTTTATTATTAATCATTTGAACGTCAAGGCATAATTGGAGGAATTTTGTTTGTTAAATAATAGAATTTTACTAAATTTTCTAACATATATAGTATATAGAGAGAGAGTGATGTGTGTTTTGTAACTACAAACTCCATCTGGACTTAAAGCGTATTAAGGACGTCTAAAGTTGAGAGACGAGGCCGTTTGTAGAAAGACGAGGATGTCTTTTTGCTTCGCGCTGTCTGGGGCCAAACTATGTGTAGTGAATTTCGACCACGCTGTTGATATTCGCGTTCATAATGCTTTTACAGTGTAAGGAAAGAAAACAAACGTGGCTAACGATTGAAATGAACGCTTAATGCTTGTTACAAAACGGTATGGAACAAATCGAATAATTTTCTAAATTAAATCTCTTTCTACTTTTATAGGTAATAAAAATTGTAATTGTTAATTTAAAAAATAATTACGAATTTAAATATATTAGTGAATTTCAATATTTAAAATTTTTTAAATGAATTAAAAATTTGTACCCTGATTAAAATCCACTTGTCCAAATGATGCACTTCTATAAGGTGTATTGGTTCTGTGAAAGCAAAGAAATGGTCCACGTGGTTCTAATCTTGTTATTGCATCTCTTGCTTCGCTCTCATTACTAATAGGTTCGTGAAAATCGACTTTTACACCTTTTGCACTGTCCACCATTGAATCACTGTACTGCCTCAAATGCCTACCACCATTGTTTGATTCACTTAAAATACACTTATTATTATCATCAACAACAATATCACTGACATCGGCACTATTTCTTTGTTTTGTTTTATTTAAATTTGAACCATTTTTTGCCCACACCATTGAATCAACACTTGCTGATGATTTTCTATTTGATTCCAATGGAACATCACCATATAATTCTTCACTGACACTTTCACTTCGAACAAATGTTTTTGCATTATTCCCTGATGATCCATGGCTGCCTTCACTGTAGGTGTTACTTCGTCGTCCATCGTAACGATTACAATCATCAATTTCCACCGATTGTGGAGACTGAAAAAGAAATTTTTTTTTGAAAAATTATTGGATAGAAAAGTTTATTTTTTAAAATGAATTTCTTCCTGATGATAGTTGGCATGGGATGAGATTAAAATTGATTAGCGTCATTTTTGATTATATGGCATGAAATGAAGTTGATTAAATTAAGCGTTGGAATCACCTGTTGAACAAGTGGAATTATACAATTCATCTGTTGTGAGTATTAGTATTCAGATGTTAGCGATTAGGTTTTAGATAAAATAACAGTTGATTAGATACCTATAGATAATTTCAAAAAATGATCATCATAATTATTTTCCAATCAAGATGTTGAAGAAGACATTTCTTTTGATTTGAATTTTAAAGCGCAAAATATATTTTCACGGGAGATGCAAAACACATTCATTCAAAATGATCGTAAAAATTAGAACGAATCGATTTGAATAACCAAAATCAACTTTTTATAATAATAATCGTCAAAATTATTCTAGATTAAAATCATCGGGAAATGTATGATCGAAGTAAAAACAAAGCGTCTGATTAGAATCAACATGGAACGTTCATAAATTGATCAAAATCAATATTATTATAATAATAAATATTTAATATTTCTCGAGGATGATTATAATTTTATAAACTATTGAAGTTGATCAGAATGATCAAAATGATCAAAATAAACCGAAAGCGTCTCCAAAAAGGATTAGAATCAAAGGAACGTCTCTTCAGAATCATCAAATTAAAATTTCATTAATTAAGCTTTGATCAAAACCATCGTAATGATTTTAAGGATTAAATTTAACCTAATATAGCTCGATAATGATTATAATCATCTATATTAGAATCTGATTGAAAAGAAGAAAGTCAATCCTTTTTATCAAATTCGTCAAAATACCTTTACTCTGGAGCCTGGAGGATAATAAAAAATTATTGTCATTTCTCAATCAGGATCTTAATTTCGTATATGATTTTCAATAAGAGGAAATGATTTTGCAGGATCAGGAAAGTAATCAATCATTTTTTCAAATCGTATATAGATCTAAATAGAATCTTTTCAACTGAATTAAAAATCAATTTTTGATGATTATAAATGAAATTTTCGGAATAATTATTGTCTCAATTGAAAGTGACCAACCTGTGGATTGTTTGATGAGAGGTTTTGTTGGCATTCACTCGAAGGTGGTGGTGATGTTTGCACACGCGAAGGTCGTCGAGGCGGAGGGACGGGTGCTGGTCCTTTGAGCTTTTCCGTCAGTTCACGAAGGCGCTCGGCCTTGTCGCTGCGGGGGCCGGAAGAGGACTTTTTCCCACTTCCTCCTCCACCCCCGCTCCATCGAAATCTCTGAAGACGATCCACTGCTGTCACTGTTGGATCCTATAACAAGATATCCAAAATTTTCACAATCAAAATCGATTTTGATCATTAAGAATTCGATAAAAAAAAAATAAGAATTTTCTTCTTTTTTAATACCTGGAGTTTAAGAGTCTGATGTTTGGTCCATTGAGCGAGTTGTCGCGGCACAGAGATGGAGTGCGATACTGAAGTAGTGATCGTTGGCGACGTTGACGTTGCTGTCGTCGTTGATGACGAGACGATAGATGAAAAAGAAGAGGTGGAAGATGAAGATGAAGAAGAGGAAAATGATGTCGGACCGTGGCCGACGTTAAAGTTGGTACTGATGCCGCTACTACCCGTTTGCAGCCACCCGCAGTTATTATTAGAGTTTGAGTTTGGCGGCGGCAGTTGCGTCGCTGGATCCACAGTTGCCACCGCCACTCGAGTGGGAGATTGTTGAGATTGAGGTAAAGTAGGAGAGATTGGACCCACGTTTGACGGTGACGATAATGGAATTCGCGATAGAGGTAGTCGCGATCGTGGACCAATGCAACAGCAATCAGTCACACTGTTGACAAATTCAATTGATGATCCACTCTTTTCACCGGATGTTCTGTCCGTTAATTGTTCACGGGATTCGCTATCACGTGAATTTCTCTTTCTTCTTCGATCTTGACCCTCTTTTCGTGAGTTTGTCAATGTTAGACTGTCCTGCAATTATTAAGAATTAATTATTGCTTTTATTGTTCTTCAAAATGTGAATTTTGATAATTAAAAATTTTATTCAAATTTTTATTGAATTATTAAAGTGTAGCAGCACTGAACTCGAATAACTAAAATGTGTGTAGCATCAAGTCATATATGCTTGTTAGTTCACTAAGATGAGAAGGTAAGGTGACGCCGTCTCTTCTCGTGAACTCGTTTCAGATAAACTCTTCTGAAATGTATCTCCTGCACATAATGCACCATTCCTTTTGTACAGATTTTTTTTTCTTCAATAACGACTTTATTCGAAATTTCAAAATTTTTTTTCATTTTTAACTATTCAATAAGTTAATTTTTTAAATAATTTTTTTTAGTAAAAATATTTTTTAAATGTTTTGTATAATTGTAAGGGAATAATTTACCTGAGATAAATGTAAACCGTAACGAGGACCACCGAGAACAACGTAACCAGTCCCACCGCTGCCCCCTGTCATGGCCCTCGCAGCACCTCCGAACCATCCACCAAAACTGTTTCCCGTCTTCTCCGCATTGCTGCCGCCTCCGCCTTCGTCTTCGCCGACGCGGGACATTCTTCATCCTTCCTTCACACTGCAAACAAATGAATTCACATTTATATTTTTTTAATCGTTCAATCCTGTTTTCGAAGTGACGTCTTTTAAAAAAATATTAGACTTGTTATGCGTGTCCCCTCTCTCAAAAAATTTGAATAACCGATCTTTCCTGTATACGATAGCAAATTTATAAAGTGCATACAAAACAAATGGCATTTATCATGAGGTCAATGACCTCTAAATTATTTTTAATTTAAAACAAAATAGAATACTTTTTTAAAATCAATAATAAATTTTTTTAATTCTTAATTATTATTTTAATAATTTTTATTTGTCTTTAAATTCCAAAATAATATTTATATTATATATAAATAATAATTATTATTATAATTTTATTATTATTTTAATTAGCAAAATTAAACGCGCGCCAAATTGAGTATTTAATTGTTTGTTATAAAGAAATTAAAGATTAATATTATCAATAATAATTTAATTTATTAGAATATTATTACATATTAAATGATAATAATGAAAATTATATGTTTACAGGCCTCGGATTATATACGACTTTTTTCGACTTTTTTTTTTCAAAAATACGACTTTTATCGACTTATTTTAATAAAATGCGACATTTTTTATTTTACATTTGAAAAAAAATGTAAATAAAATACCTTTTTTTTAGTATAAAATGTAGATCTTCTTCAATTCAACTATTTAACAAATTTTGAACTAAAATGATTCTTCACTAAATTAATTATTTTTAATAATTTTAATGAAATACATCACAAATTCAATTATATCAAAATTATTTTTCAATTAAAATTTTTATGAAATTTAACAATTGTTTATAATTTAAAAAATTTAAAAAAAATATATCACAATAAAATTGAATTATTTTTTAAAAATTTCAATTCAAAATAAACTAAAAATTCAATTATTACAAGAAATTTTAATTCAAAATCAATAAAAATTCAATAATTATCAAAAATTTTCAATTTAAAATTTAATTATTTACCAAGTTTTCAATTTAAAATGAAATAAAATTCGATTATTTTCTAAAATTTCTATTCAAAATTAATTATTTAAATTTTCAATCAAAAATGAACTTTTAAATTAAATTATTATTATCCAAAATCTCAATTGAAATTCAATTATTTTCTAAACTTCCAATTCAAAATCAACTAAAATTCAATTCTATTCAAAAATTTAAATTCTAAATTAATTAAAATTCAATTTTTTTCAAAAATTTAAATTCAAAATCAACTAAAATTTAACTAAAATAAAATTATTTTTCAAAATTTTTATTGAAATTCAATTATTTAAAAAAATTTTCAATTTAAAATCATTCAATTACTTTCAATTCAAAATGAACTGAAATTCAATTATTTTCCAAATTTAAAATCAAATAAAATTTAATTATTCTCAAAAATTTGAATTCAAAATTAATTGAATTTTTAATAATTTGAATTTAAAAGCATCTAAAATTTTCCATCGAAAATTTTTTTTTTGAAATTTAATAATTTCAATTATAACTCTAAGGAAATTCAATTATTTTTAACTACAATTATACAACTTTGGCAAAAATGAGAAAAAGAATTGTCAAAATTTGACACGTCATAAGATTACTATTCAAAAAAAACACGTAAAATCAGAAAAGGCCAACTTCAAGTTAGGACAGAAGGACAGACCAAGCATTTTATTATTATTTTAATTGTTAATTAATTTAATAATAATTATTGTTATAAAGTTGTCTCTATATTCGAATATGAAATGTGAAGAATTTTCTGTTTGTAAAATATTCATCTTCCTGTTCGTCGATTTTTCGAAATAAATTTCGTCAGATTAAAGTTGTTTCGCGTACTTCCGGAATTTATCATAACAAAATTTTTGCGCTCAGTTTTGAATGCCAATATATAGTGTTATACCCCTCTCGTTTGGAATTCACGTTCGAAATACACACATATATATATATATATATATATACATACGGTTCAAGATCATTCATTGGAAGCGCGCGCATTTCCTTTAGGTAAATAAATAAATTCTTTGACAGATGAATGTACTTTGAAAAGAGAGGGAATGTGCCTACGTTCGCAGAATTGCAACGTTTCTAGCACGCATCGTAAGACTGCGAGTCAGACACACTTGCTATACAAATTTTTTTTTTTTTTTTTCCACCGAAATATTTTCATGACCCAAAAAAAAATTAGAAAATTTAATATATTTTTCATTTAAATTTTTTGATTTTAACAAAATTTATTAATATTATTAAAAGTTTAAATATTGTTTTTTTTATTGGATTTTATTTATATTTAATCAATTTAATTCAATTGTGAAAAAAAAGTTTACATTAGAATAAGGTGCAATAAAGAAAAGTTCTTCCGCATCTGTCAATCAAACTGTCACCACTATTATAATTCTACAACTGTCATGTTTGCGTCACCGGACGTACTATAAGCTTTGTTTATGGCAATGGAATAATAAACTGCATCTTAAATATATATATAGAGAGGGGAAAAAAAATTACATGTCTGTTACACTTTTTCCATTATTAGAATTAGTTTTAAATAATTTTTCAATTGCGAAGAAAATTTTTTGTTTTATTTTTCTGAAAATTAAGTGATGAACCCCCTTATTAATATTCACACTTGCTAATTTGATATTAACACACCCAGGTCGTTAAATTCCGCCTATATATTTTTTACACGCTACATGTATTAAGGTACTTTGTTGAGCACACACACACACACACGCCCAGTGAGAATTTTAAGCAGCAGAATCGGGATATATAGATGCATGAAACTTTGTTGGAAAATAATGTGCGATAAATATAGGTGTAATTGGTGCTTAAAAATGAAGGTATTTTCGATTTCATAAAGTTTTTACATTCAACTGTTGCGATAATGGAGTTATCAAAAAAAATTAATATTTTTTTTTTTTCATACAATTTGTATAGCAAATTATATAAAAAGACATATGATTGGCTTGTCATTTATGAGCCTTGAAAATATTATATTGTATATACGAGAATTTTTGCTCGTTACCTAAATTATTTTTGATTTCGACTCGTTTTTCTTCTTCGTTTCTTTCTTTTTTTATTTTAGACTCTCGCGTCGTCAGTAAAGTTCGTTCGTATATACATTGCGACAGTGTCGAAACGATAAAGACGCACGTTGCATTCCATTCAAAATTATTTGTTTAAATCTCTTTTCACGATTTGCTGATAAATATGTATTTTTTTTTGCAAGTTCCTTTCTTTTTGGTTAATTAATTTTTTCCATCTCCTTCTCCTTTTTTTTTGATAATTTATATTAAATGTAATATAAATAGTTAATTTTTATTTTAATTAAGACTGTTAATTTTAATTAAGATTATTTATCCAGTAGTTGTGTGAAGGGGGAAAAAATATATATATGCATATTAGTAAAACTATATATTCGTATTAAATGTCGCAGTAAAATGGAAACTTTACGTTTCAGTGGAGAAAATAAATTAGTTAAGTGACTGTATGTTTTAAACAACTATTCATTATGCGTTGAAATATTCGACTTGCATTAGTATTCGTATTCAGCAGCTTTCATATAAATTTCAAATATTTATTGTCCAACTCTGGCGCCTCTCGTTATTGTGCCGCAAAAAAAAAAAAAAACTATACTTCGCGCGTCAATTGCTTTTAATTGTCAGAAACAGTACGATATTAAACAAAATCAGAATCAATACAGAAAATCCCCTATCCCAAAGATACAGATGCAAATTCATCTTGCAAAATTGTATTTAAGAGATCATTTCAGTCGAATCATTTATAATTCCTAAAATTTATCAAGTTGGAAATTTTTGAAAGAACTATTTTTTTTTTTTTTGCATAAGGAAACTCGAGTGCATAATTGCGCGGGATTACACACTCTAATGATAGAATAATGAAAATAAATGTTAGATTAAAGGTTCCCTTTAACAGCTGGCCTAAACAAAAATTCCGCGAAGTATGAAACGCTTATAATAGAAACGGATGTACCCATTTTCACTGTGTGTCATCAAATGAGCATTTATCCTTTAGCCATGCATATATAGTGAAGCTATGTGTCTTCTTTAAAGTCCGTTTTCTTCTTAAGATATTTCTCCAATAACTGAAAGTTTATTTTTGGCCGTTTCTTCTTATATACACTTGCATATAGACCTATCGCCGTTCAATGCCACCACTGTTTCAAAATACGACGCAGTCCCAACGGTTTCACACTTTTGCAAGTCATATATATATATATATATATATATATATATAATTTTTTGCTACATGTGCATTTTAACTTGAATTTCATAAATCATTTTGTCACATAGTTTTTTTGACCAATCAAAAAAAAAAAAAAAAAAGTAAAAAAAAAACTTGACTCAATTTTAGAATTACAAAAATATTGTAATTATTTTGAGAAAAAAAAATCCGCAATTGTGTACAATAAAAAAAAAGTATAATTGAGTCAAGAAAATCATATAATGTAATTGATTTACCAATTTTCTTGATTCAAGAAAATTTACTTCAATGAAAATTTTCCTGGATCAAGAAAATATTGAATGAAATAAACAGGTAAATTGGTTTTCTTGATTCAATACTATATATATTTTATAAAATATTATATTTAATTTATTAATTAATTATAATAATTTATTAATTACAATAATTATAAATTTATATATAAAATTTTATAAAACAATTTTTCGAAATAATTCGATTTTATTGAATATATAAAAATTATTAATCATAATTAATTTGGTTATGTTTCAGATGAGAAAATAGTAGGAGTTTTGATGTACCACTGGAGGAGAATGGGACAGGATGCTTCTGCAATGATAATGTGAGTTTTATGAATGAAATATTACCGTTAGATTAAAATATCGAAAACTTACTTCTAACACCCACATTCTTCAAACAAAAACACATTTGGTTTAATTTCATAACATATATATAGAAAGTTGAATTAGTCGCAAGATTGAACGATTTTTTCCTTCAAATTATGATTCAGAGATTATTTACTGTTTTTTCAAATTTAATTTAATATCGTTAAAAAAAAGAAAAAAAAATTTAAATTAAAAATTACGTGAAAAATTGTGATATAAAAAATTTTTTACATTTATATAAAACTCGTTTTTTTTTTTGGAAAAACGGACTTTTATAAATCAAGTAATTGAGACGTAAATATGTATATATAGTAAAGAAATATATACATGAGATGAAAATTATCAAACAGGCACTTTGAGATTTATCTGAAAACTATTTACTATGAATTGAAATCAATGCATTCGAGTTGTTGACAGGTTGATAATAAAGTTAATGGAATCCGGTCTCATTGATCACTGCTGTGTAAACCTTTTTCGCGTCTTCTTTTATATACCAGATCGAATAAATGGTATACTAAAGATAAGAGGAAAGATCAGGAAAAGCTGGTTTACTTCACTTCTCTCTTCATTCCTATTATCGAATGTGTCGCGTCTTTATTTTTATTGCAAAACATTATAGTTGTAAAGAATTTGCAAACGTCTAAATTCACAAAAAGGGTCCGATATTTTCTATATGATAAAAAAATTTTCACTTACAAAAAACAGTATTCTTAATAATAGAGGAACTATAAAAATTTGTTTAAAAAATCGATTTTTTTATTATTATTTATAATTATTTATTATTTATTATTTATTATTTATTATTATCATATTAATTCTTATTATTATTATTGAATTATATTTTTCTAAATTTCCGCATGGTTTCAATTTCCATAATTAATATATTCAATTATATTATCCAGTCAAACCGGTTTTATATTTCAATTATTATCATCATTCAATTATCATTAATAATAATAATCAAACTATAACAATTTTTTAATAAAAAAAATTTTTTGAATTTAATTTTTTATTATCAGAGAACATTTAAAATAAATTCCACACTTGAAATAAATCTGGCAATTTGTATTGAAAGAGGAGTATAATATATAATAAAATAAGGAAAATTAATTGAATGATAAATCTTGAGTGATAAATTTTAAGTAAATTATCAAGCACCGTGAAAATAATGACATATCACGTGAAGGAAAATGGAGCAAACAGGTGGTCGCTCTAGTAATTCAAAGAGATTTTATAATATATATATAGAAGGTATTATTATATTTACACGTTTATCTAAAATTTACATTAGGCTAATTTTTTTTTTATTTGCTATATTTCGATTTATCTTTTTAATTTATCAAGAAAATATTTCGAAATAAAATCACTTTTTTTTCAAATTTTCGAAAAAATTTAACACTGATTTTTTTACGTGTAAACAATTTTTTTTGGACTTTTCTCGCAAAATGAAAAAATTGGCTGAAAAGCAATAACAAAAATTTACCTTTGAATTTGTCGCATGATATAGCGATTTAATTCCGTATATTTTTATAATAACTGTTATGAATATAAAATTTACGACACATTATTGGGTTATAATTAATCGTTCACTGTGAATGAAAAAAAAAAGATTTGAGATATACTTTATGAAAATAAATAAAAAAAAGCATATATATATAATGTGTTTATACCGGTGAATTATAAGAATCGTGTGCACCTATTTCAAGGCTGTTTTCATCGCGAGGTTAATGCAAACGGGATACATCGTGGCATGCGCCAAAATGTGAACTCGAACACTGGCGGTGAATACGAGTGCAAGATCGAGGAGGATAAGAAGTTGGATGAAGAGGGTAGAGGTGGTGGAACAGAGGAAGAAGAAAAGAAGAAGAAGAAGAAGGAGGAGGAGGAGGAGAAGGAGGAGGTGCGGCCACCTTCTTAAGTGAAAGCCATGCACGAAGATGCTCCCTTGCATTCAAGTACCTCCCGCTAAGCGAAAGATTTTCTAAATAGCGCAGACTCCAACAACATATATACATGAAAAAACATCAAGAGTATAAATATGTATATACTCTACAATCAGCCAATGCGATATTTATATACATATATACAGAGATTGCATACATTGTCGTCGACGGCGTCGTTAAAAATTAAGTCAATTTCATTCGCAGTGCAACGATTCACTTGATCCTTATTTTATTATTCGCGGACAATGTGCTTTTTATGAGATTTTTAACCCTTTTTATATGTATACAAAATTTTAACATTTTATGAGAATTTTAAATCCCTTAGGAATTTTAACATATATATATATATATATATATATATATATATATATGCTATTGTGAAATAATTTAATTGAAACTAACAACTTTTTTAAATACCCTTTGAATCTAAATTAGTAAAATATCTAAACTAATTTAAATTTGTTACTGACATTTTGCGCTCTGTACGAATTATAGTGAAAATTTACTAAAGAATTAGCAATAAGAATTATTTTTTCAACAAAATACATAGATTGTTCAAAAATAAACAAGATGGTAAAAGTTTTGAAAAAATATAAAAAAATTACCGACATAGAAATCTACCTTACCGACAGATGATAAAACGTTCTTTGAAAAATGAAAATATAGAAAATTACCGACACAGAAACCTACCTTACCGACTGATGGTAAAACAGCTTTTTGAAAAGTAAAAATATAAAAATTACCGACACAGAAATCTACCTTGCCGACTGATAGTAAAACAGATTTTTTGAAGAATGAAAATATAAACTTTCTTCAAAAAAATTCAAAACTGCTTTACTATCAGTCGGTAAAGTAGATTTCTAGGTTGGTAAGTTTTTATATTTCTAGTTTAAAAAATTTACCATCGGTCGATAAGGTAGATTTCTGTGTTGGTAATTTTTAATTTTTTGAAAAAAAAATTGTTTTACCATCTATTGGTAAGGTAGATTTCTGTGTCGGTAATTTTTTATATTTTCATTTTTCAAAACTTTTTACGTGGGTTTCACTATATGTAAAATTTAATTCATAGCAATAAGTCAGTATTAAAATTAGTGTTTAATTTTTTTTAATTCAGATTTAGAGAGGAACAAATTTAAAGTACCTACTTTTTATTATTTTAATATTTATTTATTTACATAGTTCAAAGTTGAGGAATTTTGTAATAATATTATTTACACCTGCATCCCGAGCTGTAAATGTTTACATTTACAAAGGGAACCTTAAATTAAAGGTCATAAACAATGCGGTTGAAAAATTCCTAAGATAATTAAATCAGTTGCAATTCGTGTCTCGACCTGTTCAATACATTTCACTAAATTTCGGGGGGTTTCGAGATTTTTTAAATCGTGATCGTTTAAATCATTAATAAAAAAAATGTTTCTTAATTTATAAATTTTTTAAACATCATTTCGGGAGAGTTCGAAATGTTTGAAATCAGGTGTGCCTTACCTGACAGAATTCATTGTCCGAAATACATGAAGATACATCGGTTACAGATACTAAAGGTTAGAGATATATTTTTTATAAATAATAATTACACGGGTTTTCTACAAATTTTTTTTTTTTCAAATATCACATTAGTTTCTTTTCTTATACAAAAAAGGTTTATTATCATTTTAAAGCTTGCGAAAAAAAAATTTTAAAATTAAAATTTTGAAATTAAAATTTACAATATTAAAAAATATGAGCGTGAAATTATACAAAAAATCCCACATAAATTCGATAAAGAATTATTTGCATGGAATGCAGAATACGTGAATAATAAATGTTAGGATTATTATTTACTGGTAAATTTTTGAAATAAAATCATGCACCTGTGCAAACCCAACAAGACGTGCCAATATTAGTCAGCCGACAGGCAATGTGCCTCGGAAAGTCGATGAGTTAATTAACGGTAAAAAGAATTTATTTCACTCTTTATTTATATATATATACAATCTTCATCAACTAAAAGAATTATAATCCGTTATAATTGACTGCTTTATTATATATTTTTAAAACATATTATTACCTTGAAAAGAAATCATCAAGTTATTGTTGTTTTTTTTAAGAGATCAACAAACAAGAATATAATAATCACGTGATAAAGAATAAATATATTCGGTAAAATTAAAAATGAATAGTGGTTGCATACTTTTAATTTAAAAATGCAGGTATATACAAAGATTTTAATTTTCATTCCAAAATTCTTGCAAATTTATATAAGGATAAATGAAAGTATATAATTAGATTTAATCAACAAAATTTCAATAAGTATAGTTAAAAAAAAAAATACAATTCCAATGAGGAAATTTTTTTATTTCAAAAATCAGAGATACAAACCCATTAACGGAATACATTTTTTGATTAAAAAAATTAAAAAAAAAAAAAAAAAAAGTATATCTTCAATTAAGATTCGTTTTAATAATCTCTTTCTCTTATCTTGAGTTAACAATTATAATCAATTGAAATTTGAGAATTTATATATCTTTTTAAAATTTATCATTTAATATGATTATATTAAATATGACAATTCTCACAATTAGAATAATATGCAAAATTCGTATTTTCAATTTTTACCGCATACAAAGCAAATATTTTTTCCCCTTGTAATTTGTAAGTTGCCATTTCATCGTGTAATATTACACGCATAATCGCTTCTAATTTCCACTTTTCTTTGTTAAAAAAAAAAAAAAAAAATTAGTCGACTCAACTTAAAAAATTAAATACATTTAGTAAACATAATTTTGTTCATTTAACTAAACATTTGGTTGTTAGACGTTTAATCCTAAAATATGGTTAAATATTAAAATATTTTGGTAGAATCTACTGTATAAAATTTTCTTAATTTAACCATATTAATTAATTGTTCTCTGAATGTATTTAATTATTAATTAACTCACTTGAAGTTATAACTGATTTTTATTACATTCGCCCACAATTTGATTTTCTATTTTCAAGACGAAAATCGCGTTTTCCCGTTTGTACATCAATGTATCGCGAAGAAAAAAAAAATCACACACCCAATAAAATGCACTTTCACGCACGACTCGCCGCACAACAAAGTGCTTTGCTTCAAACATATATATTTATACGATCGAGGAAGAGCACGTTTAGAAATCACTGATCATATTTCAATAAAGTCTCAACATCATAAATTATTTTAACAACTGTACTATGTGGAAAATTAATTTTTATTATGCTAATCGACACGTTGAATAAATCTTGGAAAACTTGATCTTTATATGATTTACGATTTAAGCCTATATATATATTTCTTGAAAAGCCCGTTCTCTTCAATATACATTTTAATTTTTTTTATATTTGTATATTTATTTAAAAAATTTATTTTATAAATATATCTAAAGAAACAAAAGTTTAATTTGACTTAACTTTTATTAAAATCAATTTACAGTTTTGAACTAAATTTAAAATAATTTATTATGTTAAGGCACTTATGATAATAAATTAAAGAAATAATGAGAATAATGAAAAAATAATATATAATTAACAATTATTATTTATCAATATTTCACTACTATTCTGTAATTCAACTTTTATAGATAAATATATAAAATTCATTTATTTTCTATGTAATAATTTTAAAAATTATCTTTTTAAACAGAACAAATTTTTGAACATATTAACTCTAACGCCCCAACGTGTATTTAGAACAATAAATTTTGTTATCCTCAAAATATAATTTAATGTCAAATTCAAAATACTTAGAACAATTTTTTTTTTTTACCACTTTTTAAAATGGGAAATTTATTAGCTAGTATGAAAAGAAATTTGTTATAAAAATAAGGGAAAAATTAAACCAAAGAAAAGGGTTAAAAAAAGTTTATATTGTACCTGGATTTTCAATGAAAAACTCTCTTCGTACACATCATTTTTTTTTTTTTGCGGCACCAATGCAAAATTCGCGGACACTCGCGGTTTTGAAAAAAAAAAATAATAATAATAACGTTCTCCAGACGTGATAAAGAAAAATGACGATTGTATAAGATAAAATTGAGTTAAGAATTATGAAGAATGAAATATAACCGGACTAAAGTTGACGAGAAAGGATAGCAAGACTGTGAGAGTCTTACTGAGTCAGTCTTACCAACAGTGGTTTTCACCAACGTACGCAGAGCACTGTAATCGAGACGATACTGTACTGGTCCCGAGACAGTGGTGGGGGGTTACATCAGAGTAAAACCTTCGCTTCTCCGAGGCCAAACTCTGGGTCCGGTATATATATATATATACACTGACAGACCGTATGGTATTCGTTTTAAACTTTTGAATTTTAAGATGAGTCAAATTCTCATATGTGTGAGCGTAAAATGCATTTTGGTATCAGTACCATGAAAGCTTCTAACAGTGAGTGTACCCAAGAAAGGGCCCAATCTTACCAGACCCATAGGAGGGGGGGGGGAGAGATCTCTCACATTCTCTCTACTTTTCTCACTCTTCTTCTCCTCTTTCTTTATACATATATATACATTTATGCTTATTATAACCAAACTTATGTTTTGGATTTTTTAACTCTAAATTTTTCCCCTGACACAATGTTTAAAAAAAAAAAAAAAAACTGAAATAATGTTTTTCTATTCTAAAATTATAATAATAACAATATAATAGTTATTATAATAATTCGAATAATTATAATAATTGTTACATAAATTTATATAAAATTGTTATAAACAAATTGGTTGTGATTTGTGCAGGGAAAGAAAATAAATATCAAATTTTGTAAAAATATTTTCAAGTCATGAAAAATATGCAAAAAAAAAAACATAATTTTCATATAAGAAATTTTAAATTTTAGAAAAAATTTTATAAACTTAAAACACATTGAACAAAAAAAAATTTAATTTGATTCAAATACTCGATTACTTGACTATTATCAAATAAATATTTGAATCGAATAATTTTTAGTTGAATTAAATAAATTGTATTGAACCAATAATTTTTATATTTTGAAACAAATACCATCTGAAATATTAATTATTTGATACAAATAAATATTTATTTGATAATAGTCAAGTAATTGAGTATTTGAATCAAATAAATTTTTTTTTTCAATGCAGGATTTAAACAAAAGTATCATTTATAAATCAAATATTTTTTACCAAATTTTAATTTGAACGAGGTTTTTTTTTCACACTAATTGTTTATTATGCTCTCTAAATCTGAATTAGTAAAAATTTTAACTAGAATTAATGACTCACATTTTGCTTTCGAATTAGTAAAATTTAACTAATTATTAATAAAAAAATACTTTCGAATTAGGAAAAAAATTTAACTAATTCAAAAACAAAAATGAGATTTTATGTCTAAAATTAAAAAAAAAATACTAAACTGATTTTAGAATTTTTTTTTTTTAATCTATTGTGGGTAAAAAATTTTTTTCCTTGCCTCATCATGGTACAATCTACTATTGTTACCTGTCGAGCGCAGTATTTAGTACAAAGAGGGCAGTAGTTACCGTTAAGCTACTGCTACGCGGTTAGTATTCCCCTCCATTTGAAATTGTTTCTATATAGGTGTGACGCGTATGCCAAGTGATGTGTTCGTTTCTAGAGACGACGCCCAAATTTTTATAAAGTGTGCGTGTGCGAAGTTAAGGTTAAGTCATACACTACTTGTTTACAACGTATTATTTGAAATAAAAGAAAAAATTAATAATTAAAAAAAAAAAAAATAATGGCAATCCTTCAGTCATTCTGGACACCATGCATTTGGACAAATGGAATAAAAAATGGTTGTAGAGTCGTTGCATTTTACACTATTGTAAGTATATTGTTTTTTTCTTAAAATATTTTAATAACATTTTTTATAATTAGTACACATATTTTCTGGAATACATCACACAAATTGGGATTGTAAATTTTTTCATTTTTAATTAACATATTTTTTTCTTAATTTGTTTAAAAATTCGTAAATCTGGTTTGGGGTAAATAATTTAGTTTTTATTTATTTTTTTTTATTATAATTTATAGTTTACCAATTTTTATTAACGTATAATAAAAACAGATCTAATTTTAATTTTGTTTTCTAATATATCAAATTTTTTTTTAATATTATTATTATATTAATTATAATAAATTGACTTACAGTAATTGTTACATTTATTCTAATTAGAAATTTATTTTTAACTTTCTAATTATAAATTACAAATTTTACTATTTTTTTTCATTTCAGGCCGTTTGTATTATTTTAATAACATTAATAATATATCAACTGAGAGGAGGAGATTCAGCACAACTTTATAATCCTCTTTTTGAAGCTGATGTAAGAAGTTGTAAGTCTTGAAAAAAAATGTTAAATTTTTTTTTAAGTATTAATTATTTTTATATAAATAATTATTTTAATATTTTTTACAGCTATGAAAGTATATGGATCTTTATTCATAGCATATTTCTTATTATTCATTGTTTCCTCTGCCCTGATATTTTATGGACTGAGAGAAAGTGTAAGAGGCTATCTTCTTCCATGGCTCATTTTAATGTTCATTGTCATCTTATTCCAATTAGTGTTTGGTATATGGTTACTGTATGGATATTATATCTATGTAAGTTTTGTATGATTAAAAATTTAATTTGTTTAAATTAACAATTTTTCATTTCAATAATATAATTTAAATAATTTTATTATTTTAAAAAATTAATTATTTCTTTTGTAGCTTGATTCTGTACTTCCTGCACTGTGGAATTGGCTCTGGATGGGTTATAACGTAAGAATTGATTTTAGATAAAACAAAATTTAATCAAAAAGTTTTTTTTTTTTTAATTAAAATTTTATTTTTACAGATTTATTGCTGGCTTTGCGTGTACTCTATGTTTAAAATTTTCGAAGAGCTTCAATCTCCTAATATTGAATTATTATGGCCTTAAAAAAATGTCATGGGATAAAAAAAGAAGTTTGAAAACTTTAAACTAGAAAATATTAGAACGAAGGTACAATACCAAAGTATATATTATGTTTGACGCAGTTAACTCACGACATTTTTTTTTTTTTTTTAAATCTTCATCAGGGAAGATTATCTTAAAAATTAAAGACAGACTTAAAAAAAAAAGTACAATTGAAGAGAAATATTCTATTTTCTAATGGAGATTTAATATTATATTCTTAATTACTGTTTAAAAATGACCGAAGACTGAAAGTGGCTTAAATTTTATAGAAAGCCGACCCGTCCAAATTCGGTTGTTTTAAAAATTTAGACCTTTTTTTAAAAAAATTTTTTGTTTCCTTTGACTTGAAATTGCAATTAGGTGAATTTCTCCACTTTGTCTTCGAAATTTTTAATTGCAATTTTAAAAGTAAATTTCTCCCTTTTTTTTTGTCTTATAAGACTTGGAATTGCAATTTTTAATGTAATTTAGTTTTACATACTTTGTAACAAAAGTATACATAAAATTTTTTTTATCATTTTTAATTTAAAACATTCATCATCATATTTCGTCAATTTTAATATGCAGAAAATTCTAATTTTTGTATATTTTTTTTACCTTTGGAGATTCAAGTTTATTTTTAACACTACAGCCAGTGCCTTTTTTGCTGTAAGACTCATTTATTACATATCTCGCAATATTTCGAACATATCGAAATTTTAATTAAAAAACAAAAAAGAAATCTCATTAGTATGTAAATTAGTTTTTAAAGTACTTTGCACAATTAGTGTAAAGTTTATTTGCAATATTATAAGAATTAAGTAGTAAGCTTCAAGCACTGCCTAGATTAAATTGTTATATACGTCGATAAAATGATGATCGCAATGAGATATTTGAGCATTTAATGCAAAAACTCATTGAGTATTTAAATTTTTCTAAATATATATATATATATATACATTTGTAAAATTCCACTTCCGCAATAATTTTTTTTTATACAATAAATGTTCTACTACTTTATATTTATAAAAATTGTATTTTATAAAAGAAATTACAGATATAATACATGTACATTATTTTTTAAATTTGTAATAAAGAATCATTATAAAAAAAAATATTGTCTTTCTTAAAAATATATATACCTTTGAAAGAATAATGTTTTTCTAGTTTAAATAATATTGAATATTTATTTCGTAACATCTATTGCTTAAGAAGTTCTTGTCTTTACCGACAGTTGGTTTAATAGTGAAACAAATTATTGTTTCACACAAATAATTATTCTTTCACTCCAAAAAATTTTTATTTGATTTAATTTTCAAATAATTTAAAAATTTTTAATAAAAATTTTGACTATAGACAAATTTTTCTCATTTTGTTAATTTTTATGTTAATGAATGTTAATAAATGAGTTGGAAAATAATTTTTTAATATACATTTTTTTTTATTTATTTTCAGTCAACGCCAAAATGACAATCTATTAAAAGATAGGAAGGATGATGGAGGATGAAGAAAAGTGTCATATATTTTTTTTTTTTTAATTTTTTTTACTTTATTGTGGCCCCTGATTTGGGCAAAAGTGCAAGCAACGTGGGATTCATCGATCGGTGAGTCATTTTTAATTTAAACTTAGACTTAGATAATTTATATTAAATCGCGAATTAAATTAAAAATTCTATTAAACGCGATTGAACAAAAATTCTGATAAATAAAAATTCAAGAGGATGGAAATTCTATTAAAAGAATTTGGTTTTTTTTATTTTTGATTGCGAAAATCGGAATTCGATTTCGAAAATTTATTGAAGTAATCCTTTTCGATCTGAATTTATATTGGAAGGCAAACGTGAATATTATTTACAGTAACCAAATTCAATTTGTCAGAATTGTATTGAGTTAGTCCCAGATATGAGTGTCACCCCAAGCCACAAAATTTTTTGATCCAATAGGCAAAAAAATTGGTACACGCATATTATATTGACCTAGAAGGCAGAAAATTAATAGCATACTAAATTTTTACATGTAGTCGTCAAAAAACATAGAAAACCAAATTGAAATTGATTAAATTAGGAATAAAAAAATTAATAGAAAATTGTACCAAATGGAGAGTTACACTAGAGTTTCTAATATTTGCCCTAGAGTTCTTAAACTTAGTAAAAATGAATATTATTTATCTCAGGTTTTAAGAAAATGTAGTAAAGGTGATCGGATAAATGAGAGTTGAACTAGCGCAGGAACCTATAGGGTTGCATGGTTGTGAAATCTTTGGTATGTAATTTTGTTCATTAGTTAAGGTTTTTCTTTAGTTTTGTTTTTTAATTTTGCTTGTAGTTTTAGTTGTTACTAATGGTTGTAGAAATCATTGGTAATTTTTTGCATGTAGTTGTAGTTAGTTGTTACCAATGGTTGTGGAAATCATTGGTAATTTTGCTTGTAGTTAGTTGTTATCAATGGTTGTAGAAATCATTGGTAATTTTGCTTGTAGTTTTAGTTGTTACCAATGGTTGTAGAAATCATTGGTAGCTTTGCTTGTAGTTTTAGTTGTTATCAATGGTTGTAGAAATCATTGGTAACTTTTGCTTGTAGTTAGTTATGTTATCAATGGTTGTAGAAATCATTGGTAATTTTGCTTGTAGTTTTAGTTGTTATCAATGGTTGTAGAAATCATTGGTAATTTTGCTTGTAGTTAGTTGTTATCAATGGTTGTAGAAATCATTGGTAATTTTGCTTGTAGTTTTAGTTGTTATCAATGGTTGTAGAAATCATTGGTAACTTTTGCTTGTAGTTAGTTGTTATCAATGGTTGTAGAAATCATTGGTAACTTTTGCTTGTAGTTAGTTGTTATCAATGGTTGTAGAAATCATTGGTAATTTTGCTTGTAGTTTTAGTTGTTACCAATGGTTGTAGAAATCATTGGTAATTTTGCTTGTAGTTAGTTGTTATCAATGGTTGTAGAAATCATTGGTAACTTTTGCTTGTAGTTAGTTGTTATCAATGGTTGTAGAAATCATTGGTAATTTTGCTTGTAGTTTTAGTTGTTACCAATGGTTGTAGAAATCATTGGTAACTTTTGCTTGTAGTTAGTTGTTATCAATGGTTGTAGAAATCATTGGTAATTTTGCTTGTAGTTAGTTGTTATCAATGGTTGTAGAAATCATTGGTAATTTTGCTTGTAGTTAGTTGTTATCAATGGTTGTAGAAATCATTGGTAACTTTTGCTTGTAGTTAGTTGTTATCAATGGTTGTAGAAATCATTGGTAACTTTGCTTGTAGTTTTAGTTGTTATCAATGGTTGTAGAAATCATTGGTAACTTTTGCTTGTAGTTAGTTGTTATCAATGGTTGTAGAAATCATTGGTAATTTTGCTTGTAGTTTTAGTTGTTATCAATGGTTGTAGAAATCATTGGTAACTTTTGCTTGTAGTTAGTTGTTATCAATGGTTGTAGAAATCATTGGTAACTTTTGCTTGTAGTTAGTTGTTATCAATGGTTGTAGAAATCATTGGTAATTTTGCTTGTAGTTTTAGTTGTTACCAATGGTTGTAGAAATCATTGGTAACTTTTGCTTGTAGTTAGTTGTTATCAATGGTTGTAGAAATCATTGGTAATTTTGCTTGTAGTTAGTTGTTATCAATGGTTGTAGAAATCATTGGTAATTTTGCTTGTAGTTAGTTGTTATCAATGGTTGTAGAAATTATTGGTAACTTTTGCTTCTAGTTAGTTGTTATCAATGGTTGTAGAAATCATTGGTAACTTTTGCTTGTAGTTAGTTGTTACCAATGGTTGTAGAAATTATTGGTAACTTGGCTTGTAGTTTTAGTTGTTATCAATGGTTGTAGAAATCATTGGTAACTTTTGCTTGTAGTTAGTTGTTATCAATGGTTGTAGAAATCATTGGTAACTTTGCTTGTAGTTTTAGTTGTTATCAATGGTTGTAGAAATCATTGGTAACTTTTGCTTGTAGTTAGTTGTTATCAATGGTTGTAGAAATCATTGGTAATTTTGCTTGTAGTTTTAGTTGTTATTAATGGTTGTAGAAATCATTGGTAACTTTTGCTTGTAGTTAGTTGTTATCAATGGTTGTAGAAATCATTGGTAACTTTTGCTTGTAGTTAGTTGTTATCAATGGTTGTAGAAATCATTGGTAATTTTGCTTGTAGTTTTAGTTGTTACCAATGGTTGTAGAAATCATTGGTAATTTTGCTTGTAGTTAGTTGTTATCAATGGTTGTAGAAATCATTGGTAACTTTTGCTTGTAGTTAGTTGTTATCAATGGTTGTAGAAATCATTGGTAATTTTGCTTGTAGTTTTAGTTGTTACCAATGGTTGTAGAAATCATTGGTAACTTTTGCTTGTAGTTAGTTGTTATCAATGGTTGTAGAAATCATTGGTAATTTTGCTTGTAGTTAGTTGTTATCAATGGTTGTAGAAATCATTGGTAACTTTTGCTTGTAGTTAGTTGTTATCAATGGTTGTAGAAATCATTGGTAATTTTGCTTGTAGTTTTAGTTGTTATCAATGGTTGTAGAAATCATTGGTAATTTTGCTTGTAGTTAGTTGTTATCAATGGTTGTAGAAATTATTGGTAACTTTTGCTTCTAGTTAGTTGTTATCAATGGTTGTAGAAATCATTGGTAACTTTTGCTTGTAGTTAGTTGTTACCAATGGTTGTAGAAATTATTGGTAACTTGGCTTGTAGTTTTAGTTGTTATCAATGGTTGTAGAAATCATTGGTAATTTTGCTTGTAGTTTTAGTTGTTACCAATGGTTGTAGAAATCATTGGTAATTTTGCTTGTAGTTAGTTGTTATCAATGGTTGTAGAAATCATTGGTAACTTTTGCTTGTAGTTAGTTGTTATCAATGGTTGTAGAAATCATTGGTAATTTTGCTTGTAGTTTTAGTTGTTACCAATGGTTGTAGAAATCATTGGTAACTTTTGCTTGTAGTTAGTTGTTATCAATGGTTGTAGAAATCATTGTTAATTTTGCTTGTAGTTAGTTGTTATCAATGGTTGTAGAAATCATTGGTAACTTTTGCTTGTAGTTAGTTGTTATCAATGGTTGTAGAAATCATTGGTAATTTTGCTTGTAGTTTTAGTTGTTATCAATGGTTGTAGAAATAATTGGTAACTTTTGCTTGTAGTTAGTTGTTATCAATGGTTGTAGAAATTATTGGTAACTTTTGCTTCTAGTTAGTTGTTATCAATGGTTGTAGAAATCATTGGTAACTTTTGCTTGTAGTTAGTTGTTACCAATGGTTGTAGAAATTATTGGTAACTTGGCTTGTAGTTTTAGTTGTTATCAATGGTTGTAGAAATCATTGGTAATTTTGCTTGTAGTTAGTTGTTACCAATGGTTGTAGAAATTATTGGTAACTTGGCTTGTAGTTTTAGTTATGTTATCAATGGTTGTAGAAATCATTGGTAACTTTTGCTTGTAGTTAGTTGTTATCAATGGTTGTAGAAATCATTGGTAATTTTGCTTGTAGTTTTAGTTGTTATTAATGGTTTTAGAAATCATTGGTAATTTTTTGCATGTAGTTGTAGTTAGTTGTTATCAATGGTTGTAGAAATCATTGGTTACTTTTGCTTGTAGTTTTTAGTTAGTTGATACTAATGGGGGTGAAAATCATTGGTAGGTTCTTGTATGTATTTTTAGTCATTAGTTGTTCTTTATTGTAGTGTTTTTTTTAAATTTTTGTTTTTATTCCAAATAAATTTGACTAGTATATAGAGTACCTGTAGGTTTTATTTGCGTGTTCCACTCGCTTTTGTCCAATTTTTTTTTACTAAAATTTAGTTAAAATAGTTTTTAATTCATTTAATAAACGAATCGTGAGAATTATTGAAAAGTGACTTTAATTTAAAGACTACTGTAGAATATTATAGTTTTACCTAAAAAAGTTTTTGTTTATATGTTTCAAAATAAACATTAGGATGCGATTGGATTTAATTAAGAACAATCCTTAAGTCAAAATGAATTTTTATTTATGAATTTAATAGAATATTATGAGGGAATTTAATGAAAATGAACCTTTTCAATATACATACATTATATAATCAATTTAAATTGAAAGAGATGGAAAATGTATATAAAGCGGAAAACGTAAATGTCAGTTGCAATAATCTTACTGTTAATTAGTCGGCGAACTAAACGATCAGTTCGCTGATGCATAAGTTAAGAGCGAAAGCTTTCGAATTACAATACTTGGTTAAATGAGCTATCGTAGTGAACGTTTGTGTGGCCATTTACAACAACATACTCAAATAGAATAATGTCATACACACACATATACGTTGCACATTGAAAATACCTAGACTAGTGTTGGTGCGAGAATATCTCTGTTTCTGAACTCGCAGTATCTATAGGGAGGGAGAGTTCGAAATTGAAAGGTATCAGCGTGAGGGTGTGTTGTCAGTGACAAGCGAAAGACCGTATCAGAGGGTAATCCTATTGGTGGACGGTAGCGTCGCGACGTTCGGACGTCATTGGCTCGTCGGTGGACTTTGTGGGCGTGGCTTTTCCCCATTTTCAAGCGGGGGTGTCGCGGGAACAACCCCTGGTAGCGATTACGAGAAAACCACACGCGGGGTTGTGCACAAGGGTGGATGAGAATTCAACATGGCGGATATAGCAACCTCGAGGGTAAGTTGAGCGTCTCCACACACTTTTAACCCGTTCGATTCAGTCGGAAATGAATTTTCTATATATCTTTTCTCTCTCAATAAACTCAATTCACGGGTAGCAACTTCAGAAATCGCAAGTTCGTTATTCGACTTTACAATTAAAGTTCGTTATACCAGGGTCTTTCTAAAGATTTTACTTCATTTTTTTCTTGTCTTTAGACTGTAAATATGAGATTAAATTTTGGTTCTTTTAATTAATTTTACTTTCAGTATAATGCCTTTTCAAAGTTTGGTATAACTTTAAAAAGTCGAATTTCCAAAATTCTACACATCTGAATCGTGAAATCGCTTCTGATTTTAAATTATATTCCGGATAGTAGAAATCATCGTTGCTATATGCAATTTTTATTTTAGTGGAATTTCATTCTAAAGAGTTGTGGAACCTTATTTTAAACAAGAAAAAGGATCTGACATTGCTAATATGGAACTAATAACAAATCTGGTTTGTTGTTGCAACAAATTTTTTGTTCGTCTAACAATTTGAAATTAGTAAAATTGTTGTGGTAACAATAAAATTGTTTTAACAAAAAAAACAGATTTTTTTTAGCTCTTTATTCGGTTATTAGATTTCATTCCTTTTTAAAAAATAAGGTTCCTCGCAACACTTTAGAATAAATTTTTCTTTTCTGAGGAAATAGAAAAAATTACTATACTAAAATAGTAAAAATTACTTCAGAAATAGTAGTTTTACTATATATATACTTACGGATCCTTAATAGTAAAACTACTATTTCTGAGGGGTAAATTTTACAATTTCAGTATAGTAATTTTTTTTTATTTCTAGAATTAATTTTTATGGAAATGCGCAGAAAATTCCGGACAAGCTTAGGATTTACTTCGGAAGTATAGTAAAAATTACTTAATTTTTGTTTTCCCATTTTTCTTCGTGCTGAATTAACGGAGCTTTCAAATTAAAAAAAACGAATCTACAAAAAAAAAGTTCACAATAAAAAAAGAAGAAAATTTTTTGATTAAAAGTCACTTATCAGCTAGTGGAAAAAAATATATAGAATATTTAACTTTGAATATAGCTGGATGAATTTTGTATATAGTATAACACCCCACCACAAAAATTGAGTACCTGCGGAGAACCAGGACAACTATGGTATACGTCGATGCAGCGATCAACAATTGCAAACCGTATATAATGCTATACACACATATAGATAGTGGAAAGTATATGTGTGTATATGTGCAATGTACATTGGGTGGGTGAGGAGGGCCAAAAAGGAGCACATCTCGTTGTTAAGGGGGTGGGGGGTTATTTCTGCCATCAGACGAATTTTGAGTTGCGCGCAAGCGCCGCGACGCTCCTTCGAACGCCGCACATCAAACGTGGCGGCTATAGGTTAAATCCTCGGTATCCCGTTTTTCTTGTTTTTCCCGCGTTGCCTCCTGATCCCGCCTTCAAAAGTACTCGCGGACCAATCAGTTGCCTATACCGTCGCGACGATATCCGTCGGTACTGTCTCTTTACTGTGTGACATTGCCGTCGGTGCAGTCAACGTTTATCCGAACAGATCGGCTGTCATCCACCAATATACACATATATATATAGATATATTATTGCGATATTTGAATTTTCATCCTCTAAAAATTGGCGGAACGATTAGTCAAGAAAAATAATTTTTTTTTTTCGTTTTCATCTGGATTTATTAAAAAAAAAACTCTTCTCAATTTTTGAGTATGTTGTTTTTTATTTTCAAAACTGTGTTGTGATGTTCTTTAAATTTGTTTTGTTTTGTAATTATTGTTTTTGTGTTTTTTATTGTTAGTGGTATTATTTTGTTTTTATAAAAGTGATACCTTGTGTTGATGTGACAATGTTAAGGGATGAAAGCATTGGGGGTTGAAACTTTGTTAGTGAATTTTAAAAAATTTTTATTTTAAAAATTCTCTATTTACATTCAAATATAAAAAAAAGTGGTGTATTTTTTCAGCTCTTTAAGACCTGAAATAATAATATATCAAGCATTAATAAATATGCTTGATATTTATAGAGATTTTGAAAAATAGTTTTTCAAAACAAAATTTGTTTTTTATTTTTGTGCTCAGCAATGTTATATACTCTCTAAATCTGAATTAGTAAAAATTTTTACTAATTTAAATTAGTGACTTACTTTTTGCTTTAGAATTAGTTAAATTTTACTAATTGTTAGTAAAAGTTACTAATAATTAGTAAAATTTTACTAATTCAGAAGAAAAAAGTGAGTCACTAATTCAAATTAGTAAACATTTTTACTAATTCAGATTTAGAGAGTAAATTAAAAAATTTTGTGTTTGAAAATTAAAGGATGCTTTAAAAAAATGTAATAGAAAAAAAAAACATTGTCACATCATAATTTCGAAAGTTGTGGATGTGTGTAAAAAATTAATAAGTTAGTAAGTATTTCGATTCTACTTCTATTTTTTTTCCAATATTATATTTCAATTACATATATATATATTTTATATATAATGTAATTAAAATATGTTCATTGTATTAATCATTTATTTATGTTTATTTATGTTTTTTATGTTTCCTTAATAATTATCTGTTATAATTATATATTTATTATTATTTATAATTTTTTTTTTTGTTTATTTTTGGTTTTTGCTTGAGAATAATTTTTCTTTGTAATTTTTTTTTTTCTTAGAAAACATTTAAAATTGAAGAAAAATGAATGGAGGAACAATTGTTGGACCGTCGGACGATCAGTGTATTCAACATCGACAGTCGCAAAATGAAACAAGTTCAGAGCATCCACAAAGTCCGAATAGTCCTTTGAGCATTCGTCATGGTAAGTGGAAAATAATTTTTAAAATATTACAATTATTTATTTATTTTTTTTTTTGAGATTGTTAGAATTTTTCCCAATGAATATTAGAATAATTTTCCCAAGAATTATAGAAATTTTTTTTATAATAATATAAAAAAAAGGGTTTGGTATTAATAACCAAACGTTTGGTTGGTATTTAAGCAACCAAATTTTTTTTTTTGTTAAAACAAAATTTTAATTCTCTCAATCAAAATTTGTTTGACACAACGAAAATTAGAAAAAAAGGATTTTTGTTATGTCCTAACTAAAGTTTGATTGGGACAATCAAAATTTTGTTGATTCAACAAAAAAAATTTTGGTTGCTTAAATACCAACCAAACGTTTGGTTGTCAATACCAAACCCTTTTTTCAGTGTAATATTAATAATAATAATAGATAACTTTACCCAAAGAGAAAATATATATATGCTTCTCTCAGAGGCAAAGAAATTTTATTTGATCTAAATAAATATTTTATTTGTGCTAAATAAAATTTGTTATTTCAAACAAAAAGTTATATTAGACTCTTGAGACAAATATTATTTTATTTGAGACAAGTAAATTTTATTTATTTCTTTTCTTTTATCCAGAAAAAAATTTTTAATTTACATTTATTTAAATTATTTGCCTCAAATAAAAAATATATTTTTCTCAAATAAAATGTAAATAAAAAATTTTTCTGTATGCAGAAAAAAGTTTTATATATTTATCTTGAAGCTAAATAAATATTAATTTGTTTCAAAAAAATAATTTTATTTGAATCATATATTTAGCTATAAGAGAAATATATATATTTTTTATTTAATTCAAAGAAATTATATATTTGGTTCAAATAAAAAAAAATTATTATTTCAGTATAATATATAATTTAAAAAAAAAATAGTTTTTTGCCCTACTTCATTCGAATGTATATATATATATATATATTGTACGCGTGAGTGTTGACAACAGTATTATGCCATTAGAGTAATTAAATTCTAGTCTTCTCTCAAGGGGTGGGGGAGTACCAAACACATTTCATGGAATGCAGTACGGGGTTAAACGAGAAAAAAGAAATTATACATTGAATTGCTAGGCGAACAACCATACCACGAACACAATTTGGTGGGGCTCAACTAAGTAAGGGCGTCAAATTTCATTAGCATATCAATGCTGGTGGATGGTGTGCGGGCTTCCGGGCGCCACCTGCGTCCAGTATTATAGGATCATTGAAGATAGAGCACAGGGTTATAGTGTATATATATATATATTGGCGGGAGGGTAAATTGCAATGAGAAATGGTCAAAGGGTCTGAATTTTCTATCTCCGAATCCCCCCCCCCTTTCAAAATCCGGTTTACTCAGTGCGGTTAATCGTTATCGTATTAGCGATACTCCCGTTTATTTCGATATAGAAACAGAGAAATATTCACCCCCTTTATTACAATATTATTTTTTAAATATTTTTATATAAAAATTAATAAGAATAATTTTTTTTTTCATTTTAATTGAAAAATTATTATGTACTGAAAAATTGTTTTAATTTTGAAAATGATTTTTTTTTTTTTTAAACTATTGCTTTAGAACAAAAAAAAGAAAAAATGATTAAAGGACCAAGGTGCAGTTTAAATAGAGTTGAAATTGGGTTTTGATTATATAAAGATAGAGAGAGAAACTTTACGCGAAGACTTGCGACCCCTTTTAGAGTGGATGGCAGCAATAAATACAATTCCATCAAATCACTGCTGTAATGAAAAGCGTGACTAATAAAATAAGTGGCAGGTCCCAAAGTGATTTGCCAACGACCCCCCCTCTTTCCCCTTTACTGAAAGTTAGGAAATCGCATTTCGTCAACTCCCAGATGTTTGCAGGGCGTGCAGATCGTTCACGATCTCCCCCTCTTGATCTTACTATGTATATATATATATATATATATATATTGTCCCTTAGATTCCCATTCTTTCTCACTTATTCTATTGTTCCCTAATTTTTTTCTTTCTTTCACGATTTAAATATATATATATATTTCAATATTCTTTCTCTTGATCTCATCGTTCCCTTTCGACAAAACAAATACATATTTATTGTTTTGCGTCGCGAATTTAATTCCATATCGCTTTCTACTTTCTGAGCTTTTTCCAAACTCATTTCCCCATGTAAATATTGTTTGCATTCCAAATGCCTTGTTGAGCCCCTTTAAATTGAATGAAAAACAGAAATTTCTGTTCGCTTCAAAATTGATCCTAAAAGCTCATCTTTTGAATGATGACAAATTTTTCAAAGGAAAAAAAAAAATGGAAAAATTATTTATAAAATAAATTTTTTTTTATTTTTTAGCATTTGTTTTCTGTTTATTAAAATTTAATGTTTATTGTAAAAACAATTTCAAGAAAAATTATTTCAAATCGCTTTTTCTTTCAATATATATATATATGTAACCAAACGTTTGGTTGGTATTTAAGCAACCAAAATTTTTTTTGTTGGATCAACAAAATTTTAATTGTCTCAACCAAAATTTTTTTGATACAACCAAAATTAGAAAAAAAGGATTTTTCTTGTCCTAACGAAATTTTAATTGGGACAACCAAAATTTTGTTGATTCAACAAAAAAAAAAAAAATACCAACCAAACGTTTGGTTGTCAATACCAAACCCTATTTTTCAGTGTTTATATATATAATTAAAATTTTATAAAAATTATCAGTGAGGAAAAGTTGACTTTTTACCTGAAAAAATGTCAACAGCATTCAATAAATATTTTTTTCAATAATATTACACGGCATTTGTGTAAACTTTTGAGTTTGCAAATATTATCGAGAAGTGTCTGCACTCGATATATATTTTATATATATATATTTGTGTTGTCGGAAGTTTTTTTTTTCTTCTTTTCTAAAAAATAAATGCGAAGTAAATATATATAGTAAACAAGTGTATTTTTTCAAATATGCCTAAATTTTTTTTCTTATTTTTTAAAGATAAAATACAAAAGTTTGTTATTAAATAATGTCTTTTTTTTTATATACAGGAAATAAATGAAAGAAATGTATTTAAAAAAAATATATATATATATATTGATTAAATTTTAAGTTGAGCGCAATTGAATATGATAATTTTTTAACTATATATAAAAAAAAAATTTTCTTTTTTGGAATAATAAAAAAATATTTATTATACTGACGATTTACTTTTTGATTGTTTTACTTTATCAATATATAACGTCAAATTCAATATTTTGACATTCTCACCACATTATATGAAAAAGTATTATTAAAATTACATCTGAAATAATAAATGTCTGCGTTTAATTTTGAAGATTATTTTTCTTAGTTTTTTTTTTTTTTCTCTAAAATTTCTGATCAATAGGAAATTTTGTGCAAAAATTTTTTTTTTCTCTTAAAAATAATATTTTTTTATTTTTATTTTTTTGAATAACTAATTTAATTAAATAATTTTGTTTTTGGTTAAAGTACTTTTGTGTATGTAAAAATATTTTACGATATTGGAAAAAAAATTGTATCTTGAAATTTGTTATTTATTATTAAAAAAAATAATAATAATAATTGTTTAATTTTTTTTTTTTTACAGATTCGGGGGAGAGTACAGTGATTTCTCCGGGTCTACCGGAACGATATAGTCCACTTGGTGCAACAGGATCAGTTTCAAGTCAAGATCCTTATGTATCAAGATCAGTGCAAGAATGTCCGGTTCCATTGTGTCGTGGGATGCCCAGCAATTTTTCTGTTGCACCATCTCCCTATTTGACTGCTCTTGAAAATGGACATCCTCATATTCTTGGACAAGTTCAACAACAGCAACATCAACAGCAACAACAGCAGCAACAACAACAACAACACTCACAACATGGTACCAAATCACCTCGAAGTCTTGGATTAGTTTGTGTCGTTTGCGGTGATACAAGTTCAGGAAAACATTACGGAATTCTTGCCTGCAATGGATGCAGTGGTTTTTTCAAAAGAAGCGTACGAAGAAAATTAATTTATCGGTGAGTCATTAAGAAATTTTATTAAAACATTTTCTAAATAAAGATTTTTTTTTCCTACATGATGCAAATTTTCATAAAATTAATTTTTGCCTGTAATTTTCTGTTTTGATTTTTTTTTCAATTATTTTATAGAAAATGAGAGAAAGAATATATAGTGAAAATTTGGTTCAAGTTCACGCCTATTATACGATAAGCGAGTCATCTATATGGTAAAGTTGTGTAGATTATAAAACTTTGGTCACGTGGTGCGGGATGATCCCCCGATATGCCATGTGTTCCAAGTCGAGTAGGCTCATCGTAATTCATATAACAATGCAACTCCAAGGATCGAATAATACCAAACTATATATAGCGACACTGATCCGTGTTCAAAGTCGTATGAAAAAGTATATACACATGGTGCATATATATACAACAAGTACATGTGAATGATATTCAGGGTTTATATACATATAGAGGCCAACGGATGGGGCACCATCAACCGCATAGAGAAACTATTACCGTCTCTCTAGGGATGGTCCATCCATCTCCATCGAATCCCTCTTAACTGGAATCGGTGTCTGCTCATGCTTCATTTCGATCGCCTGCTCTCGCGTCTTTATATATATATATATATATATATATAAATATGGTCCCCAATGAACACTTATACGGGAACCACGATTTTGACCTGATTTACATTGAGATTCAGATAATATATTTTTTTTTTTTCGTATTTATATATACAAAATATTTACTCTCGTTTCCGAATTTTTTTTGAAAGGAGATGCTATTTGAGATTATTTCTTCTATTATTTCTATATTTTGTTTCCAATATTAAAAATTTCTACTAAAATTATAATTTTAATTTCAAAATTTTGCTTCTAAATTGTAGTAATAAATAAAAAATATTTGGGTGCACATGATTATTTCATAAAAATTATTAGAATTTTAATTTTCGAGGCGCATGATTATCTGATAAAAAATTATTAGTTAGAATTTTCATTTGATAGAATTTTATTACATTATTTTTTAGACGAATTCTGTACAATAAAATTTCGTTTAATGAGAAATTGCATCAAATTCTAATTTGGAAAAAGGAAAATTCGTCGAAAAAATAATTGTATCTAATAAAATTCTTTCGAATCAAAATTCTAACTTATGTTTTTTATGGGATGCGCCTCTAATTTTGAAAAAATTTAATAGATATATTTTTTAGACGAATTTTTATTTTTCGAATTGACATTTGCCAGATTTTTTTTTAATTGTTTACTTTACAGAATTTTTAGATACTGAATTTTTATTTGACAAAATTTTATTTTACAAAATTTCTTCTTTTTTATTTAAAATAATTTAATCGAATTCTGATTTAATTGTAAAAATCGTGCCGTAATCTTTTTGTCGATTTTTTTTATTTGGTTATTTGTACTTTTGGGACAAATGAAGATTTTTCGTTTTAAGAATTCTCGCAAATAACAATTCGTGTCGATAAAAATTCAGACAATTGAAAATTGGAAATTTTGATAGTAAATTTTGAATAACTTGATATTCAGTTGAATAAAAATTATGCTAAATAAATATTCGATTAAATTAGAATTCTACTAAATACAAAATTTGATAAAGAAAAATTCTGTGAAATAAAAATTCGGTATCTAAAAATTCTGTTAATTAAAAATTCGTTTATAGAGAAATTCCATCAAATTCTAATTTGAAAAATGAAAATTCGTCGAAAAAATAATTGTATCTAATAAAATTCATTCGAATCAAAATTCTAACTAATGATTTTTTATGAGATGCGCCTCTTAATTTTGAAAAATTTTATTAGATATATTTTTTAGACGAATTTTTATTTTTCGAATTGACATTAGCCAGATTTTTTTTTTTCATTGTTTACTTTACAGAATTTTTAGATACTGAATTTTTATTTGACAAAATTTTATTTTACAAAATTTCTTCTTTTTTATTTAAAATAATTTAATTAAATTCTGATTTAATTGTAAAAATCGTGCCGTAATCTTTTTCTCGATTTTTTTACTTGCTTATTTGCACTTTTGGGACAAATGAAGATTTTTCGTTTTAAGAATTCTCGCAAATAACAATTCGTGTCAATAACAATTCGGACAATTGAAAATTGGAAATTTTTCATAGTAAATTTTGAATCACTTGATATTCAGTTGAATAAAAATTATGTGTAAAAAATAATATTAATTATTAATTATTAAAATTCGGTTAAATTAGAATTGTACTAAATAAAAAATTTAATAAATAGAAATTCTGTGAAATAAAAATTCGGTATCTAAAAATTCTGTTAATTAAAAATTCGTTTATAGAAAAATTCTGTTAAATGATAATTCGAAGAATAAAAATTTGTTTAAAAAATAATTATATCGAATAGAATTGTTAAAAATAAAAATTCTAACTAATTTTTATGGGATAATCATGTGCTTCAATTTTTGTGTCAATGTTAACAGTAGAATAAAAAAACTATTTCCGTGTCGAAATTTGAAAAAAAAATTCCATTTCCAAAATAATTTTTTTTTTTTATTAATTGTACGATAATTGCGTGAAATTTAAAATATGAAAAATTTGAAAAGAAAAAGAGAAAGAGAAATTAAAAGAGATTGTGTCGTATATGACAAATAGGATAAAACTTTTTTTTTTCTTTCTTTTTTCCTATAGTAAAGCACCTGTGTTCACGAAGCTCGGGAGGAAAATAAAAAAATTGTTCGACGTTCGAAATTCGCTGTAACGATTCTAGGGGCCCAGCTTTTTCCTATGTGCTTTACGATCCATTCCTGTCAGATGGCTGTAATACGGTAAAGACTGAAGAGCCTTCGCACAGATAACCAATTACCCGAGGGGTGAGGGTCGTTGGCTCGTCACAACGTCGAAGCGACAGATGCGTCCCGACGCGACGCGTCGCGAAACATTTTGCCCGCAATCGACGGATTACGATCCAAAGTCTAACCACAATGTTTCTCATTTTGAGTCCACTTGCAATACATCTATATACCACAAAAAGACTCTCTTTTATTTATTCTTTATATATATATATATATATATATATATATATATATATATATATATATATATATATATATATATATATATATATATATATATATATATATATATATATATATATATATATACGTCTAATATATAAATAATTATTATACTTTTTTTTTCATTATTGAATAATTATTCATTAATGAATTAATTAAAAAATTCTACAATGAGGAAAAAATTTATTTAATGCAAATAATCAGTTACCTGATTTGCCTTTTTTGGTACTAATTTGATAGTTTTAATTAATTGTAAAACAAATCAAATTTAATTGACATGAAATAAAAAATTATATTTATTTGATAAATAATCGATTAGAATCAAATAAATTTTCTTTAATTGTGTCATATTTTATGCTGTGCCAGCTATAATTATTAAACTGAAAAAAAAAATTATTTGATTAACTAATATTATTTATTTGGACAAAATAATTTTTAGAGTCAAATATATTTGTTTCAAATAAAGAAATAATTGATTCAAATATATTTTATTTAATTTAAAAAAAATAATTATTTATTTAAATATATTTATTCGACAATTGTTATTTGAGTAAAATAAATTTTTTCTCACTGTAGGAAAAAAAAAATTAATTAATTATTTTTGTAAAAAAATTTTTTCTTGAAAAATAAAAGAGATGTACCTATTTTCTTGGCAAATATAAAACGTTGTCTATTATGTAATATGCATTTGATTGTAATAGACATTATGAAAGGAAAATTTAGGGGTAGATTTATGATTTATTGTGACGCCATTAAACAATTAGGAAAAGCATACAAATTTTGATAGCCAGAAACACATGTTTTGGGTTATACCGAGCGTAACTCGATAAACCAAACAATACTGGTCTCCAAAGAATAGAGAGATGCGTAAATAAATGTATGATGTGGTTCTGAAGGGTGAATAGAGATAGGGTGAGATAGAGTGAGAAAAAGAGAGAGATAGAGAGTTTTTGGGATCTGCAAACTCCGCTGGGGTGTGAACGCAAATCAATTTGCTGCGACCCCTGCCGGTAGGCACGGAACTACCCTTCGAATTCGTCAACGTTCACTGCCCCGGGACAAGATACTCCTTCTCGTTACAATAGAGTCACTTTTTTTTGCCTTTAAATACTTTTTTTTTTTTTTTTTTTTTATATTTGGACATCGTTTTCATACGAAGAATTTTTTTTTATTCACATCAAATACTAATTTATTTGAATTAAATAAAAAATAATAATTTTTTACTCGGAGCAGAAAATTGGAAAAAAAAAAAATTTATTTGATTCAAATAATCGGCTACTTTATTATCAAATAAATATATTTACTTGTATCAAATAATTATATTTACTTGAATCAAATAAGTATATTTACTTGTATCAAATAATTATTATTTGAAATAGTATTTTTTCAAATATAATTACAATTGGTTCAAATACAATTTATTTAATTCAAATAAAAATTATTTCATTCAAGTAAATATTTATTTGATAATAAGTAATCGACTATTTGAATTAAGTACATTTTTTTTCAGTGAATAACTACACTGAAAAAAAAATTTATTTGGTTCAAATACCGGTGTATTTGGTTATTATCAAATAAATATTTACTTGAATCAAATATTTCTTATTTGAATCAAATAAATGGTATTTGCTTCAAATACTGAAATATTTGATTCAAATATTATATATTTGATTCAAATAAGAAATATTTTATTCAAATAAGAAATATTTGATTCAAGTAAATATTTATTTGATAATAACCAAATACACCGGTATTTGAATCAAATAAATTTTTTTTTCAGTGTATTTGTTTGAAATGAAAATTTTGTTTGGCACAATTAAAATTTTATTTAGCGGAAAAAAAATATTTAGCCGTAGATAGATAATTTATAATAATTGTAATTAACATTTACTAAATTAAAAAATTGTTGACAAAAAAAACGAGGTTAGATTTTTATTGGAAATATATAATGTTCACTAATTTAAGTAGTAAAGGTCAATTACTTCCACTTGTCAGACAAAGTTATAACAGCCTCAAGTAGTATGTACCCAATATTGGTCAGACAAAACTAATATACATTATACGTAGATAATTTTATTAATAATTTTCAATAGTACAATTTTTTTTTACTAGCCAATTAGTATTATTTTCAATTCAAAAATATAAAAATAAATTTCAGAGATTTTCTAAATAATTTATATGGGAAATTCGGTTGAATGAGAATTTGTCCTTGAATTGGTTATAAACTTATTCTTGAAATATTTGACCCAAATATAATTATCTGTAACTGAAGTAAAATTGTTCATTTTCATGAATTATTGGACCAAAATGTAAATTGAAATTCGTTAGAAAATGTTACATAACAAGAAGATAGGTATATTAAAAGGAAGGAATATGCCGAAAATAGAATGTTTGGATTTGACTTTAATCGTGTATATCCATTTATAATATTATCTATATATATTATACTGAGGAAAAGTTTTTGTGAGTAGACAGGTATTTTTGGAGGGGAAGGAAGAGGGGCTCGTCACAAAATAACGTTGCTCGGGGATTGGTTGAGATTAAGAGGATAAGGAGTAAGTACGTGACCTCGAGGGTCGTCTCTTTACGTCGCGTCGGCCGCGACGAGGGATAACATTGTTATCCCAACAATGAAAGTAATCGAATTTAACACCACCTCCTGACTACGCACCCTGGATTTCCGACAAGTGCACCAAAATTTATTGCCAACTCGGGGCAAAAATTGTTTTACCAAAACTTTCTTATTTTCTAATCATATTAATTTCTTTTTTCATTTTTTTTTGTTTAATTTTACTACTTTATTTCTTTTCTTTAATTTGTTTTTAATTCCCTATAGATTTTTTTTAGGTTTTCATCTCTGTTTTTAATTTTTTATGAAGAAGATGAAAAAATAATTAAATTTTTTATATTTCTTTATAATTACCATTTTTTTTTATTAATAATTTTATTTTTCTTATGTAAATAATTTTATTAATATCATATTTTTGCCTTTCTTAAAAAGTATATATAATTTTATTAAATACGTTTGATTTTATTTTAATCAATTTGAAAGACTAAATACAAAAAATAAAAGTAAGGAAAGAAAAAGAAAAAAGCGAAATAAATAGTAAATATGAAATAACAAAATGAAAAATTTATTAATAAAAAAAATTTAATTTTTTGTTTCAGATGTCAAGCGGGAACTGGAAGATGCATTGTCGATAAAGCGCACAGAAATCAATGTCAAGCATGCCGCTTAAAGAAATGTATGCACATGGGAATGAATAAAGATGGTAAGTTTTTGAAACTATATGAAAAAATTGTTCTCTGGAAATTAAATCTGAATTAGCGAAATTTTTTACTAATTTTTAGTCTTTTTTCTTTTACTAAAATTTAAAAAAAATGGAATACTAAAAATTAGTGAAAATTTTTGCAATATACATTTTTTTTTGCTCTCTTTTGAATTATTTGGAAAATTAACCTCGATTAATAAAAACTAATTTGAAATTAAAAATTAGCTTGAAAAAAAATTTATTTAATTCAAATAATTGGCTACTTTATTAACAAATAAATATTTGTATCAAATTATTATTTGAAATGGTATTTGTTTCAAGGAAATATTTATTTGAATATTAATTTTGAATTTGAAAAATTGGTGTTGGATTAATAAAGAATTTTTAATTAATTAATTTTTTTTTTTGATCCACGACAATTTTCTATATCAAAAATTTATGAGTATTGTTTTCGTATTTGACTTATATAATAATAAGATGCTATAGATTTCGAATGAAATAAAAATGGAAAGAGAGAGAGAGTAGGTCGCGAAAAGGTGGAGAAATGGCAAAGAAATTGGAGGGTTGAGATAAAAGGAGTTTCGCCCACATTCGATTCAATTCTTAATGCCTTTTTGCAAGTAGCGGGGTGTGCACCTGGCATATAGCTCTCACTTCCTCCATCTTTTCTTTTCTCTTCTTCTTCTTTTTTTTTGTCCCCTTTTTCTCTACTTTTTGCTACATATACCTTCGCTCTGCTAACTTTCTTATTGCCAAACTCAATGTCGTAAAAAGGAAATCGAGTTGAATCTTCTCTCTTGGATGAAACTATACTTGCACATACCTCTTGTCGTAAATCGAAAAATACGAAAGTCATGCAGATGAAAATTTTTTTCTCCAAAAAATTAATTTTAATTAATAACTGTTATAAATTATTTATAAATTATTTATAAATAATTTCTTATTTAATTAGATAAAATTTCTTTGATGCAAAAAAAAGGCAAATTCATTTTTTCGAGTATTTGAGCGAGAGGTTTGTAAATGGGAATAATTTCATAGAATAATAATAACCAGCAATAATGATAAACGTGTGTCTTTGCATTTCTCGTATATGGCCTGCTGAGCGGCTTAATAGGGTCCCTCCTACTTCGTCACAGCCCTTTGGTGTGTGTGTGTAGAAACGACGTTGTTCCCTATTATCTTTTTCAGTTTCATTTTTTATTATTTTTTGTCAGCCAAGAGAGATAAACGTCAGAGTCTCTCATTTGCATGAAACGAGAGAGCGACGACACACGACGGGCGGTCTTCACTTTCCTCTGGTCACGAAAGAGTGCGAAAATGAAGTAAATGCATTTTCTATATATATATATAGGAAATGTGTCCGCCACCCTTTGCATACGTTTATTTCCTCCAATTAACCCTTCGGGCGCCATGCCACGTGACCGTCGTTAACGACCGCAGTGTTTACTAAGCGGATAGTATAGTGCAACATTGGTGAACCACAAGCGCGATTCATGTATAAAATCAGAGAGACATATATATATTATAATCCTCCAATGACTGTCAGGATAACTATCGTATTTATTAATAAATACAAAATCGATAATTTGTGCGCAAGCATATTATTGACATATAATTTGAATTTTCCAAATTTACCCCAAAATTGATTTTCTATTTGTATTTCACGCGCTTCAATATAATTGGAAAATTTAATTGCTTATATATCTGCATTTATTTGATCAAAAGTTTACTTAATCACTTCCGTGTGTATGTGCCTTTGTATCATACAAATTATCAAATGGAAATTTCAATATCGCAAATGAGAATTTCAATCGTCATTTAATATCAAACGGGAATTTCAATACATTAAAGGAAAAATAAAAAAAAATTCATTATTATTTTCACAAAAGAGAGAAAGAAAATATATTTTCTCTTCAATTTATTTCGAAAATAAAATAAAATAAAATAATAGTCATATTAATTAATAGATATTTAAACAATTTAATTTCCCTCATGTAAACATGAGTTACCTAACTACTATGCAAACAATGGGTTTGATTTCTGCATGTTTGTTGGAAATTCACGCTGTCAGTAACAGACTCCTTGATGATGTAAGAGTATTATTATATGTACTTGACAAGAAGGGAAATTAATATAATTCAGAGTCAATTCTTAAATCAAAATACTCTCGAATAATTCATTTCATTTAAACATTTAACTTTACAGAATAAAAAAAAAAAACCAAACCAATTTAATATTGAAGCCACGTCATTTCAAGAAACTTCTCCAAAAAATTGTTATTCTGTTATTGATCTCTTAAAAAGCTGAAATTCATTTCCAATTAATTTAAAGAGACCAATAACAATGGAATTATATATAAATGTAATTTTAATTTATTCCGACAATAGAGGAAAAAATTTATTATTATATCGAATAAAAAAATACAAATAATGTTTATTACAATAATTGTAAAAAATTAATATAATTTATTATTTAATTGATTTTATTAATTTATTTTTCTATTAATAACCAAATATTATAATTTAATATTATTAAGGAAAAAAAAAATTGAATTTTTATTTTTATTACAGCTGTCCAGAATGAGAGACAACCAAGAAATACTGCGACCATTAGACCGGAAGCTTTAATAGAAATGGATCAGGAACGAGCATTGCGAGAAGCTGCCGTCGCTGTCGGAGTATTTGGGTAAGAATATATTTCTTTTTTTTATTTCTTTATTTAAAAAAAAACACATCATCGAACAAAAAATTTAAGGGGAGGCATCACCCCCCAATTTTGACCCACTTTAATTTATATTATTAAACGAAGTTCTATTTTTTTTCTTGCATGATTTGGGTCTTAAAAAACATACAGGATGGTTCAAAAAATGAAATTTTAATTTATGACCATTTTAGAAATTAAAGTCTTAAAAAAATTATTATTTTAAATATCTATCTTTTTTTACAATTTTGACTATTTTTTTCCACGCTTTTTTTTAATGATTCTTAAGAATCTCTCGCATGGATTTTCAAAAATTTTAATTTTTTCAAAAAAAAGAGCGAAAAATATAAATTAAAACATCATTGCACTCTCCTATTAAATATGTATCTTCTTTCACAATTTTTAAGTATTTTTCATCGTCAAATTTTTTCCACACTTTTTTTTAATGATTTGTCAGAATCTCTCGCATGGATTTTCAAAAATATTAATTTTTTCAAAAAATAAAAATTCTAAAATGGTCAAAAATTAAAATTTTCTTTTTTTGACCTGCACCTTATATGTTTTTTGGACCCAAATGATGCAAGAAAAAAAATATAACCTCATTTAATAATTTAAATTTAAGTGGGTCAAAATTGGGGGTGGTGCCTCCTCTTAATTCATACACCTAAAAAAAATTGCAATTCATTTATTAAGGGGAGGGACCGCTGAAATTTTAACACATCAAAATTAAAGCTGTTTAAGGGTGGTCAATTTTTTTTCTGACAATATTAATTATTTAAATGTATAATATATCATGAAAAATTGAAAAACTATAAATTTGTTAATAATTTTTAAAATCAAATTCAAAATTCTCGAAAATTTAAAATTTAAACTTCTCTCACAATTTTAATTATTTTTGACTGCCGATTTTTTTATACGCTTGTTTCATGATTCTAAACAATCAAGCGTATGGATTTTGAAAAATTTCAATTTTTTCAAAAAATAAAAATTTTGAAAAATAAAAATATTTGTAAAATTGTTAAAAATTACCTTTTGTTGTTTTTCTCAGTAGAATAAGATTTTTGGTTGAAAAAAAATGTTGAAAAAAATTATTACCCCTAAACAAGATCAATTTTGATTGCTTTCAATTTTAGTGGTAATTTTGAAAAAATTCAACTACTTCCACAATTTTCATTATTTTTTATTGTCGAATTTTTTTTACGCTTTTTTCACGATTTTAAACAATCAATCGTATGGAATTTAAAGAAATTTAATTTTTCCAAAAAATAAATTTTCTAAAATGGCTAAAAAATTTTTTTTTTAAATTTTAATAATTTATAATAATTTTGGATCCTAAATTATGCCAGAAAAAAAATTGACACTCTTTAACAATAATAACTTCAGTAGACTGAAATTTCACCGGTCCCTCCCCTTAATTGAAAAATAATTGATAATTAAATCAATTGAAAAGTCACATTAAAAGTTGAAAGATTTTACTTGAAATAAAAAAAAAAAAAAAAAAAAAAAAAAAAAAAAAAAGTGAAAAAGGGTCTTATAAAGCCGCTTTGATTTTCCGATCTCTTTCTCTCTCTCAAGAGAACAATGATTTGACCATTAGTTTATAAAGCTTGAATTATATATATATATAAAAGTTAATCGATGATAGTGTATGTGTGTATGGTTTTAATCAAAAGGTGAAAACAACGAAAGATCGATAGCGTGTGTGCGTCTATATCTCGTATATATGAATGATCGGAAGCAGAAAGGACGCGCCGTTACCACGTTTGATCTTGTCAACGTTGTCAATATATGGTAAGCAACACTGGTGGCAACACGCCACGCCGAGCATGATCTATCATGAAAAATTACCTTTGACCGTTAGTCTTGGTTACTTCAGGTAACCAAGTCGACGAATTGGAATTAATTAAAAATCGATAAAAAAAAAAAAAAAATACTTCATTCTCGATAAACGTTAAAATCGACGTAACACGAGTAAAAGAACACGCGAGTGTGTTTTTTCACCCCTTTCCCTTTTTCTTTTTTTTTCTTTATTTAAAGAAAATTAAAGCGAACGATCCTTGGCTTATAATATTTACAATTAACAATAGAAAATTTTATTTGAAATATTTCCAAAAATTAATTTTCGAAATCAAATTTTGTTTTTTAAAAAAATATTTTTGAATAAGTAAAAAAAAACTGCATTATTTCGTTAATATAAGTATATTATACTTCACGATACTAAATATAAAATATATTAAAGGCTGTTCTTAAATTTAAAAAATATTTATCTTTTTCAAATATTCTATTGTGAACTGAGATTCAGTGACATATTTCTATTGATAATTTGTATAAAAATAGCTCTTGCTTTTTCTTTTGTACGCGGCGATGCTATTGGATTATTGTTAATTTCAATTATTTTTTTCTCCTTTCCTTTGCGTAAATTTTCAATAATTTTTTGAAAATTATTATTATTCTCCTCTTCTTTCTCGTAACTATCGTCATGATTTTCTTTATTTTGATTATCTTTTATTAAAATTCGTCCTCCTTGAAAATTTTTTTCCTCATTTCGAAAATTCACCTCTTTTCGTAAAAAACTATTTTCTTTTTTTCGTAAATTCTCCTCTTCGACTCGAACATTGTCCCCTGTTTTTGGGAATTTTTAATTTAAAAAAAAAGAATTTTTTCCATATTTCTCAATTTATAATTTAATTTAGGATAAAAATGAAAAAAAATTTTCCTCACCATTGTAAACATTCATCCCTATCATTCTTCTTGATGTATTTTCCTCGGAAATTATATCTGGATTATCGCCAATATTCTTTTCATAATGAATAATATCAATGAGTGGTAATAAATTTCTCACATCTGCCTCTGAACGTGCATATTTTTTCATTTCATTTGAAATTTCCTCAGTGAAATAACCACGTCGAAAACTTTCAGATTTTGTCTTTCGAATAAGTATCGCCATTTTTGTTCTTATATCATCGCTAATAATTATTTCCTCATTTGATTGTGAATTAATATTATGATTTTTCGCCTTTATTTCTAATAGTTCGATTAAACTATCAAATGATGAACAAATTTCATTGAGAGAATTTTGACTAACTAATAAATAACCATGTGTTTCTTCTTTTTTTTTTCTTAAAACATTTTCTAATTCTGTAATATTATTTTGTAATGATCGTAAATTTTTTTCTGTTGTCTCCCTACGTATTCTCTCTTTTAACAATAAAATTTCATTCTCTTTTGTTCGTTTCAATAAAAATTGATATTCCCTTCGTGCTTCATCTAATTGTTGTTGCAATACTTCTAAATTTTCATTCTTATTGTCTTTTATCAAAATTTCTTGAATGTCGATTTCTATCTCTGAAATTGAAAATATTTTTAGTAAAAATTCGAAAAAATGAAAGAAATAATAAATTCTTACTGTTTTCATCGTTTTGTTCGAGAATTTCTTCTTTTTCTTCTTTGCTGCTTTCCAATTCAAAATTATTGAATCCATCGGTAGTTTCCATTTGAGAATTGAGATTTAAAAGAAGATGTTTCGAATTATCGTTGGAAATTTTCGTTTGTTGCTTCAATTTGGAAAATGATTTTTCCTTATTGCTTTCAATAGTAGAATTTTTATATGGAGTGGATTTTGAAAGAATTGAGTGACAATGATTTTTCATTCTCTTGGACATTGTTTTCAATGTATTACCATCTTCTTGACGATCATTTCGTTTTATTGCCTTTGAAAATTGTTTTTTTGGTAAATTAAACCATTTATATTCAGATTTTCCCTTGGCATTATTTTGTTCCAATTTTTTCACAATTTTTTCAGCCAATTCATCCTGTAGATTATTATTCATTCTCACATCAACAACAACTAATGTTTCATTGTAATCCAAAAGATCCATAATATCGTTAGTTATCACATCAGTGAGGCCACATTGTTGTAAATCCAATGCTTTTAACCACAAACTATCCACTATTGCTTCGAGAATTTCATTTACACCCGAATCACCTGAAAGATAATTTTCAAAAAATAGAGAATTTTAAAATTAATTTAAATTAATTAATTTAATTTAAATTAATTAATTTAATTTAAATTTTAATTTAATTTTTTTTAATTTAATTTAATTTAAATTAATTTAACGTTTAATTTGATGATCCACGATAAGAGATACTTAATATTTTTATTTTTGTATATTTTTGTTGAAAAAAAGTTTTTAGATTTACCTAACCGAGGATTTCCATTTAAAGTGAGTCTTCGTAATCCGGGCATAGCGTCCATATTTGGTTCTCGATATCTTAATGATTGTTTCCAAGCGTCATGATAAAGAAGTAATTTTTGTCGTGAAAGAGCAGTTGCCAATGCTGATGCACAACGAGATGATAAATCACATTGTCCTAAATTTAAAGTTCGAATACTATTGACATCGGCAATTGTCCGGCAAATCATTTCACAACTTACATCGCCAATGTAGCATTTAAATAATGACAAATGCCTAAGGCATGAGGTATTTGCTAAACCAACGCACAAAACTGCTAAACAATCTGAAGGCAATGGAATGCCTTCCAATTCGAGTGTTGTTAAAACGGACGAATTTCTAATACATTGTGAAACACTGTGAGACAATAATTCAAGAAGATAACGCGTTAATACAACTGGTGTTTTGCCAATTGATCTTGCTTTTAATTCAGAAGTGACATTTTCCATTGGTTTACGATATTGATATCGGCTACGAATTGCAATTGATTTTAAAGTATTATCCAATGAAAGGGCATTTAAAATTGGATTCCAATCATCCATTTTTACACGATCTGTGGTAAAATCTAAGGAATGAGGTAATGTTACACAAATAACGGGCAATGGACGTAATCGTCGTTTTTTACATAGTTCAATGTAACATGTGGAGAAACTTTGACCATTTGGTATTGAAATTTTTGTTGTTGATGATTGTGAACGATTTTTGTCAGGAATCATTGTCGATTTTTTCACTTTTGTTGATTGTTGTTTTATTAAAATCATGGAATTTTGTTGATTTTTCTTTCGTTTCTCTGGGATCATTTAAAAAAAAATTTTTAATTGAATTATATGTCACTGGAAATTTGATTTTTTTTTTTTTTTTATTTTTCAAGTTACACAGATTATAAATTTTGACATTTGATTATAATATTTTTGATGGTGATTAATTTTCTGATTGCGCGGAATCGTGGAATATCGTTGAAAATACATTAAATTCACTGAAAAACACCCTCAAAAATAAAAATTGTTTATAAAACACTTCATTGAATGATGAATTACGTGAAGTTGATTACAAATTTGCGAGAAATGAAAAACGATAATTGTTTGACTAACGTCAGATGGATTATTTACAATTTTTTTTTTATTATTAATAAAATTTTAGATATTTTTTTGGTTTGCAACATTTAATTTTGTATTTTAATTAAAATTTTTTTATATTTTTTTATGAATTATTAATAATTGGAGGGGGGAAAATTCGTCTGTTACAGACCACCGGTGTCATTGGCAATGGCTAGATATGGAACACCTTTACCTTTGCCTACTGTTGCTCCGACAACAAATTCTTCGACTGCAAACACACCACCTCGTCAAGATACTGACGATGGTAAAAAAAAACTTATTTTTCAAATTTTCATTATTTTTGTTTACAGAAAAAATTGGAATTTTTTTTTTTTTTCATAAAACAGGAAATGGTTCTGAGGACAGTATAGATGTGACAAATGAGGAACCATTGATGCCCCAACGAAGTGGTTGTACACAATTGACGCCAATAGTTCCAACTCTTTATTCTCCGGTGAGTGCCGAAACAGTTTACGAAACGAGTGCAAGATTGCTTTTCATGGCTGTTAAATGGGCAAAAAATTTACCCTCATTCGCGAGTCTACCATTTAGAGACCAAGTGATACTATTGGAGGAAGCGTGGTCGGAACTCTTTTTATTGAATGCCGTTCAATGGTGTCTACCATTGGAGTCATCGCCACTTTTCAGTGCTGCTGAATTGACTGCTTTAACTGTTTCACCACATTCACATCCACATTCGGGAATGCATTTAGCGACAAATGGAAAACCAAGTCAAGTCGCAGCTGACGTTAGACATCTTCATGATACTCTACAAAGATATAAAGCTGTTATGGTTGATCCCGCTGAATTTGCATGCATGAAAGCCATTGTTTTATTTCGACCAGGTATTATTAAGAAAATTTCAATAAAAAATATTTTTCACATATAAAAAAATTGTTTGATAAATTGAAATTTTTTTTTTTTTCCAGAAACACGTGGTTTAAAGGATTCAAGTCAAATAGAAAATTTACAAGATCAGGCTCAAGTTATGTTGGGACAACACGCGAGAGCACAACAACCAACAAGACCAGAGAGATTTGGACGATTGTTATTACTTTTACCATTATTGAGGACCGTTCCTGCACCAAGAGTTGAATTGATTTATTTCCACAGGACAATTGGCAACACACCCATGGAGAAAGTTCTCTGCGATATGTATAAAAATTAAATTCATTATTTATATAAATATAATAATAGTTTCAAATGAAACCAGTAAACTAAAAAAACAAAACAGTCACATAGTTTGTGACAAAAAAAAAAAAAAAAAAAAAAAAGATACCAGGCTGTGACCGCAGATGAATTTCATGTCAGTGAAAAGTAAGTCATACATCAAAATTTCGTAAATAAAAATAGTGAATATTTACTATTTAAGAATATAGTTTAGAATATTCTTTTTTCTTTAAATGAAAATTCATTTATACTATATTCTTAAATAAGAATAATTCAATTATAGAAATTTTGAAGATATATAGCCAATGAAAGAAATCATTTTATTATTTGTATTAGATCGTTTCTAAAGTCTATTAATTTTTTTATTTTTTTTCTATTATTATGAACGTGGTTAATCTTGTTATCTAGAGTATAATCTCTTTAATTAGAACTTGTTTTTAGTTTTTAATTATATTTACTGCCTTTTTAGACCAAAATTCAAAATAGTGTCTTTTATTTAAATTAAAAGCCAATTTTTGATTTATTCATTATTTCTTAGTTTTTTAATTTCAATGTTTATAAATGTCATTTTTATGTCTCTTGTGTAATATTAATGTTAAATTTAAATTTAGAAATTTTAAATTAACAAAAATAAGTGTTAATTATAATTTACAAAATTCATAACTTAAAAATTGTTTTTATTGTAAAATTGTGAATTAATTAATATTAATCTCGACTTTAAAATATTGACATTCATTTTAAATTTAATAATTGAAAGCGCATATAATTTTTTCCAGAAAAAAAATATAATTCCTCTATTGTTAGATAATTTTTTTAGGATATAAAATATTCGAAACAGAAAAAGTAAAATTTCAAATACCAGCACCGAAGTAACTGGCCTAAAAAAATATATATGTATAAACGAAAATAATTGATCTTTCAATACGATTATATATAAAGCATTACACTGGACGATACACTCTGTTTTATAGTGAAACTTGTATTTGATCTTTTTACAGTAGAGGAATATTTATATATAATATATAATATATATTATCAATGGAAACAAAGAGTTTCACTATCGATATTTAGTAATTTATAGACACACGATATTTCAGAAAACCCCAGAAATATGTTTTTGACAATTTGTCAAAAAAATTTGAATTTTTTCTTTTAAATATATAATTTAAATAAAATTTTTCATTTTAATCCATTTGAAGAAAATTTCAAAGAAATTAATTTAGAGGCCTAAAAATTTTTGGTTTCTATTAAAAAAAATTTCAAATTTTTTTTTTTCAATTATGGTAAATATTTGAAATATATGGAAAAAAGAGGGGGATATGGACTCAAGGACCGATATAATAATTCGGTATTGTTAATTTTTTTAATGTTTAAAAGAAGAAAGTACATTTTATCACATTGCGTATGCATTTGTGTCATATATATATATAATCAAAAACGGGGGAAATAAATTATAACTGAAATATCTTCTCCCCATTTGATAAGCCATTAAAAAAAGTAATATTGACTTGTGCGCGCGTTCTGTAAATTTCGTGTTGTGATATAATGATGGTTGTAAAAGTGTATATGTATAATATCTCGGTATAACAACCCGTTGTAACAATCTCATGATTCCTTGTAATAAAATGATATAAGGGTATATTTATTAATAATATATGATTCAACCCTTTCATTTTTCAGGCTCAATTATATATATATAGACAAATCGTAATTCTATTTATTTCTTTAATTTAATGTTTAAATTTTTAATTTCAATATATATTTTCTGAAAAATAGTTAATATTTTTTAAATTCCTTGGCGCGGGTTTTTTTAATTCCGAAATAAATGACAATTTGCTCGCGGAATTTTAAGTTCGTCGGTTTTACGGTGGTTATTGTATAATATTTATTTATCACATAGGTAATCCCTGACTTTGAACAGGAAAGGGAAGTTGCCCTAAGGATTTGCCACATGGCAGTTTGACGGTCCCGATGGTACCCTCAACAACGCTTATAAATTACATCGAGCTGAGTGAGGTTTAAGGGGCTGCTTAAGTTGTCAAAGCCGTCGGGGAGTTAAACGGTATCACTATAGGGAGCGAGAGTAATGCTTTTTCAATTACGATCTCTTCAAATTCTCCAAGTCAAGTGAGCGTTAATAAATTTTATGATTTAGCCGCGTTGCATTAATTTTGATTTTGAAAATTTGATTTTCTAAAACAGATTTTGAAAAATTTGCAAATTACACATGAATTTTTTTTTTCTGTATATTTAAAATGTTTATTCACTTTTTTGTTTGTTTTTCAGTTGCTTGTACAGGAGAATAAAAAAGAAAAATGAAAACCTTTTTTTTTTGAAGCTGAGAGAATGGGAAATCAAAGATGCTGAAAAGTGTCAAGCATGATGAAGATAACGAATTTCAGTGTTTTGGACAAATAAAAGAGTTGCGCTGTATATTCTACTATCGGGTCGATGGGACCAGAAGAGAGAGGATAAGAGTGAGGAAGAGAGAGAGAGAGAGAGCGTGTAGTATTGACTCGCATTTCCAGCATGAGGGCGGAGTTTTCGATGTTCCCCGAACCCCTAAAGCCCCGTAAAGGTTCTCTGCCACCCTCGGTTGCTTCCAACACCCCCGACCAGTAACAAAACTCCCGCTGAAGTGCAATCCAGCAATGGCGGCAGGACTTGTTGTATTTCGCTTTCCGAGGTAAACTCCATTCCCTTCTACCTTCTCGATTTTCATTCCCGGGATACGCGAGAGAGAAGGAATCAGAGCCATAGGAGATAAAAATCCGAAATGGATGGATGGAGAGAGAGAGAGAGAGATAGAGAGAGAAAAGCATCTCTACAAAGTTAAAAGGAATGAACGGAGAGAAGCTATATATTGCTCGGGAGCAGCCTTCATTTATTTTATTACATTATCATACCAACTGCGCGTTCGATAAGTGGGGTTTTAAAGCGAAGGTTCTCAAACTGCTTGCGAAAAGCTGTCTTACTTTACTTACAGATATCAATTGAAAGTTTTCAATTCTAATCTTGATTTCCCCTTTTTTTTTTTTGTGATCACACAATGTTTTACAAAAAGCACCGCGCAAAATTAAAGAAAAATATTCAAAACCATCATAGAAAAAAGCAAATACTTTTAATTCTAATTTCTGTTAATTAGCTAATTATCAAGAATTTTTTTAACAGTAGTTTAAATATTAAAAATTTAAAAAATATCTAATAATGAATTTTCAAGTCTAAAAATTGATTTTTTGTTTCTAAATTAATTTATAATTATAATAAATTAAATTTTTTACTTCAATTACAGTGAGGAAATATTACAAGTAGATTAATCAATTAAAGAAAACTTTGACTAAGGATAAATTTAGGAAATGTTTTTTTTTTTTTTATCTACTTGCCATGTATATAAACTACAAATCCCAAAGAAATTATTTATCTCTTCAAAAGCTTGAGGGTTATTGCGTTTAAGAAATCGCGCTCTCATCTCACGTACCAGTAGAGATTGCCTGAACATTCACCCTTCAAGACGAGGGTGGCCACTTCATTTCTATTATCCAAATTCAAGAAAAGATGGACAGAATGCTACAATTTTTCTTCTCTCTGTCTCTCTCTCTTTCTCTTTTAAATATTTTATAAAAGAAGTAAATAATTAATTTTAATTTCTTCTCTTAGAAATTAAAGAAATTTTTCGTTTAATTTCAAATAAAATTCTATATAAATGAAAAATAAATAAAAATCGTTTATTTAAAAAGCTATTAATTAAAAAAATCGTACATTTGAAAATTATAAAGAATAAACGAAATGCACAACGTATATTGCAATGAATTAATCATCGTAAGAAGATTATAGTATAGAATAGAGCTGAAGTCACTTGAAAAGATGATATTACGGATCTTGATGGTCAAATTGGTCTGTCGACTTCCTCTCTTCAACTCCCTTCTATTGCCTGATTCGTATTATCCCTCTCTCCAAAAATCAATATCCCAGCTCTATACAATTTACCATCCCTCAATGCAGAAATTGCCCTTAACATTTTTCAAGAAAATTATATAAATTTTTATTCTTCTAAGAATTCTTTCTCTCTTAATTTGAATTATATATTGAAAAGTTGTTCACTCTGATAAAAATTAGTAAACACGAATAATATTCACAAAATATTTATTAATAATTATTATTATAAACTTTAATTGAAATTAATTTGATATAATATCTTTAAGGATAATATTAAAAATATAATAATTTATAATTGAAATAATTAACTCGATTTTAGAGATTAAAAAAAAAATTGATTGAAGGGTATTGAAATTGTTTGACAATGAAAAAGAAATAATATTCCCCTCTTTTGAGAATGTGACCTTCTACTTTGAATTGAGTAAACTCAATTTGTGTTTAAACAATGAGCATCATCACATTTATTCAGTGTTGCGTGAAATTCGACGACAGAGGGACATTTTCCTCTTTTAAGGATGGCTTACGTTGTCAACCTAGAGGGAGATATAATCAACTATATACGCATACTCTTGTATATATAGTTTTTTGATGTTCACAATTAAATCACTCATGCAAATTATACTGTAAATTACATAATCCAGTATATAAATTTTCAAAAGTGATTTAATTTAGTATACATCATAAAAAAAAAAAATACTAATATTCTTGAAGAGATTTTCTTTTCATTCTGAAATATATTATTCACTCATGTAAATTATTTATAAAAATAGAAAATAATTTTATTTATGAAATTAGACAGAACGAAAATTTATATAAAACGAAATTAAACAAAAATACTTATTTTTGTATAAAATTTTATTTGTTTTTATTGATGAATTTTATTATAATTTGCAAATCACTTAATTGATATTGTTTTTTTTTTAGGTTCCAAAGTTTATTTGAAGAGAAAAACATTTGACAGTAACAAAATAATTCCGCATTAATGGATAATTCATCAGTCAATCGTCCATTTTAAAAGGTATGATAAAATTTTTTAATATTACGATAAATTAATTAATTACGATAAAATTAAAACTTATTCATAAAATGATGACAATTTTTTTTTGCAGTTTGAAGTTGCTCACTTACATATGAAAGTGAAATGTCAAAAAACAAAAATTTAAACACAAAAAAAAATTTTTAATTCCGCTTCAAAATTAAATTTTTATTTTTCTTTAATCTATTCTATTATTTGAAAATATTTTATTCATTTGGAATATAATTGTACACTAATTTTCAAATTCTTTGAATTTTATAACTTGAAATTTTCCGTCTGTAAAATTGCAAAGTAATTTAAAATTATTGATCTGTTTATTTCGATTTATTTGAATTGTTTTTATTTATTCAATTGCAATTTTTAATAATAAACTTAGATAAGAAAAAAAAGATAAGATCATCTTCAGTGAGTGACAATAAATAATTTTTTTAAGAAAATTTTATTATTATAGTAACTAATGTAAAATTATAACAAAAATTTGTTTAAAAAATTCTTTTTTTATTTATTTATTATTTTTTTATTAACCATACCTTGGTATTTATCGTTGTATGATAACTTTAGCTATTCATGGTAAACTGAATTTCTACATTCGTCGATCAATAATTTTAAATTCAAATATTTTGAAATTTTCAATGTTATTTAAACAAATAAACAAAATTTTGATTCTATTTTCTTTTTACATACAAGTCTATATTATAAATGAATTTATTTTGAAGGGAATTTTGAATTTTTTCTTTTTATATAGATAGAGAATTTGAGGGATCCAAGAAGATTTTACTGCGTCCCTGATTTAGCCACATATACTTCCTATGTTCTGTTAGCACGCGATAGGTTCCAATCCACCATGATCTACAAGAAAGTCCTTTAGAGGATCTTTTAGCCAATCACTGAACGACAGCACTAAACCAGTTTGCTTAGTTTAAGAAAAAGGCCACGTCTTCGGCTTTTTCCTGCCTGGTGCAGCGGGGGCAGTATTATTTTTTTCAATACAGAAAAGTTTTTCGTAAAACAATTTTTCAATTCAGTTAGATTTCGAACTTGTTACAATGTTGATCAATTATCTATTGCTTGTGTTTCTCTTTCTTGGAGTTCGTGGCTCCGAAGACGATGTTATCGAATTAACTGACAGTGATTTCTCCACTCTAGCTAACCATGAAAATTCACTTGTCATGTTTTACGCACCATGGTAAATTTATCATTTTTATTTATAATTTAATTTCTCTTTTTACATATTGCACATTTTTTTGTTTTACATAAGTTTCTGTGGCTAGAAAATTTTCCTTATGTTAAATGAATTTAAATTTTTAAGCGACAATTTCATAATTATTACATATTTCTGTTTTTGTATGAAAATGCCGGTATTTGTGTTAGTATACAATTTCCTTATTGTTTGACGTAAAATCATTTAAAATTTAATTACTTTTTTTTCTTCATCTTTTTTGAGAAAATTTATGTTTTGGTTTAAAAATTTGAAATTATTTTAATTTTGAAAAGAAATTGATTAATTTTTAAATAGTAAATATTTTCCATTTTTTTTTATCAGAAATTTGAAAATTGTAATCAAAGTTACATTTTAAGCCAATAAATTCCAAAATTGTTTAATTAAAAAAAAAATATGTAAATAAACTCTAATTGAATATTGCTAAATTAATTTTTTTCAAACTATTTTTCCAGGTGCGGACATTGCAAAAGATTGAAACCCGAATTCGCAAAAGCAGCGGAATTATTAAAAGACAATGATCCTCCAATTTCTCTAATCAAAGTTGATTGTACTGAGGGCGGAAAAGAAAGTTGTAACAAATTTTCCGTCAGCGGTTATCCAACTTTGAAAATATTCGCTGGTAGTGATATGGTAAACGATTACAATGGTCCAAGAGAAGCAGCAGGAATCGCAAAATATATGAAGGTAATTTTTAAATTAGTTACTTTATTCTCAATGTAAATTAAAAAAAAAATTTTCTCAAGTACTTATTTTATAATTAATTCTTTTATTTTATTTCAGGGACAAGTTGGTCCGGCTTCGAAAAAATTATCTGATGTAAAAGCATTAGAAGCATTCTTGGACTCGAACGATGTTGGAATTGTTGGTTTCTTTGAAAAAGAAGATTCTTCCTTGGCCACGACATTCCAAACTGTTGCCAAAAAACTTCGTGAAAAATTCCAATTTGCTCACACATCAGAGAAATCAGTTATTAAGGAAAAGAAAATGAAGTATGTAATTTACAACAACTTGATTGTGAAATTTAAAAATATTTCTATAATAATTTTCTATTTTTTTTCAGAGACAACATTGTTTTATATCGACCAAAAGTTCTTCACAATAAATTCGAAGACGATAGTGTTACATACGAGGGACAAGATTCAATTGCTGACATTATTGAATTCATTTCAAGCAAGGCGTAAGTAGAATAATAAAAAAATTTTAATTTTGGAAAAAAAGAGAAATTGTAAATAATATTTGTTTTTTTTTTTTTTTGCTCTCAGTCACGGAATGGTTGCAGTAAGAACACGTGACAATCATGCAGATTTCAAAAATCCATTGGTGGTTGCCTACTACAATGTCGATTACAAAAAGAATCCCAAGGGCTCAAATTATTGGCGTAATCGAATTTTGAAAGTGGCTAAGAATTTCCCAAAATTGAATTTTGCCATTTCAGCGAAAGATGATTTTCAACATGAATTAAATGAATTTGGAGTTGAATTCTCCGATGGTAAGAAGCCAATTGCACTTGCACGAAATGAGAAAAATCAGAAATTCGTTATGCAAGATGAATTCACAGTTGAGACATTTGAGAAATTTTTGACCGATTTGGAAGGTGATAAACTTGAAGTTTACATGAAATCGGAAGCAATTCCTGAGGATAATAGCGGTAATGTTAAGGTTGCAGTTTCTAAGAACTTTGACGATATTGTAATGAATAATGATAAGGATATTTTAATTGAATTCTATGCACCATGGTGCGGACATTGTAAACAATTGGCACCAATTTTTGACGAATTGGGTGACAAAATGGCCAATGAGGATGTTGAAATTGTTAAGATGGACGCAACAGCCAACGATGTGCCACCACTATTTGAGGTACGTGGTTTCCCAACACTTTTCTGGTTGCCAAAGGACTCAAAGGATAAACCCATGAAATATGAGGGTGGACGACAATTGGACGATTTCGTGAAATATATCGCTAAACACTCAACAGAAAAACTTAAAGGTTTCAATAGAAAGGGCGAGGAAAAAAAATCAAAGGAGGAGTTGTAAAAAAAATTTGCCAAAAAAAAAAAAAGGAATTTTTTTTATTGAAAAATATTGTTGATAAAATTTTCTTTATTCGAAGAAGATTCTCTAGAATATCTAAAATTCAGATATCGTCCAAGTGATCATTTTTTTAAAATTTATTATAAGCAAATAGTTGAGAGTCAAATTTTACAATTTATGCGAGAATGTTTTTTTTTTTGATAAATAGAAGTAATGTATCTTAAGATGGACGATTATTGGAATTTGTATTGAAATATACATTTGAAATAAGTGTTCATTTAGGTAGGCTGTAAAATTGAGTTTAAAAAAAGCATGATTGAGTTCTTTTTGTAAAATTTATGTACATTTTTATATTGAAAAATGCAAATTAGTGAGAGAGGGTATGTACGATTTTTTCTATATGCGTGAAATGTGAGAAAGAAAGAACTCCGTCTGATTTTTTTTTTTTTATGTACAAGAAAAAGATACAAGAACTGATTTTCTAACCAGTTAATAAACTTCATTCCACGTTTATATAAATGAAAAAAAAAATGCTGGTTCAGATAATTTATAAATAAGTCAACTATTGATTTTTTTATTAAAATAAAAATCATAATAAATTGTTTTATATGAAAAACTTATTACAATGAATTATTAATTTAATTATCTAAATCCTCAAATAGCAAAAGAAATTTAAATCAAATTAAAATTAATATAAATTTTTTTAATATTCTGTTTGTAAAATTTAAAATTTTCGCGGTTCAAAGTTAATGTCGATTAAAAAGAAACTTTAGTCGAAACTACCGACAGAGTCAAGTGAAAACAGTGGAAAATTATTTACAGATTTTACTGCTTGTTGTCAGTTGTTGTTCTCTGCTCCAAAAAAGCACTTTTCTGATTTATTAAAATTCTAGTTCTTTTTGAACCACGTTTATTTTAATTAAAATAAAATTACTTGCTAATCGGAGATCAAGACACAAAAAACATGACACGTAAGTTTAATTTGAATTTATATATTTTGTATATTTGTTTGTACATTTATCTTTTGAAGGACATTTCACCGACTATTCTTATTAATAAATACAAATTTTCAAATCTTTTCCACAAATGGAACTGTTATAATTTATTTAAAAAATTATATCTTTAAATTTTGGGATTTTATTAAATGTAGATATTAAATAATTTAGAAAAGAACAATAATTTATTTTTCAACAAAGAGAAAACTGATATGTCAGAATTCAAGATAAACTGTGTCCTCCATATTTTTTTTCTTCTAACGATTCACTTTCCAATAATAGGCGATAATAATAACTTCTCGGTTGAATTGGATTTTTTTAATTCTCAAAAAAAAACATGTATTCACTTTTTCTATTTTTGAAAATTATTTTGGAATTAAGCGTGAACTATTTTTAAGTTTCAATGACTATATTAGAATTTTATTACCTCATGTTAGATTAAAAACTAAAAATACGTCTGAAAAAAATTTAGGAATTGTGTATTAAAAATAAACATTATAAAACTTTGATCAACTTTATCATTTTTAATCAAAATATTTTGTTCTTTGATAAAGATAACTAAACGAAAAATATTGCAAGACGCATGGAAATATTTGTCTTGTTGACAAATTCTTTAAGAATACATATGCTGATTAAAATATTTGTTTCAGGTGGAAATCAACGTGAATTGGCACGTGCAAAAAATATGAAAAAGAACGTTAAGAAAACTGCAGGTGAACAAGAAAGCAATAAAGGTTTAACTTTAGAGCAGCGAAAACAGCGGTGAGTTAATTATAAATTTCTTTTATTTCCCATGAAGTATAAAATAAATAAAAATATAAATAAATTATAGAGACGCAGATCGAATGAGGGAAAAGCAACAGAAAAAGGTGCAGGATCCATCACAAAATGTAACGTCTACATAAATGTAAATAATTATAGAAAAAAAAAAAAGCTTGACAAACAACAAATGCATAAATAATACAGGTACTTTAGTATTGATTACAAGAATTGCACGAATGGAATACTTAATTTAATTTCTTTAAAAAAAAAAAAATCTTTTCTTTCGTTTAAAAAAAGTGAAAAATTTCAATTTTAAAATGTTTCAAAATTTCTTGTTTGTCCCTCATGGTATGTGCAAAATAATTATAAAAATGTGAATGAAATTATTACTTGTTTACAAATTTGACTGGTATTAATTAGTAATAGGAAAATAAATTATTGATAAATACCTTAAGTAGTTTACTTGTACATTTAATTCTCAGTTTACTTAGAATGTAATCGAATTGATCTTCAGTAAGATATAAAAATAAGAAAGTGAATGTATAGCCAGCAAATTTGGTTTGTAATAAATAGTTCAAATTTAAATATAATTAATTTTTTGAATCATATTTTGCCCTTTAAACGTTTATTATTTCTCACTCGAGTGGCAGTAAAATAAAATATTTCAATAAAAATTACTGCTCATTGAATGGGAACTATTTCTGTATAGAAATGAATAAATAGTACTGAAAATTAAATAAAAAAAAAAAAAAAAAGATAAGATACTTAACACCATAAATGTAATATCAACGAGAATAAAAAGAAAAGAGAAAGTATTTAAAAGGGGGAAAAAACAATAACTTAACAAAATTGACAAAGACGTCAGTCAGTGTAAAACAAACATTTTTATTCATTCTATTATGAATCATTGCATTAAAAAAAAAAATTCATAATTAATAAATCAATATATTGTACAAGAAATTTCGCTTCTATTAAATAACAACTTTTGAGTCCAAGTATTAAATAATTTTTCTTATAAATCGTTACTAAAGTAACTAGAAATGGGCGGCAGTATATTATTTATTTTCAAAAAATCATTCCCCAAATTATTACAATAAAGCTATATAAAATTTGTAATCTTATGCCTGACAATGAATATTAAGATTTGATAAATTGACACATATTTTCTTTTTTGTAGTTACTTATAATTAATTCGATGTCTAAGGACATAAAAATCTTATCTGTGAATTTCATGACAATTTCTTTTATATAATTATTGCATGCCACTCCTGCTATTATTATTATTATTATTATTATTATGATTATTAATATTATTATTATTATTCATATTATATTATTACTTGCAGCTTTTTAGCACCATTTAATATTGTTTATTGATAAATCATTGTAAGAATACTCGAGAATTATTCGAGTACTTAAGCACCTTTAACTCATTTATGAATAATAAATTTTTTTTCGGGAAAAAAATTTAATTTTATTTCACTTTTTGAAAAGAATTCAATTTTAATTCAGAAAAGAATTTCTGAAAAACGGTTTTATTATAATTCTTTTAATTTTAAAATCATTGATCAACGTTATTTAACGACAAATTTTAAAGAATATTAATTTTTTTCTAAAAAAATAGAAAAAAAACACCACGTCTCCAGTGATTTTTAAATTAAAAAAGATATTTTTCCTGGACGGAAGTGAATAAAAACCAGATTCTCTGTTATAAATGGAATGAATTTGTGCAGAATAAAACCTTGAGAAATTATTATTATTATTATAATTGTAAGCTAAATCACAGTTAAAAATCATTGACATTGAAAGTCCATTGAATTATAATAATAATTATTATTATTTTAGTGTTCTCGTTGTCTAAGAAACTATTTACAATAATAGTTATAAAGTTAGACAAAAATAACTGAATCCGATTCTCATTCTTATTACATATTATATTGATGTCTAGTTAGAATATTGGAAAATTTTTCAATTATATTGATAATATTTTTTTAACGAAATAAAATTTTACGTTCACTTTGGAATGATTTCCGATTATTACAAACTATACAAAATATTAGATATTATTGATAAAATGGAAAGTGAAAAAAAAATACAGTTAAAATTTTTTCTATACCTTTTTTTTGGATTAAATTGAAACTAAAGATTCAAGGAGCAAATGGTGCAGGTTTGTGCAATACAATGTGGATGAAAATGCGGAGAATGTGGAGACGGGGGTGGAGGTGGCGGTGGCGGTGGTGGCATATAAAGCCAACCAGAATCTGCTGACCAAACCGATGCTCCTGACGGTGATGAAATCGGAAGCAATGATCTCGACCCACCGGTAACCGGAACGTGAGATGATGGTCCTCCCTCTACTCACATTACCTAAAATCAATTTTTTTAGCTAATTTGTTCAACAATAAAAAAAAAAATTTAATTTAAAAAAGTAAAATTTGCAAATTACCTGTAAAATTTGACTGGCCTCGAAAGCCGTTCCTGGCAAGAGAATCACTGGACTACTAACATGTCCACTTTCCACACAAATCATATTTGGAAATTCATCATCGCCAAAATCAGGAATATCCCTTGCCTTCTCTTGCCATGGATTCCAAACGACAGTGTCGGGAAAATTATATTTTTGCACACGCATCTTCCTTCCAGATACAACATTTGTAATTATATGTTCCGGTTGTGTATTCTGATAAATTCTATCCGTCCATTCACAGACTGTCACCACGTCTCGACCCTCTTGAAATACCTGATTATCTCTCGTCTAAAAATAAAAAGTGATTATTTTTTCATTTGTGAGCTAATTTTTCTTTCTTTTAATTTTTTTTTTTTTACCTTATCAATAAATGTACAGCCATGAAGACCTGTGATTTGACACCTTCTAACGTCAGGCACCTTGAAATATGTGTGCAACAGCAAATTAAAACTAAATGTGTGATCCTTGTTAGGATTGTAAACGCCAATATTAAAATGCAATTCTTTTTCTCTTAGAATTAGCCTGTACGTTAACCTAAAGGGATAATTCCACATCGATCGTGTAAATTCATTGTCCATTAGTGAGAAAATAGCCTCAACATCACCGCTTGGTAATCGTTCAGGTGATTTCTCCACATTCCATCGAATTATCCTTGCGAAACCATGACCCGGACCAAATGTCCATGCTCCAAATTGTGCTGCAAATAAAAATTCATAAAAATATAATAATTATCATTGCACAAAAAAATTTTTTAATAGAAAAAGTAAGAGTAATTAAAATAGAATAAGAAAAAAAGATTGAAATTATTTTCTACTTGGAAGCGAAGAAAAAAAAAGGATATCTTCATAAGTTTTGAGCGACGAAATGTTAGGATCATTTATGCTTATCGTTATATACTCACGAAAGACAAATGGTATTCCGCCTCTAATGGGTTTCTTTCCGTCGAAGACTGCTTGCTTGCTGAAACAAAGAAGGAAAATTGTCTTTTAATCGATTTAGTAAAATTGTATAGTTTTTAATTTTCCTAAAATTAAGATTCCATTTTTCTTACTATATTTGTTAATTAAAATAACAGAATTAATTAAATTGATTATCATATTAAATTACATTATAATTAAATTTATATATTTATAAAAATGATTGTTTTCAAGTAAATACGATTTGCAAATAAAAATTATTATTGAACGGGTTGAGAGCATGAAAAAAAAATATATATATATATAAATGAAACAGTAGTTCGCAAAAAAGATGTTTCCTAATCTAAAACGTTACCAATCTCATTCATGATCACAGTCACGCTTCGTCTCAGAAAACTCATTTGTTCTTTCGTTAGCAACGGTACAAGCAACCGAGCAGATAAGATCCAGAGAATACCTATAGAATTGTAACGCCCGCGCCTGCGGCGGATGCAGGACTACCATTAGTCAAGCCTGTCATGGACCACTGAGAAACGTCCTTAAAGAAAGAGTCGAAGGAACGTTTGAATTCGATGATGCTATATAGAAAAGGACTCACGAAATTCCATATATATTTTATTTCCACTAACTACTTCATTTACGTATAAATTTTCTATATATTTTAATTTGAAATCTCTTTCAAAAAAACGAGATACTTTTTTTGCATCATCAAATATTTTATCATCAATAATTTTACACTTAGAAGAATTTCCATTTAGTATACAAATTTTCATATATATATTTTCTATTTAATTCTCAGTAGAATTTTTATTTCATCGAAAATTTATTTAGCGAAAATTTCTATTTAATTCTCAGCAGAATTTTTATTTCATCGAAAAATTTATTCAGCGAAAATTTCTATTTAATTCTCAGCAGAATTTTTATTTAATCAAAAATCAAATTAATTTTGAGAAAAATCAGAAATGAAATTTTAATTAATTAAATGAAAATTCTATTTTATAAATAAAATAAATATTAAGGAAATTGGTTTTTTTGAAATCAAATTTTAAAGTTAGAATGTAATAATAAATATTGGTAAACTCTGTTCATTTTCAGTTTTCACGATCTCGATGTATATATATACGAATGAAGGAGAGTCGAATGACGTACCACGAAGTATGGTGGTATAGAGGAACGCGGCTGACGCGGAGCAAAAACGATCACCGCTGTCTGGTGTGCTTTTTGCGAGCATCACAGTTTCCAACCTCCGTCGCTTTAGTTGGTAGCCTGTGTATAGTTTGCAGAGCACCCAATTCGCGATGCGGTTACACCCGTTGTCCAGAATATTCTCATATCAAAACTTCCTTGTAAAATTATTTTCAAACAAAAAAAAAAATTCTTTAATTTAATCTTACAATTTTTCCTTCATTTAATTTTATTTTTCAATTTTTCATTTTGCAAAAATAATTTAATTTCTTTTTAACCAGAGAAAAAAAAAAGTAGAGAGATGACTCCTTTAAAATCGGCAAATGTTACTTTAATGTTGGAAGAGATGACCTCATATTATATAAAAGAAGCGGGGAAATGACGTCAAACTAGGAAAGAAACATGAAAGACGATATAAAAGATCCCCAATAAAAAGGAAGAGGAAGAAAAAAAAATCAAAGGGTACCAATGAACCCGCGTGTAAGGTGAAATAAACGCTCTTTAGATGAGTTAATATTGTTCGAAGAAGAAAACCTTTAATAAAAAAAAGTAAAACAATTTTCAAAGGATAGAGAAATTTTTCGAAACCTTAAATTATTGACTATTGAAAAGATTTTATATTTTATATACTAAGAAGAAAATAATATCTTCCGAGTAAAGTAGTCAATATTTCCGAGATAATGAATAAAAAAAAAACCTCTTCCACTTTAGCTTGTAATTTAAACGTATTTATCTAATCATTATCAGGAGATTCTGTGGCTTTAGAATCTTAACTTCGATAGTTAAAGTCACAAAGATTATTGCTTCCGGTTATTTAAATTTAAATCCCCATTTTTTTCAAAACTATATTTTCTTCTAGATATCATTTATTGTTTCATTGTTTTATAAAATAAATCCCTTAATAAATTATGCAAATAAAAAATTTTTTTTAATTATTTTTTTTAATAGAATTTTCTGTATTTTTAAAAATATTAATTTTGGATATATTTTATATATATTGTGAATTTTTGTCAATTGAAAGATATAATGAAATAGATGAAAATCAAAATTTGTTGTTGAGTCACCCGTTACACTCAACCTGCATCAAGCGCGACCAAAGCCAGAGCTTTTTGCGTATTGCCCGGCTCTGGCAGGGTTCAACCCTCTCTGACTATAACTCCATCCCTTCATCTATCCTTCTACTCCCCCATCCAGAAACTTTGTTTAACTAAGGTTGGCAAAAACCAAACCTACTTATACCAGGTTATACAACGTTTACATCGCCAGTAAGCGCAAATTTCCTTCCTGTAAAAAATTACAAAACTTTTTTTTTTTAATAATTTCTCGCACAAATACTGAAATTCCACAAAAATTTCCTCTTCAAATTGCTTTTATTATAAAAAAAAATCTAATTTTTTTCATTTCATTCATTAAAATGAATTTACCATTTTTAAATACTTTTGACGATTAAGAAATTTTTTGATTCGAAAAAAGAGAAAAATTGGTGGGAATTTAGGAACAAGAAGAGAGCCCCTTAAAAAGCGATAATGAGTTGAGACATCACTTGAGAAGAATTCGCGTACAACCCACTCGAGCACTTACACTATATATGCGAGTTGTAATTCTCTATACACCGTTTTAGTATATTCGCAAAGTCAAATCAAGTTGTTATCGCGCACTAGCTGTAATCACACTAAAGTGCCCTTTTCGCTCTCGGGCGACATAATATATTTCATAAAAGAATTTTACGCTGGAGTTGCCGCGTCAATAATAATTTTACCCAACATTCCATTCTCCCTTTTCTTTTTTTTCCATCATCAATCATAAAAGAAGAAACAAAGAATCTAAAATTCACAAATTTTTTGAAAAATAAATCCAAAAAATTACTGGATAAAAAAATGATCCACTATGGACCAAAAATGATAAAAGAAATTCAAGAAAATTTTTGGAACAAAAATCTGAAGCGCGAGAAAGAGCGATTTAAGGAAACTGATTCCCATGTGATCCCCTGACAATTCGCGGGGACATATAACTTTCAATTGTTTCACCCGGTATAATACTACGATGGTTATAGGCTCGACTGTAGACTAATGATCTCAGAGCCTGTGGTTTTTGCCGACATTCTACAGCATTCCCATTCAACTGGATTCTGCACCGTGAAGGCTCTACGGCATTATTTTCTCTCTATAGAAACTACATGTATATACGCCGCTTCGTGACCGCGCGTCAGCCGATTCGATGGAACCCACATCCCTTGTTCGCGGGACCCCGCTTGTCTTCGCATCAAGATGAGAGAGAGTACTTCTTTCATCCATATTATACAATTCTTCATTTAATGTTTGTTAATTCTTCTCCATCTCTCTCTCTCTCTCTCTCTTTCTCTCTCGTGTGCAAGAAATCCATCTTCTCACTCGACGACTAATGACTATCGGCGAAGAAGGGTGCCAAGATTCCTCATGAATACAATTTCCAAAGACCTGTTTCTAATTAAGCAAATTGAATCGTATTAAGAGCTCTCCAAACAATTGAAAATCCCTTTTTCATCTAGTAAATAATTCTGAAAGATAAAAAATAATACAAATTACAAAAATTCGAAAAATTTTGGATTTAGAGATTAAAAATAATTCCCAATTTTCTGTTTCTAAATTTAGAAAAAAAAAAATATACGAGTCTGTCACTGGGCAAGAAAGATGCATCTGACCGACAAGAAAAACATATAATGAGAGGGAAACGCGTTCTGCATCCGCCCCCTCTTCCAATTGAAATTTCATCCCGGAAATGATTTTCGGCCCATGTGGCAACTCTAAAATCAAACATATGGAATCCATCGCACAGTGGTAATCGTATTTTAATAGAAAATCAATATCAGATGTTGAATTTTACACGCTCCTATGCATATTTATATGCGAAAAGCTGTTGTTCAAATCAAAATCAAATCAAGTTAATTTTCCAATGAAAAAACCGATAATTGAGAAATTATTACAAAAAGCATCAAAATAAACAAAAATTAATTTTTAATACAATTTTTTTAAATTGAAATTCGATTGTTATAAAAAAAAATTGTTCCCGTTGAAAGAAGACAAAATTCAATTGTTAGAAAAAAAAAAATGTATTTTCATCGAGAAAAACAAAATTCGATTGTTATAAGATGTAAAAGTTTTTCCCCTTTCGGGTATATATGACAAACAATGAAGATCTATTTTCTAAAATAAAACTATCACTGGATATATATATATCTCTCTCTTTTGGTGCGGCAAGGGAGAGAGCAAAGGGAGGTGGAGACTATTCGCCAAAATCCCAGGCTTTAGAACAAAAAATCCAGCTACCGAGACGATGATTGCCCTGGCACTGGATCATTAGTGTTCGTTCCTTTTCCACTCAGCCACATTTTCTATATCTATCTCTCTTTCTCTTTACTTTCTCATCCCTCGGCTTTGCTTTTTCCCGCTTTTTTCGACCACCTGATAAAATAGCTCGCTTAGATTTCACAGCGGCGAGAATCAAGCTGAAAATTTTCTTCTTTCAAAACAATATTTTATTCAAGAGTCAAATTATCGCCAAATGAAAAAAAAAAAAAATTTTCTCATTTATGAAACTAAAAATTGTTATAAAATTAAAATATAAATAAAATATAAAATTTGTTCTTGGAAAAAAATGTGAAATGCTCCAGATTCGATTGAGTTATTGAGACATGATCCTAACAACGGTTTTTATTTTAAGAAGCTGATTGTATGAGGAGAGAGATGGGAAAGAGAGAGAGAGAGAGAGAGAGAGAGAGAGAGAGAGAGAGAGAGAGAGAGAGAGAGAGAGAGAGAGAGAGAGAGAGAGAGAGAGAGAGAGAGAGAGAGAGAGAGAGAGAGAGAGAGAGAGAGAGAGAGAGAGAGAGAGAGAGAGAGAGAGAGAGAAGGAAAAGAGACTGGACATTCGAAAGGGTCCAGATCTAGAGATGTCTTGTGCGCAAAGCAAAAGCATACTGGAGTCATCTAGAGTGGCTCGAAGAGAACCCTCTTTCCTCTTCCAAGTTCCATTCGTTAGTTTTTTTATCGTCTGCGCGAGCTCTCGCTTTAAAACGATCGTTGCGAACTCATGCTTGTACTTTATTTCTCAGCAGGTGTTAAAAGAATGATCTAATAATTTCTATTTCAGAATCTTTTTCCCATATATGAAACCGATTTTCGAAACTCAAACTCATTTTAGTCCGTATTAATTTCGCCATTCATCTTGACATTGAACCGAAAAAGATACACACACACGATACAAGATGTGATGAAACACTTTTTATAACATAATTTCATAATTCATTACATTCTCATTTGAACTAATTCTGTAATTCAAAATTTGGAATTTCAATTTGAATCTAAAAATTCAAATTTAATTCCATTCCAAATTCTAATTAAAATTCCAGTTCCAATTGATTGAATTTAATTTTTAAAAGCCATTTGAAAATTTAAACATTGAAAATCCATTTACGTAATCAATAATAAAAAAAAAAGTTCCATGCGAGGCGAAGGGGAAAAAAAAAATTTGTCATTGGAAAAACCACAAATATTTCATAGGTAATTGTTGTGTATGATTGAATTTTAAAAATTACGATGAGCAAATATCGAGTGTCATAGAGAAATAACAAAGTCTTGACCCTATGACATTTTTAATGAATTCAAGAAATTTGAATACAGTTTTAAAATGACAGTATATTCAATATTATTAGAGAATAATTTTTTCATTTGATGATAATAATAATAACAATAATTTTTATATCACAAATATCTTGGAGACAATAAAATATTAGAATCTCGAAATCTTAAATGAAAGCAATGAATAATTATTTGACAGCACGAATAATGTCGTGTATATATGACAATGAAGAATTGTGTTGGTTTCCGCATCATTGACGGTTAATTCTTATCTAACACAATCATCATGATGTAACTACTCGTTTATTTCACTTCGTTCGGTTTTTTTTTATTTATTTAGCTAAAAACTAATTTTATATTAATTTATTTACAGTAATAGTAATAATAATATTGTTAAATAATAATATTTATTATTTACCATATTTACTAATTCAGCCATAATTTCGGAATTTATTACAAAAAAAAATGTAATTAACTACTCCGAAGATAAGATCGAAAACAAAAAAAGTAGAGCGAAAAAAAACCCCCTCGCGAGATTCTTTGATTACGTAAATATTTATAAATTGAAAAATGATAAACTAGATGCTTGTAAATATGTAGTTTAAAAAAATTATGCCTTCAAGGACAAAATTGTTACCATTGGCCATGGAGAAACTGGAAAGTGCATAATCAAACGACCAGATAAAGATTATAATTAAAAGTCACGCATAATTATAGTATTTGTTTAGTGAGCCTTATCTTAATAAAAATTCACTTACGCACGAGGAAGAGCTTATAATAGTCATTTAATTTTTTTCCCCGACTCGAGAGCATTAGTTTTCAAAAAAAAAAAAGATCTAGATCTTATTTGCAAACTCTGTAAACATTACAGTTCTAACATATAAATATTAATATACTCCACATCTTTGCTAATTACAGATTTATCTAATTATCACCTTACTTGGCGTAATTATTTTCTTTTAGTGAAACTGAAGAATTTATTATTATACTATTACTTAACTGAAATTTTGATCTTTTTTTTAATGAAAAAAAGAGTTTTTAAATGTAAACAAACACTTGTAAACAAAAGAAATAAAAACTTACCTAACAAACAGCTGTTCTTGATTATTGACTCGCCAGGATACAACAGTCGCTCCTGAAAATTGAATAATTTCATTAAAAAAATTAATTCACAAAATCAAACATTAAGCGCTTTTAAATTATCAAATGCCGATACGAAAATTGATACTCTAACAATTTGTTTCAAATAAACAAAATCAACGAAAATTTATATTTTAGAATATTACAAATTATTTTCAATTCACTATTTATAATATTAAAAAAATAATTCATTAGTTTTCAAATTTTTCTCAAACAAAATTTAAATCACTTTTCTAAGAAACTCGAACTCGAAACCGAACTCGATTCGACTCGGCGCTTTTAATTCAAGTCCAATTTTCACGCGGCAACTGAACGTGCGTCAATTCTCATGTGTTTTTTCTGACACTCTTTCTAGAGAGAAAGAGTGTGTCTGGCAAAGGACAGATAAGCAACCAAAAAAAAAAAAATATATATATATACAACTATTTTTTCTCTTTTTTTCAAGAGTCCAATTTTACCTAAATTCGATTAAAAAAAAAGAAGAAAAAAAATCCCCGTCACCAAGAATCTCGTAGAAGTTACACGCGCACACGTACCGTGTAAATTGATCGTGCAGGTGGTATTATTCCCCCTGTCGAGCACGACAACGCTGGTAGCCGCTGCCATGTTTGAATCTTGAATGCCAGTGCTGCCGGCTCCAACCTTTGTTCAATGCCCCCGGGCGCGCACTCCCACCACTCCTCGACTCTCTCTCGTTCCATCTCTTCTTTCCCTTCATCTGATCTCTTTTTCCTTCCCTATTTCTCCCTCTTCACCGTGGCACGTCACTCACTCTCTGGGGCGAAGCTATAGCGCACTTCCAACAACTATACAATGTGTTGGCTAATCTTCTTCGCGTTCACAAATTCACTCATTTTGTTCATCGACTTTCCTCGATCATTGCTAAAAAAATTTGAATTTTCAAAAATTAGATTCAAAATTTAGATTATTATTTATTAATTTTGAATTACAAAAATAAGGATATTTAAAATCGGAAAGATTTTGAAAAAAACTATTTAAAATAATAATTAACTAATAATAACTAATTAACTAATAATTAATTAACTATTAAAACTATTTATTTTAAAAAAACTCTCTTTCAATTAATCAATGGATCAAAATTTAGAAATTTTTTGAAATATTTTTAATTTACTGTACCTTTAAAAAAAAAAAAATTCAAGATTTCCCACATCAATTCATTTCAGAGAAGAAAATTTGATCCTCGCGAAATTTTTTCCAAAGATCCCATCCTCTTGATTATAGTGACGATCGCGCAGAAAAGAGAGGGATGTGGAAATTCAACGTCACGTGACAAGCCGGGCTTTTTTGTCGCTCTGTATAGAAAAACACCAAGCTGCAGAGTCTTTGGAGTTCGCAGCAGTGATGAGATTCCCGTAGGGTCGATGATTCAACCTCAAGGGATGCTGTGAAAAAGAAAGAAGAAAAAAAGTTATACCTGAAAAATTAGGCACCCCAAAAAGTTTGTTACCTATAAGTATTCATATTTATTCTGTCGATGGTTAACCCTTCCTCTAAAAAAAAGAACCTAATACTTCCTTTTTTTTTCATTCTTTTTTTTTTTTTGAAGAAATAAATGCCATCTAGTGATCATCAAACGCCTGGAGAGCGGGATAAAACAGAGTCCTTTTTAATTTTCTTCATCCAAAATCAATACATTCCTAAAGGATAAACAAAATCTCCAAGAAATAAATAAATAAAATAAACTACGATTAAAAAATAATCGCTAGAAAAATGAGTAATTTCTAAGAGTCCTAATTTTTTTTTACCCCAATCTTAAAAAAAAATTAACAAGTGATTAACGAAAAATTGTAATTTATTTGCAAAATTCAGATAATTGCGTATCAGTCAACTTTCGTTTAAAAAGTAAACACATAATTGCGTATAAATCTAAAGCGAACATTTAAGGCGAAGTTTTCGTTTCCGCGAAACAGGGGAATGTACAAAAAGGGTTTTTATAACAAAAAAAAAAAAAATAAAATAAAATAAAAAATAACAAAAGCTAAGCGAACAAGCGTTTGCCACTGTTTTTTTTTTTCAAAAAATATCGATTTCGCTGTGTAATCATTTCCATCTGTACTTTTCTTTTTAAAGATTTGATTATAGAATATTACTTAAAATTAAATAAGTCTTCATGGCATCTGTGCTACACAGAAGTTAGTGTACAAACAACATGTAATAATTATCTTTGCCAACATCACCATTTAATTTTTTTTTCCATTTTTAATTCATAATAATTAAAAAGCGCATCGAAATTTAAAAACAAAGTATACCTATAGCGACGAATTCAATTTCAAAAAGCTGAGCATGCATTTTGTTTTTATTTTATCTATAATAATATTATTTTCATCTCAATATAAATGAGATTACGTCTTGATAGTTCAAATGACAATGCTCATTGTTTTTTTTTTTCTGTTCTCCACTAAATCTAATGATATATCGACAGATATACGAAGCTTATAAGTTAGACTTTTTAAATAAACTTTTTATTTTTCAATACTATGTTTGTTTGTTTTTTTTTGTCAAAAAAAATATAAAAAACAAAACTAAAAAAATGTGCTTTCAGATAAATCTCTCTCGTTTGTTTTTTCTTCAATTGTCACTCAATTGTTTTTTTTTTCTTTTGTTAACATATAAAAATTAAATTTCTATGAATGATAATGTACAACAATAATCTGCACTCTAATATTGAGAACAGTATTTGCTGACACATAGTCTTTGTCTTTAAACTCTATATATCATTTTTCACGAGATTCGCAACACCTAAAAAACATCTATTACTTCGATATATAATTAAGCTATACAAAATTATTTAACAAAATTTAAATTTAAATTATCCTATCAGTCACTTCCATGATTTAAAAATTAAAATTAAAAAAAAAAACTCAGAACAGAGGCACTACTGTAAGCACGCTTGAACCTTCTCGATCCATTCTTGTGCCGTTGTCGCATCACCTGCGCAAAAATTGTAGGTTCGCCTGTTTGTGCGTAGCTGTAATGTAAAATAAATTTTATTTACATTTTACCCCTCACCTAATTTTCACTTATTTTGTTTTTGAGATTTTTTTCTAATTAATTTATTTTTGAAATTGTAATAATTTCTTTTCTATTTTTTGTTAAATAAGAAATAATTTAAATTGCTCACATCAAAGAATGATTTATCATCCGTTTTCTTTGGTGGGCCTTGCATTGGCGCTGCAGGAGTCACAGACACAACTTCGGCAAGATCTGTAATTAGCGCAATTTTTTTTTTAATTTTTGTACCGCAGTTTTTTTTTCAATTTCTTCAATATTAATAAAATGTTCTCAAATACTTGTTTTTCAAGTGTGGCATTAAAAATATTTTTGCGTTCGTCGAATATATTTTTTTTAATTTACCTAGAATATAAATTATATCTCCAACCTTAGATTCCAACTGATCGAGGACGATAACATCTAGCGGAAACACTCCCGAAATCATGTTTAAATTTAAAAAAAAATACTTCTTTCTAATAATTAAAGCGATCGCGATTTTATGAATTTCGAACACTACCGGAAAAATTCATATTTTGAAATTATGTTATTGAATTTTTAAAAATATCGCAATATTTGTAAATTAATCAAGAGTTCAAATAACAGTTGGATATTAAAAATAAAAAAAAGATTCAAATCAATGAAACAAAAAAAAATTTGCCGATTAAAAAAATATTTTTTTTTCGAAAAACTCACCAATGTAACCTTTGCAATGTGAATCTTCCATCGCGTCGTAGTACCTCAATTGATGTTTTATAGAATCGAGCACGAACCATCGTTGCTTCCAACCTTTGAGAAGTGCACCACGTTTATATAAATATCCCTCGTGTGTTCTGTTTTCAGCTACATTACTAGAAAATTGATCGTAGTACTGCTGCGAAGTCGTCTGCATTGTTGTGACACCTTTAAAAGTAAATAAAAATATGTAAATACAATTTTTTTTTTTTTTAATCACGTATAATTTAATTATTTATTGTAAAATAAAGTTCTTACTTGAATTTACGCTTCCATTGTCACCACCACTTCGAGTGAGAGTATGCGATTGTAAATTGTCAGCTACGGCTTTGTATTTTGTACAATTTTTCGGTACGGCATCGGCACATTTGTCATGACAAACGTGACCGCAATCAACACACCTCAATCCGGCTTTTACTGGTCCCCATAAAACTCCAGAGCACGCATCACAATGAGTTGGTGTTGCAGAATCCAACCTCTCGAATCTATTTAAAAATATAACAAAAATAATTTTCCCTTTTTAAGATATTTTACTTTTATAATAAATAAAAATAAAAACTAATTAATTAATTACCTGTGTGGATGAGCGTAGACAGAACTCTCATTTCCAGTTGCAGTTCCGCCAGCGAGTTTCCCTCTTAAAAGTAATTCCAATGTGGATCGTTTATGAATGAGCCGACCGTGATGTCTAACGAGAGCCGTACTGAAAGACGCGTGTCTCTGTAAAAAAAGAAATAATTTTTTTTTTAATTCCACACGATGTTAAGCAAAAAAATTCTACATAAAAACTGCACGCATAAAAAAAATATCTTGTTTGTAATGGCAGTAATGTGCAGTTTCTAAAAATGACCAAAAAAAAATACATCTGTGCTTTCTTTTTTTTTCAGTGAATCCAGAATAAATTTATTGCTACAATAATCATTTGAAAAATGTGCAAAGATCGACATTTGTGCCCCGGAAATATTGAATTTTTTTTTTTTGAAAAATCGCACCTTGTCGTTAACCTGATGGAAATCCAAGCAGAAACATTTTGAAGTAACTTTTCTGCACATTGTTCTCTGGGATTTATGTCAAACAAAATGATAAAATATCAAAATCACAAATATTTTCTTTGTTTTTCTTTTGAAATATAAAATTATTAATTAATTTTATTTAATTTCTAAATTTTTCACGTAAAAATAATATTAAAATTATTGCGGGTATTTTTAATAAATTTTCTAAGAGATAATATATCTTTTCACTTCCTCGATTGAAATTTTTGAAAAATAAAATATTAATGATTTCTTACCGCGAGAGAATCAGTATTGGGCAACTCGAGTTTATCCCAAAGGACTTTCCATTTCTGTGGCAAGTGACCTAGTTCCGTTTCTAATTTGTGAATTTCTTCTAATAAATGAGTAAATTGATCAGGTACCATTGAACTGACGCTGTTGTATCTAAAAAATTAAAAAAATTATTTATTTTTCTAATAAAATTCTATTTGAAATAAATGTAAAATAATTGTTTAAAAATTAAATTAAAACTAAAAGAAAGAAAATCCTCACCCTTGAATTACAACTTTTCGATTGCTTTTAACAATCCCATCGGCAGCCTCAGCCTCTTCTTCCTGCTGTGAATCTTGCTGAAGAATCTCCAAATCATAAGCGGGTCCATGCGCTAATTCCTCCTCAAGATAATAATTCCAAATATCCAAATTCGGTAAATGAGAAACAGGCCTCAATATCGGATGTTCCGAATTTGGTGTATAAAGAAAATTATAAAATAAAGGCGATCTTGCATGTTGTTTTTCAATATAATCAAAAATACTCTGACCCAAATTACATCCCATATTTGTACCTGCCAATCGTCCACCAGGATAAACAGTCTCATCATCACTACCAGTATCAACTCCCTTATGATGACTAGTCAACGATCCTCTTTTATCTTCAACCGCAGTGATTCCACATTCAACTCTATCAAATTCACAGTCCAATAAAAATGTTCTAAATCGACAAGACACTGAATGATAAGCCAAAAATTTCAAATAATATTCATTGAATTCAAATGCTAATGGAAATTGTTTTTGAATTTGATGAACAATATCGAGAAATTGAAGGAAAGTTGGCGTAAAATTAGTTGTCTGTGAATTTGTCGCTAAATTACTACGATGACCAAATCTATGTCCAAAACCAAGCCATTCTTTTTCAATTAAAGTGCGAAAACCATCAATTGTTCGATAATGTGGATCAAGACAAACTTGAGCTATTGAGCAAACTGTAGCTGTTGTATCCCAACCATCTTCCAAGCATACAGCAACCGATGAACCCTGAACGTCCATTAAATCAATAACAGCACCGGCGAGTTGCATCAAACTTTGCAATTGATGAAGCCACTCGGAGCTCTCAATTAATTTATAAAAACTCTGATCCGGTTCGATACTTGGTGAACTGGGTACGCAGGCCTTCATCAACTTTTTAAAAGCAGCTTTCGTATGTCGAACATCATAAAATTCAACTGGTATGAAATCTGTTTTTGGTGCCGCTGACTCTGCCTTTACACCTTTCATATATGATTTTTCACCAAGAACGTACAATGCAGCACGTTGAAAGGTGTGAACACACTCAGTACCACTATCAGAATCGGCAGAATGACGTATTGTACCACGTTGATTAACGGAAGACAATGATGCTTGTGAACTGTGTCTTTTGTCCTTCAATGATCCCCAACGTCCAAAATTTTTTGGTCCTTTACCACCGGAAGAGCCAAGATTACCCATTGCTTTATTAAAATGATTATTTCGTCGCGATTGTTCTGGTGTTGCATTATTTCGATTATCCTCAGCGGCCAATAATAATGAATCAATACTTAATGAACTATCCGACATTCCCCAAGCTGAACCTTGTCGTAATATTGAAAGAGGTGTCGCGGCAACAAGTGCCATTATATATTTTTCTTGTTCCAAGGAAGACGTACTTTCTGATGAGGTAGCTTTTAAATTACCAGCCGATGTTGGATGTGCTTTTAACATACCCATTACACCTTTACCATGATAACCGGCACCACGTATTAATAATGCCTTTGTTCTTGGATGTCGCCATGTTACAACTGGAATTCTATTGTGTCTATATAAACGACAAAAACGACGAATACTATCATCTGTCACAGCAGTAGGAACTAATAATAATGCCGGATAACTTCGACACAACATATAGGCACAATTGGCCGATGTCAAACGAAATGGTTCATTACGTCGATTATTTTGCGGTCGCGATGAACATAAACCCAAACGATACCAATCACGAACATAACTTCGTTCCGATAATCTCTCAAGTGTTTTAGCATCAGTTAAAGGTTGCGCGGGTATTATACCCGGTATTTCAAATTCGTCGACACTTAAATCATCATCATGGCTCATGTCATTATTTTCTGTCATTGGAAGACTCATTCGACCAGGTGATGTCATGTATTTATTACTATTCGTGAGATTCATATTAGGTAATACATATTTTTGTCGTTTTGATGATTGTTTAGGTTTGAATCCCGCTTTTCTTGCCGTTTTCAATAGTGTTTTTTTGGCAAATCCCTTGAGTGTGGCATTCTTTTCCTTGCCTTTATGATGAGTCGTCGGTGTGACTAGTACCTGTCCATTAAAGGCAAAATGATGAAAAATATGTGGTGGATTTCGGGCTTTTTGAACCAATTTTCTTAATGTTTCAATATTCTCCGGTGTAACCTCTTCATCAAAGGCTAATTTAATTAATTGAAATGTACACGATCGTAATTGTAGACCCTCCTGTATATATTGATCCAAATGAGCGAGATGCTGAACCGAAACACGTTTCTCCTTTGTCAAAGAAGTAACGGGAAATGAACGAACGACCAATTGTTCACAGGCAAAAGGATCACATGGTATACCTTTGAAAACAATTCTATAATTTGTGAGAAATATCGCACCCTCAGCTGGCAATAGTGGTGGTGTTTTTGGAAGACCCGCTGAACCTTCTTCGCGTCCATCTGGTAGTAAATAAACACGAAGACCATCCATAACGACCTCCTCACCTGGTAGCATGTTTGGTGTCAATATCTTTGGCTTTTGTATCGGTGGTAAACGTTTACTTTCACGATGAACTGCCTCAAGTGTCTCGATATGCATATGAACAACACCGGGTACCATTTGATGAAGACATCTCACGTGCTCTGTACTCACACCACCTTCCGTACAAACACGATCAACAAATCGCGACACCATTCTTATCACCGAAGCACCAGTCTCACCAGGATCGGCTTCTTCAAATCCCGATTCAGCATCACCACTATCACTCGCCACACTATTTGTTATACTATTACTTGCTCTCTCATCATCATAAACATGATCCTGTCGATGTGTTTTTGTGCTAATATCAAGTGGTACTAATAAATAAACCATTCGATTTGCATAATGAATCGCTTGACTGTACATTGTACTCTCTTCACTTGCAATAAGCTCCTTTTGTTTATCACCATTTATCGATGACCATATTCTCATTTGTTCAGCGGCAATTTCTAATGCCGATGGCTCTTGAACACGATAACCACGTTCACGAAATGGAAAATCTTTATTTTCACGTGGACTAATTGGACTTAATATACTCTCATTAATTTGTCGTGGCGGTGTATTTTCCCCAGGTAAATATAATCGTTTAATATCCTTTTGTACATCAAGATAAAAAGCGTCTTCCCAAAATTGTAAACTTTGCCAAACAGCGTGTTCTTGAATGCAAGTATAGGCAAATTGTATTACACCTGTACATAATTTACGACAAAATGCAGTTGCAAGTGGTAAAAGTGCTGCGGCAACACCATGCTCATCCATTGATGAATCATCTTGTAATGCACAATTCATTAATCTCACTACTAAATCAAATTGTTGATGTTCCAACATTGCCTTATTACCAACGACATGTTGCGATAATTCCATGCACAATGCTAAACGCGCTGCTTTACTTTTTAAAGCGCGTAATACAGCTGGAAATGTTTTTCTTGCATCGGAAATTTTATTCTCAAATATACAATTAATACAATTGCGAAGTACCTCAAGACGTCGCGCTGAATTACTAACTAAATGTCTAGTATCGTGTGTTATCGATATGTGTGGTCCCATTGGAACAATTCGTGGTTGTATTGGCCTTAACGATGATAATCTCACTTTAAGATTACTTTTTGCTAAACCCTCGTCAATTATTGCTTGTACATTCTCAGGATTTATTCTTGGCAACATTGGCTGATGTATTCTTGCGAATGCACCTTCTGGTGGTTTAAGAATTTTTTGTACATAAGGCTGGGGATTTGGATTTTCATTTGTATAAAGTTGTTGCGCTAATTCTTGAATATGCGTTAATATTAAACGTTGATCTTGTGATTCTTGTTTTAAATGATCACTAAAATTACTATAAAGTTCATCCCATACGTCACATGGTCTCCATGGTGGTCCACGTTCAGCTATAAATGAAGTGAAAAACATACAATCCAAAATTCTTGTTGTAAAATCACAGTCAGTTAGGCCTCTTTCGCCAAGAAATGCCGCTTTATGAAATGTGATGACAGGTTTTGGATGTATTCTTATCAATGTTAAACAACTGCGATAGCCTTGCAATAGTTGAGCAAATGTTCGCATAAATACAGCTCGAAGTTCTTTGTCCAACATTGGTGGATGAGGAGCTCTTGTTGCGAGTGGAGGAAAAGCGTAATCCGCACAGGCCAATTCAGGTTGTAAAACCATTGATAATGCATCTTGAGTTTGTGACAATAGCGGCTCAGGAAGAAGTGATAACGATACACCATCTGGTACCATTAATGAACCGCCATCCAAATCGGCGACAATCACGTCCAACTGTAATTTTCCAAAAAAAACAATGATTATTACAAAAGACAGGAATTAGAAAAATAAATATTAATTAAAATATTTTTAGTTGATCGAAAATTAAAAAAAAATCAAGTGTTATCATTCATAAATAGATAAACTGTTTTTCTCTCTTTTTTTTTTATCTAGTCACACTTTAGTTTTCTAATACTGATAAAATCAAAGACAATGACTAGAGTGAATATCGTGTATATAATGATCGTGATTCAGCGGCAATAATTCAAGGATGAAAAATTACGAGAACGCAATAAAAACAGGTTTTCGAATAGAATTTTTTTTTTTTATATTAAATTGCACAAAAGAATTTTGTCGAAATAAAATAATTTTGAGAATACTCACGAGTTCAGCAACTTCATGTTTCAATGAACTATGAACACCCATTATAAATGGTGTTGGAGTGTCGAGAAAGTCAATCAAAGCAGCCGGCAATAGGGGAATATTCACATGGGTATATTTGAATGGATACATTAAAGCTGTGAGAGCACGACATCCTTCCGTTAAACGTGAATAGCTTGATGAGTGAAAGAGAATTTTGTGTTCCGTCATAACTGCACAAAACAGTACAAGGACATTTCTGATTCCTAAAAGAAATTAATTTTAATTAACAATTTTTATAAAGAAATCAAATGCTAAAAAATGTAAAATGTAAAATTAAATTCAAATTAGAATTTTAAATTAAATAATTTAGATATCTTTATAACTTATATTAAATATAATTTACCTAATTGCATGAATAGTAAATTGACGCTGGTATGAGTTATAGGTAAAGAGGGACTAATTGGAGGCTGTAATGCTTGTCGATCTCCGGCACCAATGCTAAATCGTACTTGTGGTCCACCAGCCGGTGGAACTTGTATGCATCCCAAAATATTTCCCACCAATGTCTCTAAAGGTATTCCAAGATTTTCCACATAATCGGTGTAAATTATTCCCAAACAATTCTGTAAATGATTAAATTATAATCAAAATTTCAATTAAAAATTGCATAAAAGATTTTAATTTAACTTTTCTTTTTCAATATTTAATTTTTGTTTCATTTTAAATTTAAATAATTTAATAAAATTTTTATTTCAAAAAATTGTTAACTTACTCGAAATGTTTCTATATAATCAAGTCTGGAGACGAGAACTAAACATTTTGGTGCATACATGATACTGTGATGTGAAACAGCTGGGATTGCTTTCACAAGAGCACGATTCACACCATCGACGGGATCCTCTTCTTCGTCGACGGGTTTGCTGGGTGTTATCGAGACAGTTTCGTTGAAGCACATACAAGCACAATAATGACGATTTGCATCTATGTCGGTTAATATTGCGACGTAAAATCGAGGTTCCTGCCTTTCGGTCGACAAGGCCCATCCTTGAGGTTGACAAAACTGTAAAAAAAAAATGACCAAGAGTCAATTAAATTTATAAAATATAAAAAATATTAATTAGTATGATTAATTAATACATATAAGGGTGTCATTGTTAATGCGATAATTACCCATTCTATGCCTTCAATGAATGGAGTATCAGGCCAATCTTTTTCTGGAAACCTTTGTAATATTATGCCACTGCTAATTCCACCTCCTAAAATGATTACAGTTATGTATTATTAGCTCATTTATAATACTTGAGTCAATATTCCGTCATCATTGAAATATGAGGAAAAGAATATTTGTTAATTTAATGACACAGAGAGAATACTTTAAATTTTTTGCTAATTAAATTTCAAAATAAATTAATAACATACACAAACAGAATGATTTAAATTGAAAATATCTTAAATGTGACAAAGAACTATATATATATACACAAAGAATACATAATGAGATGATTGAAAGTATAACATATTGTGTTTTAATCTTTAAAAAAACAAACTGACATATGATAATTGAACTTTTTCAATATCAAGAATCCCCTTAATGTGTAATTCTATATTAATTAATAATATGAAATATGAGAAACAATTATTTTTTAATTGAAAATGTAAAGATTGAGGTTATATTTCTAGAAAATGAGGTTAGGAGGCCAAGCATTGAAGGGTGTCGGAGATTGTAATTTTCACGTGAATAAGTGGAATAAAATAAATGAATAAAATAGAAAAATAAGACCTTTTGTACTTACTCTCTTTTTCGTGATGGTAGCCGACGACTATGAAGTAGTCGGCTAACCGAGACATCTCGGTATATTCGTGGAGCTGAGTGGGGGTGGTAACGCTCAACATCCCACGAAGTGTATGGAGCTTTTGATTTCATCGACAAATTTGCTGCAGAGCAAGGAATTCACCGCTTTTTTTTAAAAAGTGGTGTCTTTATTTTTTTTTTTATTAATGCGTCAACGATAATTAGATTGACGTGTCTGAAATCGCATTGTCAAACACACATTTAAAAACACTTGTCACAACATGACTCACTCGAGGTGCTGGAGGTTAAAAGACAATGAACCGATATGTAATTGACCCTGAAGATGACTTCCCAGTCGTTGATTCTTGTAGTTGTTTATTATTTTTCTTTTGAAAAATATGATACCCTCAGAATGAGATTGTATAGGTTTGAAACACACGAAAACGACAACTCACAATCACTGTTTTCACTTTATCGACAGATTTTATAATAGCGGAAACGCTAGAGCTATGCGGCATAATTAGCACAAAGTATTTTCATTTTATAGACAACAATACGATGCCACACCCCGAAGCTTTAATCCATAACCTTCCAAACTAAAGCGCCACAAGTTTCGGTGAAACGTTGAGCGTAAAGAACAACTTCGTACACTGATGGCTCTCGTTCCGCCATACTTATTCATCACCCCACCACTCGATTTCTCATTTTTTATAATTATCATCATGCTGCAGCAATTATATACGGAAATCTCGTTTTCTTTACACTCTTTACACAGATTAAGATTTTTATGGAAAAATGAAGCTAAAAGGAATAATTTCTGATCTTGAATCCCAGGGACGTAACTTGACCCATTTTTAAATGGTTCCTTTTGTATATTATGGAGAAATAAAAATAGAAAAAAAGAAACCGCCCCTCCAGTTGAAAATCAAAGTACGTAAAGCCTGAGATAATAATTCTAATTTTAACTTTACTTCCTGCAGATTAAGTTCAATAATTTTACTTATTCTGCGTTGTTGCTAGGCTCAATTTCACTCTAAGAATTTAAGATTCTTCTCACAGTTTTTTTGTCTAAAAGAATATTTTTTAAATAATATAATAGTATTAAAAAATAATTTTAATTTTAATAAAAAGAATAACTATTTTTTCAAAAGAAATTGTAAGAATTTATATTTATACATGGTTAAACCCTTTTACCCTTCGAATCAAGATAATAAGGGCCTTTCAGTTACGCTACTGAAACAAGTTACCAATTTTCCGGGAAAATAATAATATATTTCTTTTAACTGTATACGAATTTGAATAGAACATTTTTTCAATGTTTATAGTCATTATAGAGTTAAATAATTTATTTTTTCACACGCTTTTTTTTACATAAATAGATAGCAATTTTGGAGCGAACATTATTTAAAATTTAAAATAGGCGCTGTGTTTCTGCGCACGCGCAATAAATCACTCGGTTAGTCAAAATTCAAATTTAAAAACGAATTTTCCCGGGAATTTTATAGTATAATTATCAGTCGCAAATCGATGAAATCTGTAAAACATAAATAAAGTCATACATAAAAATATACAAAATATATTTAAAAAATAGAAAATTATTGAAATAATAATTGAAAACGTTTAACATTACAAAAATGCATTAATTAAAATTGTAATAGTAGTAAATAGAATTTTTTAATTGATTAATTAATAGAGAAAGAAATAAAACACACCTAAATTTTCAATATGTAATTTATTGCAAGCGATTTTCAGAATGTGGTTATCGTAATGATTGATAATAATCCTAATACATGATAATATTGTCAGACTAAAACAATCTAGAGTCACAAAAATTGAATGTGACTTGATTTGTGTAATGTTATGGATTTCACATGAGAATTATAAGTGATATTATATACAAAAACAGCGAGAAACGTTAAATATCAATGTAGTACTTATGTTTAAAAGACCTATTGTATAATTGAAAATGAAACGATTCTAGTTTTTTTTTTCTCTCAATGTTTCGTAAAAAAAAAAAAAATTCAATCCGGAGCACCATAAGTATTTCGTATAATTCATTATTATATTTACAATCATTATAGCAGTGCCGTGATTAATAAAAACAAAAAATATATATATATTCGCACATATAAAAATTACATTGCATTTTTAGACAAAAAAAAAAGGAAAAATCACGACACAGCTATTTTATTAAATTTGCAATTTCGTATTGCAAATGAAAAAAAAAAAAATGAGGAACAGAAAACTGACTATTATTATTTGCAAAATTATATGCCTTGCGTTCAGTCTTTAGTGTATTTTCTCAACTTTTTTCATTGCTTGTTAATCCATTTGACTCGACTATTCCTACTAAAAATTATATTATATAAAAAAAAACAGTTAAATTATTTCACAAGCCAATTGACAAGTCAAATGAATTTAACAGCAATTTTTTTTTTAAATTTTTTAAATTAAAATTTGTTTATTTTATTAATCGTAATGTTTTTTCTTTTATTTTTTGTAGCTCCATCGCAAAAGTTTTGAAACTACAGTAAATATCTCATTACTGAGCTCAAAAATTCGGAGGATCTTGAAAAATTCCATCTTCGACGCTAAAGATTATCATCGTCATTGGCGCACGAAGAGAAAATATTGCCGAAGAGGTAAGCAATTGAAAAATCTTTAAATTAATCAAAAAAAAATACATTTTTTAAAAAAGAGAGAAAACTTTTCGAACTAAGGCATACAATTTTTGTTTTCATTTTCTTTTAATTAAAAATCAGGGAGGCTTGACATTGTAGATTTGCGTCGAGCGTCCTTGGTTTTTTCTTATCGTAGAGTAAATAAAAATCACAAGCATCAAGAAGATCTCGCGAGAGATCTTCAGGTAAGAGTACAGTGTAAGAGTTTCGTTATTTCACGTGTAAATGTTTTAGTTGTTATAGAAATTTATAGTTTCCAGTCAACCAAACGCATTTTTTTTTTATTCCGTGGAAAATGAGAAATGCTATTATTAACTAACTATAATACAATTTCAAATCTTTCTTTTTTTTTTTGCACAAAAAAAAAGAAAATGACTCACAGTAAAACACCACGGCAAGGTTAATTATAAGTATAAACACTGAAATTGCACAGAGTACAAAAAAAAAAAATTTTGTATTTTACACGCTTTCGAAATGATACATTACTCTCATATAATATTTCTATATAATTATATTTCTATATTATGTATATATTTATATATATATATATAATAATAATATATTAAAATTTTGATTTCTTCCATTGCGAAAAAAATTTCACTTGCCTGATTTAATACATTCAATAAATAATACAATTATACTAATTGTAAGTCTTGATAAATTCTTCCAAATAAAAAACAAATGTCCGCGCGCCCAAATAGCTGCCGACTTTTTCAAAATCACTTTTCATTATTTACATCAATTCTAATATATAGTTTTCACAATTAAAAAAGTAATTTACATTATTTAATTTGTACACATATTGTGTAGATGAAAATTCGCCAATCAACTCGACGATTCTCGCCGTGGTCTTTATTATCATCGCGTACTATTTTCAGTGGAATTTAAGTTTTTTCGATTTCAAATTTTGAATTTTATAGACTAGATGATTATTTTAGATGAATTGTTTCCTGAATTTTGCATTTCTAAATTATTAAGAATTTTTGTAATAAATCAATTTTTTTCGAATAATTGTTTGTACGCGACGCGCAATGGCTCACCGGTTGAATAAGGACGACGCACTCATTTAAAATAAAAAAAAAAAAAGACTAGGCAATCAAGGTTCCATTGGGTTAACGCATGACAATCAGAATTGAGATCGTGAACCCTCTCGTGACCTTGCAAGCAGAGAATTTGCGTCTTATAAAACGACACTAATATATATGTAAAAAAAAGCCAACTGACTACTCTCACATCAATGAAACTCGTAAAAAATCTTCATAAAATAGTCTTGGTACAAAAATGTTTTTTCTCTTTTTGGAATGAGGCACACTTCGTTGTTTTTCTTGAATAAATGATCACTTTGTGGCTACTGCCACTTTGAAAAAAAAAAAAAAAAAATGTTTCTAGAAAAAAGTCTTTTTATGCCCTTTTAAAATGCTCGTATCGCATGTGATTGGCCCATTGGTATGCCGCCTTTGGCTTTCCCAGCTCTTTCTTTCTGTTTCGAGGTTTTTGACTTGAATTCATCAATCAATGTGTTTTAGTCGATCGTTTCCTTCAAGGCAACCAGCTGCTCTTCTCCTAGTTTCACCTTGTCCTGAATCTCTCTGCCGTCCATTATCAGCTTTGCCTTCATGTTGATAAAGTGCTGGTAGTCGATAAACTCCTCGTCGTTCAAGTACTTTGACAGAATTGCCGAGACGTTTACGCTACGCTTATCGATGTTGCCTTTTAGAATCTTCGCTTCCTCCAACTGATCTATCAGCTTGTCTCGTTTACTCTCCAGGACTTTCTGCAAATCAAATGAACATTGCTTTTAAATTAAATCACAATTTTTAAATTAAATTATTTGAAAAAAAAGATGAATTGAAAATAGAATTATGATTTAAAAAAATTTATTCGTGACAATAATTTGATCGGGACTCTTACTCTCTCGGCATGGTCGGCTGACATTCCATGAAGGGCGTTCTCCGCACGAGCGAGTCGGCCACTGAGTCCAAGAAGAAGACTGGTAATTTTGCCAACTTCCTCAACGTGAAGTCGATACTTTGAAATCTCCGCAGGACGCGCTACAGCCGCTACTTGTTTAGCGACACGAGCACCTAATGCCTCATTCAATTCACCTTCTTCCCTGACAGCCTCCTGTTCAGCTCTCAGCACCACTAGTTTCTTATCCAGTCTAATCACCAACTCCTCCTGTAAAGAAATATTTTTTTTTTATTTTCTTCCACTTCATTTTAATCTTTCCCTTATTTACAATTTTCTCCGTATTTTTCTTACTAGAAAAAAATTTAAAACTAAGAAAATTTAATGCTATATATTATCTACTTTAAAAATAAAAAAAAATAAACTAATTGTAATTATGTTTTCTCAATTTTTTAAAAAACGAAGGTGCTGATGAGGAGAAATGACTGACTCGAAGGTCGATTTCAGAAAATCATCACCTTCATTATGGACTTAAATGTCGGTATAGTGCTTTCAAGTTGTATTCTTGTTACTCTTTAAACGAAGAAAATTATGAGGAAGAAAAAGAAGTTCGTTATATTCTCGATTTGAAATATCGAAAAAAATTATTTTCATTACCAGTTGTCATGCATTTAAAAGGAAGCCAATTTACAGAAAAAGAACCATTTTTTCAATTATTTTATATATATATATATGTACCTTCTTTTGCCTGAGATCGACATTGTCCATGATAACAGTCGTTGGTTCATCCTTGATAGGTAAAGTATCCTCAGTCACTTCTTGTGAATACCTTGTCAAGAATGTTGTCTTTCCTTCCGAGGTCGTAAAGTAAGATGAAGTTGGCGAAAGAGGACTTCCAGGATCAGCAATTGTTATCGGTGTCGCGGGCGCTGATTCAATTCTGAAAAATCGAAATAGAAAATTATTAATTTTATTTTTTTATTAATTAAAAATTAATTAATAGAAAATCAAAATTGAAACAATATAAAAGGAAGGACTGAATTGAAAAAAAATAGGCAAAAAAGAACAAGAGGAATTTTGAGACTCGAGTTGAAGAACTCGTTACCGTAAAATTACAACGAATTATTTCAAGTCATAAGAGAGTAAATTGAATTGTGATGATTTTATTATTTTTCCCATTGAGATTAGATTAAAAATAAATTGCGTGTACTGAAAGTGACTACTACTGAGGGTTTCGAGATTCTGGCGAAAACATATTTTACATATACGTGTAGGTGAGAATAAACATCGTATAAACCAGAGGGGAATATCTACTTGACAATATCATTTATGGGCGTCTTGCGTAATCGACACTTTCTCCTCCTTAAAGGAGCAAAGCGGTTCAAGACAATAGTATACTAAAAACAGATTGAACGTTCGCCAGATGCAAAATTGGCATCGCCCTCTTTTTTTTTTCCTCTCTTAAAAAACAGCTTCCGACAATAATTTATTCCACGAATTGGAGGAGAAAAATTATAAACGAGGTCAAGACACTCGGAACCAAAAAGACTCTTATTAGTTGATGTCACTCAGTATAACAACCCAATTCTTTTATAAACTATTTTTCCTTCATTGTATTCCAAAGCAAAAAAAAGATTGCGCGGAGACATGGTCCAATTGTCTTCGAGACAACCTTTTAAAAATAATAAAATTCTACTCTAATTTTACAAAAAAAAAAAAAAAAAAAATTCTCTTGCAGAATGAAAATATAATATCAGAAAATTATTTATTATTTTCAATGATGATCAACAAGAATAATTTCCTGAGGAAGTTACGTATTTTTAAATATACTTGCTATCAACGTGTTGGAATCTTTGCAAAGAAAAACGACAATAAAATTACCTGTGCGATTATTAAATAACGCGCACTCCGCGTGATAATGATTGTTAAGAGAGAATTGAATTTTTCGACACGTTACCAATATTATTTCTTAGCCTTTTGAAAATATTAAAAAATAAAAAAAAAATCATCATCCTCTGACCTCCCATATCGATAACTATACGAGCCTCCTTCAGACGCATTTCCATTCAACGAGGACAAACATTATGAGGGTGCCCATAAAATAGATGATATGCTTGAGAACACAAATATTACACCACAGACAATTTATGTCGTAAAACAATCCTCTCTGACCTTCCACTGTGGTACTTCAACGTGATTTTCTAGAAGAAAAATTTCCAAAAAAAAAAATATTTAAACATTTTTTTCTCTGAATAATTATAGAAATTAAATTTCTTTTTTATAGAGGAAATATTTTATAAAAAAAAATAATATTTAGAGTAAAATTTTATTGTATAAGCAAATACAGATGAAAGACACCTGAACGAAAGAAGAGATGAATACAAAGTGTGCATTATTGAATAAACGATGAATCAAGGAAATCTTCAATAATAAGAGCTCTGATCTAAGATCCCTCCTCTGAATACGTAAGCACCTCTATCATTAAAAGTCGAATTAAAGAGATGTATTCAAAAGGCGCACGCCACGTCTTCAAGTTATAAACATACGTGTCTACTTGTGTCTTCAAACGGGACACAAAAAAAAAAAGAAGTTGTACCTCAAACTTCCGCATCGTTTCTTTATATGAAAATAATAAGAATACTTCTTTGTTACTTTAAGCAATGAAATTCCTCGAAAATATAATAAATAATTTTCCAATTTATAATAAAGATTTAAATAAATAAAATCTTATTTCTTCAAAATAGAAGAAAAAAAATTCCCTTCAAAATTGATTATTAAAAATAAATCTATAGATTAATTTGAAAAAGACATCTTTTGGACTAGTAATCATGAAAAAAAAAAAATAATCAACTTCTCAAGGTTCATTCTGCAAGGACGTTACACGCATGAAGTATCATGTGCGTATAATTTACGTGGGAGGAGAAAGAAATATTGGAGAGTCTGTAATAAAGTCGATGATCTTGCAAATAAAATGACAGTGTTTATATAAAATCCATAGGGAGAAAAAAGGCTATTCGACTTTTCATTTTTCTAGAAAAAAAACGCCTTTTTAACAGGCCTCGGATCGACTTAAAGGCACAAAAAAAGTCGTTTTAGTCGATTTATATTCCAAAAAAAGTCGATTTTTTTTATTTTAACAAAAAAAGTTTTACAGATTTTCAAATAAAATTTTTTTTTTTAAATAATAATTTTAGAAGAGTTATAAAAGTTGAAATTTTTAGAAATAATTGAATTTCAAAAGATTTTGTTAATTTTCAGATAATAATTAAATTTTACAAAATGAAAAATAATCTATTAAATAATTTCAGATAATATTTTTTAAAAGTAATTGATTTTTTTAACGATTTATAATTGAGATTTTTGAAATTAATTGAACTTCAAGTGATTTTTAATTAAAAAATGGTTTCAGATAATTGAATTTTCGAATAATATTATGAAAATAGTTAAAGATAATAGAATTTCATGAGAGAGTTATAAAATTGAAATTATTAAATTTCAAACAATTTTAGATAATAAATTTTAAAAGATTTTAAATTGAAATTTTTGAAAATAATTGAATTTCAATTGAAATTTTGGATAATAATTTAATTTTAGTTGATTTTAGATTAAAAATATTGATAATAAATAATTTTGAATTGAAATTTTTGAGAATAATTGAATTTTAGTTGATTTTGAATTGAAAATTTTGAAAATAATTGAATTTTAGTTGATTTTGGATTGAAATTTTTGAGAATAATTGAATTTTATTTGATTTTAAATGGAAATTTTGGAAAATTTTTTGAATTTTAAAAGATTTTAAATTCAAAATTTCGTAAATAATTGATTTTGAATTGAAATTTTGGAAAATAATTGAATTTTAAAAGATTTTGAATTGAAAATTTCGTAAATAATTGATTTTGAATTGAAATTTTGGAAAATAATTGAATTTTGAAAGATTTTTAATTGAAAATTTTGTAAATAATTGAATTTCAATTGAATTAGAATTTTTTGATAATTTTATTTTGTTAATTTTTTTTAAATTATATACAATGATTAAATTTCATAAAAATTTTAATTGAAAAATAGTTTCAAAATAATTGAATTTGTGATAAATTCCATTAAAATTATTAAAAATAATTAATTTAGTGAAGAGTTTTAGTTAAAAATTTGTTAAATAATTGAAATAAAGAAGATCTTAAGAAGATCTGCATTTTATACTAAAAAAATCGAAATTTATTCAAAAAAAATTTTTTTAATTTAAAAAAAGTCGCATTTTATTAAAATAAGTCGAAAAAAGTCGTATAATCCGAGGCCTGTTTAACAGCAAAAAAAAAATAATTTTTAATCAAAGATAAAAAATACAAATTAAAAAAATTAGACTAGAAAAAAGAATTTTTGAGACTAAAAAAAAAACGATAAGTCTCAAAAATTGGAAATATTTTAAAATCGACGAAAAAAAAATTGCGGAGATAAATAATGAAGATGTTGAACGATTGGAAAAAGAAGACTATAGGCGATCAATTGTAATTTGTAATCCACCCTTGTAAAATGGCTATAACTGTGAAAGTGTAAGCTATATCGTAAACCTCTCTCTGCATTTTTTTTTTTTTTTTTTTTGAAGGCCTGAAGAACGCACTTATATGCACCATGGGTCGCAAGGTCATCACGATGTCTGCGATATAGTGGGTGGTGCTGAGAGATATAGGTATACGCATTGTTATGAGGTTTTCTGGGTGCGGTAACTTACGCTCTTGGACACCACATTTTAATCTGATGGCGAACGACCTCAAGGCTGTATCAAAAGATCTCTATCGATGAAAGTAGAAAAGAACGTCCTTGAATTTTCAACTCTATTATTTTGCATCAAGGATATATTTCTTTTTTACACTATTTTTATCCAGTGAATTGCAATTATTACTTCTCAAAAATCGATTTCAGTATTTTATATTAAAAAAAAAAATTCGAATAAAGTTTAGAATATTGTTAATTTTCAAACTTGGTGAATTGAATATTAAAATAGCGTATATTTATATCAGCAAAAAAAAAAAAATTTTTTTTTTAAACTACTATTATAGTATTATTATTTAACATTGCGAAGGTGAAAGTTAATTTCACTTATTGTGCTTATTTGGAAAGTAATTAAAAAAATTAGAATTCGCGCTCATGTCCAAAAGAAATGAATTATAAAAGTCATAAATCTACAACTTACTTGCTCTCGTCTCCAGTTTCTTTATCAACGCCGGAAGTGGGTTCTTCTAAAGAAAGCCTTCGTCTCGGTCGAGGTTGTAATGTCGCTTCCACCCTAAAGAGACCGGAAACGTAGTCTGTTGATTTCTTCAGCTCGGGTACGGGAACTGAAAATTTTTTTACAAAAATTAGTTTTACAAAAAAAATTTTTTTTTCTAAAAAAAAATTGATTTTTTTTCCAAATATTTTAATTTATTTATTTAAAATTATTTATTAGCGATGATAAATAAAAAGATTGAATGTTTCTTTTTTTTTGAGAGAATAATCAATTTCATGGGCATTAAATTATAAATCAATGATCAATTTGTATGATCGATGATCATGTTGAAACTGTTATTAGCCGTTACTGTAATTATATATATATATACCTTATGGTATAGTGAAAATATTTTTTTTTCTTATCCGGAAGCCTTAATATGATAAGAGGCGCGTGCGTGTTCATTCAATATTACCAACAATGAACTATAATTGAATAATGCTCCCTTATTGCTGATTGGGTTAGTGTTTATTAAAACAAAAGGGTCACTGCTCTTTGTTCTAGTCACAAGAATTAAATTTCACATGTTAATGTTTTTAATTTTACATAAATTTTATTACAAAAATTGTTTACATTTTTTTTTTTCTATCACATGAAAAATAATATATCATGCGTTAATTAATGATATTTAAGAAGTATATATATATCATTCATGATAAAGCAATTAAGAAACATTAAAACTCATTAGCGTTTTGTTGAAAAGAAAGAGAGAGAAAAAAATAGAACGCGCTAAGTGAATCAGACAATTTATATGCTGGAATGATTCATTTATTATGGAATGTGTTGTGTAATGTTACATTATTTGTCGGGGGGGATTTGTGACTGACAAAGATACAATGAATTCAACTCGAAATGAAGCCAAAGAAAGGCTCGAGTCAACAACCGACCTCTATAATATAAAAGTTATAAGCTTATGGCTTTCCGAGGAGAATGAAAGTTAATGGAAGAAAAGTAAACAATATATTTTATTTTAAATATCGTAAAATTCAATTTTATGTTAGATTTTTATTTTATATTTACTTGAATTTTCAATTATATTTTTATACGCCCCCTTTTTTTCTCCAAAATTGAAATTCATCAACGATTTAGAAAAAATAGGGATTCATGTTCTAAAAAATTTTTTTTAAATTATGATTTGATAGAATCTTATTTTGTAGAATATTAATTTTGCAGAATATTTATTTGTTCGATTATTTATATTTTAGAAAATGTAAATGGTCGAAATAAAATTTACCAGAATTTTTATTTAGACGAAAATTAATTTGGCCAGAAATTTAATTTGTTCGATTCTCAATTTGATCGAAATTTTGTCTTGTAGAATATTAGACCAAATTGTAATTTAAAAGAATCTTAATTTTTCAGAATATTAATTTTCTCGAATACTAATGTTCCAGAAAATTAAAATGGTCAAAAATCAATTTGCCAGAAATAATAATTCGACGGAAACTTCAAAAATTAACCAATCAGAAATTATTAAGAAAATTTTGTTTGGTCAATATTTGAAGTTTACGCCGAATTATTTTTCAAATTAATATTCTATTTTAATTTTCTGGACATTAATATTTGAGCAAATAAATATTCTGTAAAATTAATATTTTTTTTAATCATCTTTCTGTAGAATTAAGATTCTTTTAAATTACAATTCTATGAAATTAATATTCTACAAGACGATGAAATTCGATTCGATGAAATTAAATTTCCGTCAAATTAATTTTCGTCTAAATAAAAATTCTTGTAAAATTGATTTCTCCACCATTTGCATTTTCTAAAACATTAATATTCGAACAAATAAATATTCTGCAAAATTAATTATCTAAAGAATATGATTCTATCAAAATATTGTAATTTTTTGTTGGAAAAATTTTTTATATTTTGAAAAATCTTACCAAGAATTGGCACAAGTTTATCATTCGGACTGAGTTGACTAGCGAGTTCCCTGCTGAGTTCCTCGCACTCGATTTCCTCTGGTAGCTTTTTCCTCGGTTCGGGAAGAATTTCCTTGATTTTGAATCGTTCATCAAAATCATCGTCCATGAGTTCAGTTTGTGAGGCAGCGTCAATTGTTGTTGCATTCACACGTAAAACAATTTCCGTTCTTTGAACCAATGTTAATCCCTCAATGCCTGGTTGTGGTGAGACACAGGGTGAATTTAATGGTGATATTTTCGTTGAATCCTGAATTGGTGACGAGGATGATAATGATGTTTTTGACACTGATGACGATGTACTCGACGACGATGACGATAATGTCGAACCATTATGAATTCTCAATGATCTTGAACTTGACGATCGTCTGGCAAGATATTCAGTTCTTCTAATTCGTGAACTGAGAGGCGAATTTGTCTTATCACAAAAACCAGTATTATCAGTTTGCGTTGGACTTGATACTTTTCTAATGGGGAATAATTCATTTGGCGATAGACGAAGACAATTTCTTATTGGTGAATCGAGAGGTGATTTTGGCGAGAATCTTGATGGTAATGTATTGGGTGGTGAAATTCGTAAATCAGATGATCTTGACGATGAACTGGAACTTGAACAACTTCCAGTTCTTCGTGGTACGGCGCCAGATTTTGGACTAGTTTGATGTGAATTCGGTGATCGTGGTGGTGAACTAGAAGGTGGTGGTGGTTTTTCATTGGGCCTGGTATCAATATCATTGATTTGACAATTTCTCGACCAATTCTCATTGGATCTACGTTCATTTCTACGATTTAAAAGTTCAACATTTTGTGAGGTCATTTCAATTGTTGCACTTCTCTCGCGATAAAAATCGGATGACAAAACTTGTGGTTCACAATTTGCTGCAAGTTTTCTTCGTTCACGTTCCAATTGTCGATTACGATCGTTGAGAACCTCAATACTCTGGGGTGAAAGACGTTCCTTTTTCTCGGGATTATATCGATCCTCAAGATTGTCATTGTTATTGTTCTCTCTTGTTGTTCGTGTATCGTTGGTTTGTAGCTTTTTTGTGAGATCTTGCGATAGTTTGCCAATTACATCGGCCGATTGATTAATTGTACGATCATTGTCTATTCGTTGATGAAGAGCATCGACACTGTGTGATTTCGAGAGATCATTATGATGATGATGATGATGGTGATGATGATGATGAAGTTGATGAGGATGATGCGGTGTAACTCGCAAAAGAACAGGATCATCGCGATCACGAGGCCAGTCGTCCAATCGTGCCGTTGGTGACATTGTTCTTTTGTAGCTGCCCTCGTTGTCAGGTACACCTCTTTCCCGACGATACGCCAGGTAAGATGCCTTCGATTGGCTTCTGTAATTGTAAAAAAAAATCACATTAGCATATTTTCGATATTGGAAATTCGATTTTTGATAGAAAAAATTTTTTACTATTTTTCATTTTCATTATTTTTTTATTTCGAGAAAATTTTTTTTTTATAATTAATGGAATTCAATTTTTAAAGCAATTTAATATATAGCATAACCGGTTAGATAAATGTTTTTTTCGCGTGAAAAACAATATAACATTCTTCATTTCTGATCTAGCAATTGATCAAAAATTTCTAATTGCTAGGCACGTTACTATTTCCGGTGAGGTAATACCAAGGAACAATTTTTTTTTTTTTTTTGCAAATAAAGATTGCCCGATACAAGTTAAAGAATGAGTAATAGAATTTTATTATACTCTTGGTATATTTTATCGATACACAGCACACGTCAGGAAAGATCAGTAAAACAAAGAGGTCTCTCTTTCTTTACCTTTCTTATCTGAACGGTCAAACTTTTATATTGACGATTTCATTTGAAACTGATGCCGCTCACTGATAATTGTGAAAATGCAGTCATTTAATGTCATTCAAAGTATACTTTATGGATTATTATTTTTTTTCATAAAGATCAAGATTTTTTTTTTCAGTTTCAGACTAGTAAACGATATGAAAAATTAAATATAATTTATAAAATAAAGATGAATATTAAAATTAAGAAAATAAAAAATTAAATAATAAGAGAAATATACATTTTTTGAATAAATAATATTTTAAGAAAAGATACTTTAAAATATCATATATAAAAGAAATGAAAGGACTTCAGAAAACGAATTGGACAAAGAGAGATATTTTTTTAATAATAAAAAAAAAAACAGGCTGGCAGCATTTACTTTATCATCCGGTTTTGTGAAGCGAAAGAAAAAAGAGAAAGACGTGAAAATTATGGATGTTTTGTACAAAGATGAAATGACTTTATTTTAAATCCAACGAAGAATAAGTTAAAAATTATATCTCCTGTTTTGAGACAAAAATTATTTCTCAAATATTCAAAAAGGTTTTATATAATTTATTATAATTAATTTAAATATTTATTACTTCTCTATTTAATTTTAATTAATTTTTTTTTCTTTCTATAAATTATTATTTTTCGTTATTATTCAAGAGATTTAGGGAATCAAAAAAATTAAATAAATTCCTCAATTAGAAAATTTGCGGCGTTTATAAAATTCGTTTTGAAATGAATTTAGATAAAATATTCCTAAAATTGTAAATTATTTCACAATTTTAGAAAAATAAGATTTTTAATGTCTATGGAGACACAGGAAGAAGGAAATCCGTGAATTTTTGAATCTAATCACGTGAAAAGGTCGATTGAAAATCGTGCCAGGTGAATTGTTCGGGATTAAAGAACCGTTGTACGTGGGTAGGATCGTACTTAGGGAATCCACTATCCCCAGGCGAAGTCTCCTCTGTACCACCCCGTAATTTTACAATTTTTTTTTTTTTTTTCAAAAGAAAAGCATTTTTTTTTTTTTTTTTTTACCGCGGGGATACTAATTTAAAGAAATCGGGATATAGCAATTTTAGTAATATACGTGTATTGAACTAAAGAATCCTTTTTTTTTTTGGAAACATAATGATTATAGTTGTTTCCAGATTTAAAAAAAAAATAATTAAAAATAATTATATATAAAAAACAAGAATTATTTTAAAAAAAAATGTGTTAATAAAAAGACAAATTTTTTTTTTCGATTCAGTAAAATATTTTTCTTAAATTAAAAAAATATCTCGCGTAATTTTAAGAATTATTTTTTATTTTTTGAAAAAGAAATGTTCTGCATTTTAATCTTTGAAGAGAAAGCAAATTTTTTTTTTCTGTTTAAAAAAAGGATTTTTATGAAGATTTCATTATGACATCCTTTTTCACGTTATATTGGTATTAGGGACGTTTGCTAATTCAATGCGAATCGCGTTTTCAAGAAGGACACGAGAACGTGAGTGCGCATAAATTTTCAAATTGAATTTTAATACGTTCATGCGAATAGCATTCTAACATTTTTTTTTTATTTTGCTCTCTTGTGAAAATAAAAAAAAAAAATATTGATATTTCAAACAAAGAACTATTTGTCTTTTTTTGGTGAGAAATAAAATTTGATATCAGTATTTTTCATTTATAGTTATAAAAATATTGTTTACTTCTTTTTTCTTTTTCAAGTTCCAATAAAAGATATCGCGCAGTATGACCTGGTTTTATTTATAGTAATTGAAATTGCGTGAACTCGAAAATGTCTTTAAGGAGATAGTAAGCGAGACAATGAGATGAGAACGTGAAATAAGTAACGGTCCATATATATATATATATATACAAAGAGCTTTTAAGAGCAAGTACATCAAGTGCACTTACAAGGTGCCTTTCAAGCACTCAAAAATCCTTTACCAATTGCAACATAAAACAATTTTGTAGACATGCATCCGGTAACATTTTGCCCGGGAAAGTTATTTCACAAAAATGGAATTGTTAAATTTTATTTATTTTTTTTTACCGAATTTTTCTAAAGAAGAATTTTTATTAAACCGAAAAATTCCCTTAAACAAGAATTGAGTTAAATAAAAAATTATTTTCAATTAAAATTCCACTATTATAGAAATTCTGTAAAATGTAAATTTGGCTCAATAAAAATTCTGCTAAGTAGAAAATTTTGTAAAATAAAAATTCTGCTGAACAGAAAAATTTAGGCAAATAAAAATTTTGCTAAATAAAAAGTCTGTAAAATAAAAATTCTGCTGAACAAAAAAATTTAGGCAAATAAAAATTTTACTAAATAAAAAGTCTGTAAAATAAAAATTTGGCTAAATAAAAATTCCGCTAAGTAGAAATTTTGGAAAATAAAAATTCTGCTAATCATAAAATTTAGCTAAATAAAAAATTGTCTGAATTAAAAAATCTCTTTGACGAGAATTGAATTAAATAAAAATTTAATTGAAAAATTCTGTTAAATAAGAATTTCCGCAAAATGAAAATTTAACTAAATAAAAATTCGGTTAAATAAAAATTATTTTCAATTAAAATTCCACTATATAGAAATTCCTGTAAAATAAAAATTTGGCTCAATAAAAATTCTGCTAAGTAGAAAATTTTGTAAAATAAAAATTCTGCTGAACAGAAAAATTTAGGTAAATAAAAATTTTGCTAAATAAAAAGTCTGTAAAATAAAAATTTGGCTAAATAAAAATTCCTCTAAGTAAAAATTTTGTAAAATAAAAATTCTGCTAAACATAAAATTCGGCTAAATAAAAAATTGTCTAAATAAAAATTCTCTTTGACGAGAATTGAATTAAATAAAAATTTAATTGAGAAATTCTGTTAAATAAGAATTTTCGCAAAATGAAAATTTAGCTAAATAAAAATTATTTTCAATTAAAATCCCACTATATAGAAATTCTGTAAAATAAAAAATTGGCTCAATAAAAATTCTGCTAAGTAGAAAATTTTGTAAAATAAAAATTCTGCTGAACAGAAAAATTTAGGCAAATAAAAAGTCTGTAAAATAAAAATTTGGCTAAATAAAAATTCCGCTAAGTAGAAATTTTGTAAAATAAAAATTCTGCTAATCATAAAATTCGGCTAAATAAAAAATTCTCTTTGACGAGAATTGAATTAAATAAAAATTTAATTGTGAAATTCTGTTAAATAAGAATTTCCGCAAAATGAAAATTTAGCTAAATAAAAATTCGGTTAAATAAAAATTATTTTTCACCTGCAATTATCATTCTTAATGCATCGAGTATATTTTATCGATTTTAAATAATATCTCCATGATTGCAAATGGAAAAATAGTTTAATTCATTCGATACTTTTCACTCTTGTTAGAAGAGTGATTAATTAAAGATGTATATCGGGTTTTATTTTTTTGCGTGGGAGGTGATAAAGAGTCGACATGATTTAATAATCTCGGTCAATATGTAAATAAATCGATGGACAACGATTCGTGTGTAATATAGGTATAAAATTTTTTTTTTTTCATTTTTTTTTTTGTCAGTGATTTTAAAAGTGAGACGGTATAACTTGAACTGATTTCGAGTTTAATTATAAAGGTGTCGTAATGACCGATTGCCTTTCTCAAAAATAAATATCCTGACTTCTTCGCCGCATGCAATTGCGATTCTCCTTAATGAATTTTGAGATAAAGAAATGTCCCTTTTATAAGCCACACAGCATTCACGCATGTACGAGAAGTATTATTTGCAATGTAAGAAAGAAAATTAAAAAAAATTTATGACATGCAAACTGTCTTCCTTCAATTGTTAATAAAATCATTCAATTAAAATTTAATCGTTGTTTTCGCTTTTTTGCAATTATTGAATTTGATTAATTACTGGATGCAATTTATTTATACAAGCATTTATTAATTACGTGTGATTAATTTGTTTATTTTATTCTCAAGAATAAAATTTTTTTTATTAATTTTTTAAATAAATAATCGTTTATTTTTATAATAAATTTTTTTTTTGAATCTTTTAAGGATAATTCCGCGGTGGGATTTAAAATAAAAATTAATAAACAATGTCCCATTAAATGATACACTTAGCATTGTTAAATTAGTTTTGAGGTCTTATAAATTCGATCACAATATATATTTTTATGAATCGACGCTTTCGTTTTATTAATGTGAAATCAGTTTCTTTTCATGTAACGTGCATAATTTTTTTTTCAACTTGTATATTATATACAAATGCATTTAAAAAGTCAACGTTATTGCTTTCTTTTTTCATATTTTCGCGTTTGCAATTTTTTTGTTATCCGCGATTTATTATCCCTCAATAATAAACAATATCAATTTTTTCAATTAGAAAAAAAACTACTTAATTGGCACCACCCACGCAATAATTTATACTTGGAAAATAGAAATTACAAAGAATTATTTGGGTCAAATGATTGATTTAAAAAAATGATCTTGATTTAAAAAAACGATTTATAAACAAAAAAAAAATTATTCTGCAATATTTCCTATTGAATTTCCTTTTTAATTATTTTATTTCTATT